TCTGATATCCATATTTTGCACTTCTGGCCATCCTGTGGGGGCTACCCCTTCTTGGTTGCTCCCCCCCAAGGTTCCTTCCTTTTTCTTTCTCCCCGTTACAGGGTTTTTATTCAGGAAGTATTGCAAATTGTAAACTGCCATCAGCACTCGAGTTCGGGTCGGGTCTTCTTGGAAGGACACTGCCGGCGGTCGCCCTTGTTATGTTGTTAAATGGCGCGTTGCGAGACTCGTCGTGACGAGAGCGCAGCGTAAGGGCGGGAAGGGCGAGCCCAAATCTCAATGTATTTTGTACATATAGAAATTATTAGGACTGGACGGGAAATTATATGTTTAACAATAACTTTATCAGTGATTTGCTAAACTGCTTCTTAGACCAGATGGGACCTCGTCCGAGCCCAGCTGCGACGTGCAGACAAGCAAAGAGGACGTGCAGGATATACTTTGTGCAGATATCTTAATGTACAAGTATAACTGGGTACATTCCATGTTTAAAAAACACAAAGAGACACATATTGACATATATTTGTCAAATGTATTTTTAATATAATTTTTTTTTTAATTATAATCTTTTTTCTTGTAGCTTAAGGTGGGGCCGTTCCCCATTGCCCTCTATGGACCAGCCGCCACTGTTCCTGTTACTGTAAACTATGTGTCCCTCGTCTCGTTGTCCGGTTTGTCCGTAATGTGTCGATGTCACTGCTGCTCTTCCTCGCTAGGAATCCTCTTGCATATGTGGTTTTAACTATAAACAATGTTCAGACTTAGGTTATATCCATACTGTATTGCTGGCTGCAGCAAACACGCAATACAGACACCTGTCCCCACTACATCCATACTGGGAAGTAAGCAGCGACAGTCCTAATTTAAATGGGAAGATAGATACTGTAGACAAAAAATCCTTGGAAAAATAGGGTCACTGAACAAAACTAGGCATAATTTGTTACAGTTGAATATTGAATATAACAATTATGAGATAACATAGGTATGTTCTCAATGCCTTATTTACATTAGCATCATGAAAAAGGTGTTTCCAAACCTTTTTTTTATAAAGGCATTTTGCAGAACAAAAAAAATATTATATACTATTATACAATAATATTATATACTATCGTTTTCTCTTTCTGAAATTCAATTAAAGGCTGTATGTCATTTTTTTCAAACGTATGGTTAATAATCAGTGACAGCACCTCTGATGTGTGTTGTCTGAGGCTCACTGTTGTTCCTACAAGATGCGGACACACAAAAGTACTGACTTAATGGATAAGTGTTGAAAGAGCAAAAGGTAGATAGATATCCATTCTTAACTTTTCAACGTTTGTATGTTCCATCCAGCTGTAAAAAAACATATGATTGCTAACAGTGTAGATCATTTTTATTATTTTAAATTACTGCAGCTCAGACATGAGGACCGTGTTACAATAATTGTAAACAAAAAATAAACCCATGGTTGTCCTTTAATAGAAAAAAATGGTTAGCTAAAAATATGTGGATAAATTATTTCTGTCGAATAGATAAAATACTAATCTTAAACATATAGGTTCATATTGACTACTGAGCTGGTCATACAAACCTGTTGGATCTGCTGATGAAAAGTTCAGCACATTTTGCAGTAAACAGAGTCCCCTGGTGGTGGGGACAGATCGTGGAAGAGACGGACCCTCCCGACTTGAGGACAAGAGACGTCAACCGGAGTTTGAACAAAACAAAGCAATTTTGATAATCATTTATTCTTTTAGGTTTTGTCATGATAATCCAATATTTTTTTACATATGCTTGTTTTCAGCAATTAGAAATACCAAACTATTAAAAATAAAATGACTAATACCAATTACGGAATTACAGATTCCGAAAAAATAATAAAGGGGCAAAATCAGGAAACAAAATCCATAAAGGTTTGAATTTGAGCAAAAGTCACAGTATGCACATCGTAAGAAACGTATGGTGAGATTCACAGTTATTAAATGTAATATCTTACTTAAATATTTACTATATTGTTGGTTAACCTCAAAATTTACACATTTTTAAGCTTTGACAGTAACTGAGGGGAGACAGCAGACTATAATGTATTCTTATAGTCTGCTGTATATATATATATTATACAATATATTTTCACATAATGGATGTGCGTAATGCACAACAAATTTTGTCTTCTTTTGACAACCCAGTGACTTTTATCTTTTATGTCTTCTAAAATGTGCATAACTGACAAGCAACTGTAATCTTATAAAAATCTGAAATATTAGCAGTCATAAAACGACGGATTCTTGATTCCCAAAAGCATAAACATTGCAACATTTGAAACATCGGCAATAAAAAAACAGATGAGGCCTTTTTTTTACTCTGCACTCTTTATGTACATAACCAAATGCAAAAAAAGTGCAAAAGTTATTAATTCCCCTGAAATCCACAGATTGTATGGAATATACCATAGTAAAAAGGTGCCATACTTAGGCATTGGAACGGGCATATGTGTACGATGTAAAAGTTATCAAAGCATTTAAATTAAATTATCAACAATAATTCAGAATAATAGTGTTTTATGTAAAAAGAGAGCTCACCATGTTCCACATTTGAACTTAACTGAGTAAATTTGTATTTGGCTCCTTGGCATTTCCAACACTGTCAGAACAAAAATGTACTTGATTTTATTGAAAGAACAAGATTTTAGACCTGCGGGAGATTAATGTCCCACACGTATAGTGGCGTCTGGCATACCTGGGCGAGCCAGTGCTTATCATTGTCATTTATTGGATGAAGCAGTACATAGTCTTATCTCTTCTGACACACTTTGTCTGTTAACCCTTTCCTGCTTGCTCCCTTTTGAAGGTTCTTGTCAGACTTTTATGGAACAGGATGCCACCCCCTAACTATAGATGCTTTTTCTGCAGTTCCAAACTTTTTTTTTGCAAATATCTACGGTGGCTCTGAAGTGCAAATCACAACGACAAATAAGAAAGCACAACGGCAAATAGGAAAACACAACGACATTAACTTCTTACGGAAAGGGTAGGGCCTTACAGCAGAGAACGGACCCTTCTGATTGGACAGACGGACTGTGTGTCTCTTGTCACTTGTCGCGTCATTGTCTATCGTCCTGGATGTTCCTCGTTCCTGCCTGCCTGGTCCTGCCCGTTGGCCTTTTGCTTTTTGCATTTTGACTATTAAAGTATTTTTTGCTTTAAACTCTGCATTTGACACAGGTGGAAACAATCAGACAATCACAGGCGATGATGACAGGACAAGGCAGGAAGTGAAGTTACCCAGGGAGACAGGAAGCAGAAAACTACACAATAAGACAGGAAATAAAACCACACCGTGACAGTCCTACTCTGCCCCTAATTGGGTAATACTCGCTGCCATCGATGGTTTAATTGGCCGTAAACCGGAAACAAACCAATCAGTCAGAGGAGCATTAGCGTTAGTTAACTTGTTGGAGAGGAGGAAGGGTAATGGAGGATTTGAGGTTACCTAAAAAGCGGAGAAATTGGACCAGCCAGTAAGTAACTTGATACCGAGCTAAATGTGAAAGCAAATAAAACGAGTTGCCTCGTAAAAGCAGAATATTAAATGATAGATCATGAAGGTCAGTCGCTGTTCCTCTGATAAAATGACATGTGGTTACAAGGCCGGCAGCACAGTGAGACAAGGAGAGAGACAGACCTGCTGAAATCACCAAATCAGAATTACACTATTTCTTTAGATGTGAATTCAAATGGTCAATGTGGTCCTCGAAACTATGTTCTAAATGTGCGATTTTTCATTAATAAATATAGAATTTCAATGTATTTCCCAATAAATACCCTTCCCCATAAAAAACTGATGGGGAAGGGTATTCATTTGGACCCCCCCCCTGTGTCTAAACCAGTGATTCTCAACTGTTGGGTCGCGACCCATCTAAACCATGGTTACGCCCCTGCCAATTAACATTGTGTTAGTAGTGGTATATGTGTCACGGTTTGGGTTAATGTCTGGTTTTATTTTGTAGTTTCCTTCCTCTGTTCTCCCTGGGTCACGTCACTTCCTGCCTTGTCCTGTCGTCCGCTGTGATTGTCTGTCATGTCATGATTGTTCCCAGCTGTGTCCAATCACCTGCACCTCCCTTGTGTATTTAAGCCGTGTGTGTCGGTTGTCACTTGTCCCGTCGTTGTTCAATGTATGGAAGTCCTAGTCCCTGTCCACGATCTCGTTCCTGTCTTCGTTTTTTGCCCCTTCGGCCTTTTGCTTTTGACAATTAAAGTCCCTTTTCTTTTTGAAAACTCTGCGTCTGAGTCCTACCTTCCCCGCCATGCAGCTCCCTGACAATATGTACTTCAAATAATAACTTGCTCAATTTTCAACCGATTTTGAAACAGTTTGGTTTGTTATAAACGTCAGAGATGTAGTTATGACACTGCATACGCGGACGTTCGACTCCGTTGGCCAGCAACGCGGACGAGACATCTAGCCTGTATATGTGTGTATATATATATATATATATATGTGTGTGTATATATATATATATATATATATATATATATATATATATATATATATATATATATATATATATATGTATGTATGTATATATATTTATGTATATATATATATATTTATGTATATATATATATATTTATGTATATACATATATGTATGTGTATATATATATATATATATGTATGTATATATATATATGTATGTGTATATATATGTATATATATATATATATATATATATATATATATATGTATATATATCTATACATATGTGTGTACTTGACTCTTACTCTTGACTCTTACTGTGAAAATGTCTGTACTTCCGGTCCAGCTGCTGTGCTTCGTATTTCGTTTTATAGATGAAAGCCCAAAAACTGATTTAAGAAAGAAAAATGCGTTTTTTTCTCTTTTTTTTTTATTTGGACAAGGAAAACAGGCAAACAGCAAACAGGTCGCCCATTTCCGCTTTCTAGTTTTCAGTTTAAAAAAAAAACTATGGTACTTCCGTATTTTACGCTAAAAGTAATGCCAAACGTTACGCGGAGCTACTCGGTCCTTTGAGTTTGACATATATCCTACATCACAACATGCAACGTAAAGTTGATCCGTCCCAGCTTCGAACCCCGCCAGCTCCCCCCACGGCCGTCCCCAAATAGAACCGTCCCCAGATGTGCGCGCTGCGCCCCCTCGTGCGTCACACGGAGCCGCCGCTCGGAGGAGGAAAGATGTCCGCGCTCGCGCTGCCGCTGCTGCTGCTGCTGCCTCTGACTTTGTGCGCGTGGGCAGCGCACGGCGCGGTGGAGCGGCGGGACGCCACCGGTCTGAACGAGATGTTCCGAGAGGTGGAGGAGTTGATGGAGGACACCCGGCACCTCCTGGAGGAAGCCGTGGAGCAGGTTGGGCCTCCGCTGGATAGTTTCCTTTCATCCACGACATAGAGATCACCATCAATCGTAGTTGCCCCCTGAGGACCCTTCCTCTCCACGTGGAGGCTGGATGTAGACATAATGTAGGTGCTTTATTCTGTGAGAGATTCATTCATGAATTCCGTTTGTACCTGAACATTCAAACCAACAGATAACTACCGAGAGTGCAAAATCCTCCCTTACCTCACCGGATGAAACAAATAAGGCAACGATGGATGGAGGCAGAGCGGTTCGGGTCCCATACGGAGCTGACAAGGTAGGGGCCCCCTCTTTTTTTTTTATAACACGGTCAAAACTCTCAGAAATAACCTTTTCATCTCAGCAGCCACGATTTCATGAACAGATAAAAACAATTGTAGCTTACAGTTTTACTACTTTTACATCTTTATTGGGTTCAGTAGGGACTCTAAGGTTCTGATACCGATAACAAACTCTGTGGGTAGTTTTCCTTTTATTGATACAACATGTCACTCCGTTTTGCCGTAGGAGACGTATAATAAAACAGGAGATGTTCACCCTCCACGCGTCCATGCCGAGACTTCTGGCCATTGGAACAGTGCGGATCACGTGAGTCTCCTGCTTCCTCGGTCCGATCCGCGTCAATATTAGAACGGACGCATTGTGGCCTGTTAGTGTCCTTGTAGTTTGTTTTCAGCTCACATTATTACAATTGACCAAAATAATTCTCATGTTTCGCTTCCCTCGGAGGTTTAATTTAATTAGTTCAATTTTATATTGCTTTTATATTGGATGTATTGTCTGAACTGCTTTGTAAAGAGGTAAATCATCCAGCAAACAGACCCAACATGTATAGCTTTCACGGTTCTTCCTAACAGGAGGCCCGGCATGGATGGAGCTCTCTGTTTTTCCATTTTCCATTACCACACAGCGGTTTTGATCTTTTACTTTCCTGTGAGCTGTTAATAGACTTTGCATGTGGAAAAGAAATAAAAATTCCAGCCGGTGAGTGGAGTCAAACTCAAATTACACTCCGGGAAGTTGCAGTCGAGTTGGTGCACTTCATGGAAAATACCCAGTAATACCCCAACTAAATGTCCCTCGGTTGCTGATGGAACTTTTTAAAGGGGGATTTTAGCAGCTGGAATGTTCACAGCAGTTAGTTCACCAAACGTTGTTGCAGCTTCATATAAGAAAAAAACTGCCGTAGAAATCCTCGGCTGCTGTGTTTACCTGTTGTTTCAAAATAACCCAGTTACAGTTGATCCCATAGTTAAGATTCAGCATCATTGAGTCGCTCCTGTGGATTAACAGCGGTCATATTTCTCGCTTTTTCGTCTTACTGGATCATTTTCCTCCACTCGTGAGATGATCCCGTATCGCCATCTGCAGTTAAGCGGAAGTGTGGACACTTGGAGAAGAACAATTGTGTTTACTGCATTGACCCGTGTGCCATTGTTGGCCGCGGTTTTTGAGAACCGCCAATTCTGCGTTTGCCCTTGAAGGTTAAGAAAGTAAAAGCTCTCTTTAATCGATCTTTAATCAAGAATCAAAATCAGCTTTCATGACCGATAGAGCTCCGTCCCGTAAGACGTAGAAAACACACAGCTGTTATTGGATCAATCCGAACGAGGCGACGCGGACGGCATCGGGCTTGTTGCTGCCTGTCGGTCGTCACCTAGAATTAAAATACCGAGAGTCGGTGAAGTGTGAGCCGAGGGTGGGCCCGTGTCTCCTGCCCCTGGGGTTCTCTGCTTCATGAACGCGTCACAAAGGCTGTGCCCTCTTGAGAGTCGGCAAACCCGGGGGCACGTGAACCAAATTGACCCTTTTGGCGAATCAGCTGAGCTGCCCGGAACACCGCCTCAAAGCCGCCGCAATAAGTCACGGTTTCGGGGAACTGGGTTTATCAGGTTCCCACACTGATTTCCCAAAGGCAGCCCATGAAGATAAAGACCGGGAGTGAGATCAAAACAGGGCCTGTTCCTCTACCCACTGGAAAAGTGTTGCATGCTGTACTTAATATGTTCTTGGTTAAACAAACAGGAATTTACACCATATTTTGAATTCAACCATAGGAAGCTTTGACAGCGGTACAAGTTTAGGATGAAGATCATGATCATAGAGCAGATCTGGAAAACTCTGATGTCACTCTTATGTTCGTCAGGCAGTTTCCATGGAGATGGAGAAAAACTTCAAGTCCACGGAGAAGATAGGAAAATGAGAAGAGAATGTAACCCCCAACAATAGTTGGTTGGCAGCTTCAGCTTCAGTATGAGCCTGTGTTATAGATCAATGCAATTATTACTATACTATACATATATAATACTATAATAAATACAACAAAATTACAAATAATGAAGTTGAAATGTTTAAAACCCACACAATGCTGTTTTTTTATTTGTGTAAATTTAAAGATGTAGGCATAAATATATGCATGTAACCCTTTTGTCATCCCTCAATCCAGGAGTGCATGGTGGATGAGGACTGCGGTCTCCTGAAATACTGCTTGTACGAGATTGAGAACTCCAAGTGCCTCCCCTGCATACAAACGGACATGGTGGGGATTCAGCCCAACGGTTTGAGTTTGCGATCGACGGCACAAACAATTTAACGGTGACCAGAGACACTGTTTTAAATAATCCATATGATCCATGTGATCTCCGAAAGTTACCATAAAATAGTCACTTGGAAGATGCAAAAAGGCCACGAATCACTCGCGAAATCAATGTCACAGAAAAGGCAAATGGCTCTAATCGAATGAGATCGTGACTGACGGAATATTCATTCTGCATGAAGATCACCCTTTCCTACCCTGTGTGCATTTAGCATTTCTACTCCCGTGCAAAGTTGAAGGGGCCACCGCTAACAGCTCGACGGCTAGCTCAAGCGGATACTGCTGCACCAAACATAAGAAGCGTGCGTTCGTTTTGTGTGTCCCCGCCCAGCCGTGCACTATGGACGAGGAGTGTTGCTCGGACCGGTTGTGCGTGTGGGGTCAGTGCACGGTCAACGCCACCAAAGGAACGGAGGGATCCATCTGCCAGGGTCAGAGAGACTGCAGGCCAGATCTCTGCTGCGCCTTCCAACGAGGTGACGGTTCTTTTGCCTTAGACCAGGGGTCTCAAACTCAAATCAGCTGCGGGCCAGATGCAGCCCGCTTCAACCGAACGCGGGCCAGACTAGCGTCCGAACGGCGTGGTCGACAATAACACAACTTAACACTCACTTTCAAAAGCAGTCATTGAACCCCACCCTGGGGGATCGGTCCGAATGAGACTACAACACTAGTCCTCCTTTAACTCAGCGGGGGAGACCTAAGGTCATGTGACCGTGGAATTCCTTTATAGCCAAACGTGAAGTTACGTGAATCGAAGCTGCGTAGTGATGGACGGAGACGCTCGTCGGTGACGTCAGATGCTTCATGTGTTGTTAGTGTGAGTCGTAAAGGAAAACTTTATTAAACGAGCGATGCTAACGGTTAGTCACATGATCACCTGCGCGAAAGAGGGCAGGAAACTGAATTTCACCCTCCTGCTCTCTGCACCTCGGCCGACACACACGACCCGCCCCCCATGTCAGTCACACGCATGCCACGTTCACTGGACAAGCACACAGTAGGAAACCAGAACATCATAACATGTCCCACACAGCAGCTGACAGTGGGGTTACAGTATAAAACTTGCGGGCCGCACTAACATTACACTTTCATATTAAGGATGGGGCCACAAAATATCGTCCGCAATTGGCCCGCGGGCCGCGAGTTTGAGACCCCTGTCTTAGACCGTTCTTTATGTCTGTGAATCGGGGGGCGCGGGTGTCTCAAGTGGGCTTTCGTATTTCGTGTTCGGGTGCCCCACTGTGACGGGCCGGGCCATTGTTTCCTCTCTCCGCTGCCTCCGCAGAGCTGTTGTTTCCAGTTTGTAATCCCAAACCGCAAAAGGGGGAGTCCTGTCTGAGCCGCCCCAACCTGCTGGCGGACATGCTGGCCTGGGACCAGGAGGGTCCCCGCGACCACTGCCCCTGTGCCGACGACCTCCAGTGCCAATCTCGTAGGTGAGAGCAAACAAAGTCGACACGTTCACGCCAATAACACCCCTGAAATGAGAATGTGACGTTTCTCTAACTTGCTCTTTCTTCCTCACGCAGACAAGGATCTGTTTGTGGAGAGTAGCACTGGAGATGGAGAGCGCATGAACATCCGCGTCCTGCTGATCAACGGTAGAAACAGATGCTGTTTTCCAGACACGACTTGCACTGTACTGTTTATGCCTTATAAATAAATGAAATGAAACACCTGCCATAAACAAGGTGAACGTTGACTATTGCCAGAGACTCCAGGTCATCTGCCGCCTTAAGAAATACCATTTTAATTCCTCAGTTAAAAAGCTGTGTATTCATGTTAATAAACGTCAAAGAGACCACCTTTGTGCCTGAAACACATCTTGTACACATGCTGTTAATACAAATTGGTGACCTGCCAGCCTCACTTGCACACATTTTAATATTTTGACACCTACAAAGTTTGGCTGAGACACTAAGCACGCATCAAGCCACTGTATTTGTTTATCTTAATGGGCTCATTGTGGACATACAAGTGGAAGATGATAGGAGATAAAGAGAAAGAAGAGGGGACTCAACCAAAACCTCTCAGTAGAAACAACCGAGAAATGCTCCTCTATTGAAACGTCTGGTGTAGACCCTCGTTTATTCAAAAGTTCATCATCCAGCAATTCCCTTACAGACTAAATGTGTAACAGCAACAGATACTGTATATGTGCTTCTGTATCCATAAGAGGGTGCTAGATGTCTTAACAGAAGTGCTGGATCCTTACTTTTTCCACTGGTAAAAAACGGTCTATGCTGTTCACCTGATAAGCAAATCAGATGTAAATAGAAACCTTTCAATTTGAAATATGAAAGGAAAAACGAGTTTTACATATTTTGTTGATCAAAGCACAGAGGGAGGCCTTGTGTGCTTTTGTAGTTGCAGTTTTCACTATGTAATCAGGCGCCTTGTACCTTCATCCTGAATATTTTTGGTGGCTGTTATGTCCGTGCTGTGTCTTTCGGTAGCTCTGTGCTTGTTTTTGCTGCAAGATGTCACTCTTTAAAATCGGGTGTGAACTTGTTCTTGTGGTTTGCACTGGTTTTCTTAATTAAATAGAACATTTAGAAGGGAAATTTGTACCTTTCGGGGATTGCAGTCTAACACCATGTGGCCCGTTTTGCCTTTTAGGGATTCCTGTAGTTTCAAGACATGAGTGGAGGGTGGTTTGTATTTCTGCAGCCTTCACTTGACTGTATACAGATTTCACACTTGGATGAGGCAAGAATGCGCCGCCGGGAGCCCTCGACACGTTGATCTGGCCTGATTGCCCATGACTAGGGCACTGACATCACACATTGAGGAGGTGGGTTCTTCATGCCAGATGGAAGGAATGGGAACAAGTGCAGAAGAATAATTCTGCCATATAGTGGCATTCTAATTTCAAAGAAACAAAGCTTACTATTTCCAGGATGTTAAATGCTTAGAGCAGCGGTTCCCAAACTCGAGAACGCCGCGGCCCAATTTGAAATCTGAAACTCTTTTTTGCGGCCCACCCAAAACTTTAATCACGACTCTGATCAAAACATAAACTAGGGATGAGTAAATGACCTAAAAATGTATTAACCGACAATGTATGTTTTGTATACCATTTTCTCCGGAGCTCATATATATTTACTTTAATACTACAAGACGGCGCCCCATTTGACATATTTTTATATTAATTTCAAACTTTTCAAAAATCGAAAATTAAAAACCTTTTATGTATCCATTGTAAAATGACCTCTCGCGGCCCACCTGCAGTACCTTCGCGGGCCACCAGTGCGCCGCGGCCCACACGTTGGGAATCGCTGGCTTTTAGACGCACTGTGGCTTAACTGTGGCTCAAGGAGAGAAAGGAAGCGAACGGTCGTGGCGTGTTCCACTATCCTTATAGGGGAGGAACTAGCGCAATGTGTGGTGTACACAGTCGTGTTGCCAACAGGATGTCGCGCGCCCGCTTTAAGTGTTGACATGCAACACTGCACGTCATTTGTCACCGGGTTCCAGTTTCATTTCCACGCATGGTCGTTTTATTTTATTTTTTTTAAAAAAAGGGGGAAAAAAAACGCGGGGGGAGGGGCCCCCCTCCTTCCCCCGGCTTTCGGCCCCCCGGGGCCCCCCGGAACCTACGGGGGGTTTTTTATCCGCTGGCTGCTTCCTGCTGCGGGCGCGCACTCTCGTCGGGTTTTTTTTTTTACAGCCGGAACGCGTCCACGTCGCTGCTGCTGCGCCAGAGGTTCAGGGGACCCGCGGAAGCCTTCGACGTCTTCGGGTACGTACAGCACAGACCCCCCGCCCCCCTCCCGCCCGCGAACCGTATGCCGTCCGTAGGCGACGGCGGCGCCCGTTACCGCTCGACGCGCGACGTCGTGTGCGAAGAGATGCGCCGGGGCGAGGGGGAGGCGCGGCCGGGAGTTGCCGCTCCGGGACGTGCGCAGATAACGGGACCGAGTCGCAATGCCAGCCGGTCGTTACCGGTACACCCCCCCGTAACGGTCCCCGGTGGTGATGCTCGGAGCTCCAAATGCGGAAGGTTTGACTGCGCGAGGCACTTTTTTTAAGGCGCGGGCTCGCGGCGCGGCCTCGCGTCCGCCGCGAGCCCGCGCCGCTCCTCTCCGCCGCAGAGTCCCGGTGGTCTCTCTCTCTCTCTCTCTCTCTCTCTCTCTCTCTCTCTCTCTCTCCTCCCCCCTTGGTGCGAATCTGCGTCTGACGAGAAGCACGGGACTCACCGGGGACCGCGTGTCGCCTCGCGGTGTCTCCCGTCGACGTGTCCTCGTGCAGGAATGTGTCCTCTTCACGAAGCCTAAAGTTATAGTTCCGTGTTACTGTTTCCCCAAAATGTCTTGTGCCACCTTCTAAACACACCTTTTTGGATCCTTTGAGGTGCTTGTGATAACTCTCGCTAGTTAAAGCATCTCATTTAGAGACCATTTGAGGTCTGGCTCTGCAGAACTGTGACTCACTCTCTTACCTGACTCGTTACCTGAAATAGAAGTCCATACCAACCGCTTGTGATACCACAACCACCACCACCATCATCATCGCTGCATCTTGTCCCATTGCTGCAGACGGATGCACCCCGGTGGGATCGTTGTCCATCACCACGGCCTCCACACATTTAAGCTGCTGTGCGAATTGGAGGACTTCAGTGTGGTTGGAGAGTCTTTACCCCCCCCCAGCAGTCGTCACGGTAGCCAATTGGTTATTTTCTAAAGTTTCCTTAACAGTAAACGGCTTTTTCTTGCGTGCAGTCGAGACCAGGTTTGAGTTTGTTTGGTTGCCGAGCGTTCAGTGACGTCCAGAGAGGAGACTGCCGGGTCAACACGCACTGAGCTTCTGGCTCGCAGATCTCAGCCAAATATGTTGTCCACCGTCAGCCAAGTGTGCGTTTTTAAACTGTTAAATATGTTAAACAATACGTTAACGGTCTTCGACAACGGGTACGTACGACGTACAGTACCAGTCCAAAGTTTGGGCACGCCGCCTTGTGTTTTCTTTTCATTTTTCTACAGTGTAGACTGTAGAAAAAGTGCACACTCGGGAAAAGAGAACCCACGTCGGAAAATGTGTTGGATTCTTTCCTCAAACCCACTTTTCCCCCAAATCCAGTCTAAATCACTGAGCAGGTTAAATGAAGTGGACTGGAGTATTTGTGTGTTTCAAGTGGATCCTCTTTTGACTTTTAAACTGGGAAAATAATTTATTTGTCCAAATAAATGAAACCTTTTTAAGATTTTATCACATATTGTGGAAAATCGCAATGGGTCTACAAGGTCTTTCTGCACAATGTAATAATAAAATGACACTAAGTGAGTGTGTTCAGATGTGTAAATTGTCTAAATTTATAATGGCACGAAGCAAAAATACATTTTTCAGATTTGGCTTAAAAAAAAAAGAACCTCACTTGCAGGGTATGCAGCACTTTAAAACATGGAGGTATCAGGGTTAACAAACGTGTCCACATCACAGCAAGTAAAGCAGAACAAAGTTTAGCGTTGGAGAGGTTGAAAAAGAAATCCGGCTTCATTCCAATTATCTTTTTTTTTTACGGTAACAGTTTAACAGTGTTTTGACTTTTTCCAGGCATGAAACCAATGATGATGATAATGGCAGTAAAATGCACTGGTGGATTTGGAGACTATTGTGCTCCCAAGTGTGACTGAATGCAAAGCTGTATAACCGGTTCAACTCCGTGAGCAGTACCGTACTGTTGGTGAAGTTCTTCCAATATGTCCGCTGACTGTTTATTTAACTGTGGTTAGCTTCTGCAAACGTTTCAGTGTTTCCACAACCATTGTACCTGCGCAATCCTCGCCGCCCTCGTGCACATTCCCGCACTAGTCAACTCCCGCCTGATACCAACCCAATATTGGGTTGGTCTCTCCCTGTCTTTTCTTAATCCTTGTCGTGTCTGCACAGGTGGAGTGGTGTTAACTGAGCAGACATCATGGTGAACATCCCAGAATACTATGCAGGGAAAACCGTCCTGATCACCGGCGCAACCGGCTTCATGGGAAAGGTACAGTAGTATTTGAGCAGTTCGGGGACATTACTGAACCACGCGTGTGAGCTGTTTGGAAAATCCTTTCCCTTCATTCAGACGACGACGAGCGTCGAACTCTACTTCTGCTTAATCAGGGTGAAGGACACGTTTCCTTACACACAGGAAGTATCCAAACACGTTGATGCTGAAATCGGTTGTGCTGCGGTTCTTCTCCCACCACGAAATGAGGCAGAAAGAATGAGGACAGTGCGGCAGTCATTGGAATATGATGATTTTATTGTCTAAAGTAGTGAGTGTGTTGTGTCGTGTAATGAACGCCTTCTGCTTGGCCGGATAATGCAAACGTGTCAAACGCTTCATTCAGCGTCTCCTTCCTGTTTTGCTCAAGGTGCTGCTGGAGAAGCTGCTGAGGTCTTGCCCCGGGGTCAAAAGCGTCTACGTGATGGTGAGGTCCAAAGCTGGGCAGTCCCCGGAGGTCCGCATCGCCGACATGGTCAACTGCAAGGTGAGGACTGCGTGTGAGTGGGAAGCCTCTGAGTTTCGGCGTGTCAGTCAGCCTGGTTACATGGATTGGAATAACTGGCTTAGTCGGGCTCTCCGCTCGCCATCTTTCTCCTAATGTTGTTGTCGTTGGTTGTGGTGAAGAGGTCAAGCGGAAATGGGTGTATCACAACTAGTTGTAATGAAAACAGCGCCACCTGTCGTATCGAATATGACGTGCTTTCGGCCAATGATTCAATTTGTTCACTGCCGTGTATATTGGGATAATAGCACCTCCCCCCCCCCCGAAACATAGTCCGACTAAGCAAAGATTCCAATTATACCATCATGTAAACACACTGAAAGTGGTAACCGGCTCAACCACACTGATGGCTCTAACAGCGAGGTACTGCAGGGGGGGGGTTGCGACATTTTTGTGTTGATTTCTGGTCTTTCAGAATTGTATTTATTGTCTTTAAATACACATTAACATGAATCCAACATGCATTCGCTCACAGCACCTTTCATGCAAATGCGACGGCACCACCGGATCACATCGCGTTCATGCTCAGGAGCGCAAAGCTCAAAAATAAAAGACGGCGGAGCAAACTCCGTAGGATAGGGCGTCCCTGCTTCATCTCGCCGTCAGTTTTTGGGGGACCGTGGCCTGAAAAACGTTGAAGACCCCTGATCTGACGTATTTGAGGTGCTGCTAAAATGTAGAACTCATTTATCATGCACACCAGTGTTTGCCGAGTACTCATTCGATTTGTTTGCTGATCAAATTGATCATCTGGATGTTTTCGCCATGTTTTGCCAAAATAGAGGCATAGAGGCCCGTAGAGCTGCGCAGTACAAATTGTCACCATGAGAGTACCTCTTTAAGATGGCGCTTCTAACCGTTAATTTGTGTGTTGGCGTCTACTTAACATTGGAAGCAGCCGGGGCAGCGTGCCGCTGCCGTTTGGCTCTAGACAGGAGGGCAGGTGTAAACACCACCTCGAATCCCAACAGGTGGCAACAATAGAGGCTGTTATCATGTATGGTAACAAATTCCACTGCAAACTGACGTTGTTTGTTTAGTGTGAACTGTAACTTGGGCTTGATATTTATTTTTATTTTTTTTTCCCCCTCCTCAGCTGTTTGAAAGATTACAAGAGGAGCATCCCGGCTTCGCCGAGAAGATCGTCGCTGTGAGCAGCGACCTGACGCAGCCGGAGCTGGATCTGAGCAAAGAGGATCAGAGCATCCTGGCTGACAACGTTAACGTCGTTTTCCACTGCGCCGCCACCATCCGCTTCAACGAGCCGCTCAAGTGGGTTGAATTTTTATTTTAGCTTTTGTTCTTCATTCCTGGGAGGCCTTTTTTTTTTTTTGGTTGTCGGTGCGATGCATGTTCATCAGTTGGTCCTGATTCTGCGGTGGACAACGTGCAGTGCCGCCTGCCAGGGAGCCACGGTGGTTGCGGCGTTGCAGCGGTTGAGGCCGTGCGTGAAAGCTTCGTGCCGTCAGGACACCGGAACCCATTCAAATGAGTGACGATTAGGCCAAATGTTTGTTCTGCTCACCCAAAGACGCTGCGGAATGAAACCAGGGAGACGATAGTTTGTGTTTGGAGGAAGACGTCTGTATTCTCATTGATGTTTTTGTTTGTTTGTCAGAGTCATTTCATACCAACTGTTGTTGTCAACTGTGGTCGTTTTTATGTCTCTGGGTTAAGCCGTCCGGATCTGAACCTATGGCGCGTTTCCACCGAGCGGTACGGGTCGGGTCGGTACCCATTTATTTGTGTCTCCACCGCCAAAAGTTGAGAATGGTACCAAAAATCCGAACCATACCGTACCACTTTTTGGGTATCCTTTCGTTGGGGCACAGTTGTTTGGTACTAAAGGGCGGAGCTGGACTCACTGCAGAGCATTGATTGGTTGAAAGAGTGTCGTCATTTGCACGTGCCACAAGTGGCTCGCCAAATCATGGTTAACAGACCCGACCCGTACCGCACCGCTCGGTGGAAACGCGGCATTAGTGCGCCTTGCTAGTCGGTGCAGGCCATAGAAATGAAACATTGCTGTTTCAATTTGGGTCCTGGGACCTTTTGGTTGTTGGTTCATTTCCACTTTATATAAATGGGTATCACCTATCTGTCCCTACATCACCCCCATCTTCCCAATCAATGCTTTCTTTCGAATACTAATGAAAGGTGGTGGTTTTAGGTTTTAGGACTATTTCATGAGCACCTGTATCAGTTTATATATATTCGAATGCCCAATTAGGCCGGTGATCACTGCTTTAGTACATGTGTCTGAACAGGCATAATGGTACCAAATCTGTAACCCTCATTGCCAACAAGACACTGGGACGCTTAATGACTAACTGGTTCTGTTAGTTTGTTTTGTGTTGTCAACTTTACTGTCCTTCCTTCCCCCAGAGATGCGATGCAGCTGAACGTCCTTGCCACCCAGAAGATGGTGGCGCTGGCCCGCAAGATGAAGCACCTGGAGGTCTTCCTTCACGTCTCCACCGCCTATGCCAACTGTGACCGCGAGCTCATTGAGGAAACGGTGTACCCTCCCCCCGTAGACTACCGCAGACTCATTGACTCTCTAGAGTAAGTCGATCTGGACGGTTGCCAATTAACTGATCTGTCAACTAACTGCTGCGGTGACGGTAATTGGGACCGGATTCATAAATAGCAAGTGGTGGTGTGTTGTGGAGGCTAATGTCAGCTCAGCCGTGGTCGGTAGAGAAAACGGCTGCTTAGTGACACTGATGCTGTAGAAGCCGCTGAACTGGATCAGTAAAGCGTCAGAGGCCTCCAGAGGGAGGAGATACTGATATCTCCAGGAGGGATTGTGTGTTGCGTCAAGCTTTTGAGGAAGATTGAAGGGATGTGCGGAGACGCGACACGCTGGCGTCAGTCAGGCTTAGGAGCTCAAGTACACAATTAAGGCCGCAAGTGTGCAAGCCGTCTCAGAAGACGTTCCCTTCATCCTGTTCTCACACCTCAACACAGTTTAGTTCTTCATGCCTTTAGATGTTTATGAATTGCATATACCTAGGATAAGATTTTGAAGGCCCATTAACATTGTTTTGTATTCATATTGTCAGTGGTAAAGTAAACGTAGCAAATCTGAATATCTTATTTTATTTTTCCCCAGCTGGATGGATGACGAGCTGGTTTCTGCTCTGACTCCCAAGCTGATCGGGAAGCGTCCCAACACCTACACCTACACCAAAGCCATGGCGGAGTATCTGGTGCAGCAGGAAGCCGGAGACCTCAAAGTAGCCATTGTCCGACCTTCCATAGTGGGAGCCAGCTGGAAAGAACCCTTCCCAGTGAGTGATTCAGGCCGCTGGTGCTGGTTTGCTCCTTCATCGTGTTTCTGCTCAAGTTACTGTTGAGAAAGAAAACCCAAGAAAAGTGTTTGTGTTGGTGAAACGCTGACCGGGATCAGAGCAGAGTCCAACCCACCGTGTCCCCTGAGAGCGCACACGTGTGTGCGGGGAATGGAAAGAAACTCCTCAGACGCTCCATGTTAATTATTGTCACAACGAATGGACTAACGACGTCAGTGCTAACCATCTGCTCTGCCCTCCTGCCTCGCTTTCAGGGTTGGATCGATAACTTCAACGGCCCCAGTGGAATATTCATAGCAGTAAGTACCAACAGGACCTGCCGGGATGTTTAATGGATTTGTCACCATCAACCGCTTCAGATGTTTGAACTACAGATTCACAACTTGCTATACAGTATTTGCTGACTGGCTGGAAAGTTAGAAAGCCATTTGCTTTCTCAAAGTTCTTCCACTGGAAGGAGGCCGGGTTCATTTGTTGCTCTACAGAGAAGCGAATGCGTTGCGACTTTCACTCTCTTCTCACCTCCTCTAGGCCGGTAAGGGGATCTTGCGCACCATGAGGGCGTCTAATGATGCAGTGGCAGACCTGGTGCCCGTCGACGTGGTCATCAACGCCACGCTGGCCGCAGCGTGGTACTCTGGATCACAGACGCTCAACAGGTGAATAACCTGTCCGCTCACCTGCATCTTCTGCTCCTGTTGTGTTGATGAGTTGTTCTGAGCCTTTTCTTCATATCACAGGTCTAAAAACATCATGGTGTACAACTGCACAACTGGAGGGATCAACCCATTTCACTGGGGGGAAGTTGGTATGACGCCTCTTTTCTAAGCTAACACGCCCTCTGTGAAAACAATGGCTGTGTAATCGACTGTAACCTGGTCCACCGCCTGCCACACAAGAGCTCTGTTGACCTGTAACTGCGTATCAGGATCTTTGTTGCTGCTGACTCAGGTTATGGACATTTAAACCCAGGCATGAAAATCCCTCACTTTTTGGCGGAATTCGCCGTTTCGAAACCAACGTAGGAGACCTACGTGAATTGTGTAGATTCAATGAGGTTTTTTTGGGGGGGGGGGTATTCATATTCAGTGAATGAATGAAACAGGGTGAGTGTTGGTTTCAATAATTGTAATATTTTCTGGTATAAGTTAAGTTACCCAGGAGCTTTGTTGACATCGACTTAGCTAACGTTAGCTACGGCTTGATGAGTCGAGTCATTTAACACCGCAGGAGAGAACGCGACGTTGGCCAGCTAGCTAAAGCGCCGGTAGCTAACGTTTTTGAGAAGGTAGATTTGTCAGAAGGGAGCGCGAGATTCAGTGAATTGCGAACAGGGTGAGTGTTGGTTTCAATGTTGGTTTCAAGGTTGGTTTCAATAATTGTAATATTTTCTGGTACAAATTAAGCTACGGCTTGATGAGTCGAGTCATTTAACACCGCAGGAGAGAACGCGACGTTGGCCAGCTAGCTAAAGCGCCGGTAGCTAACGTTTTTGAGGAGGTAGATTTGTCAGAAGGGAGCGCGAGATTCAGTGAATTGCGAACAGGGTGAGTGTTTGTTTCAATGATTGTAATATTTTCTGGTATAAGTTAAGTTACCCAGGAGCCTTGTTGACATCGACTTAGCTAACGTTAGCTACGGCTTGATGAGTCGAGTCATTTAACACCGCAGGAGAGAACGCGACGTTGGCCAGCTAGCTAAAGCGCCGGTAGCTAACGCTAGCGTTTTTGAGGAGGTAGATCTTGAGGTGAGGGGACTGACGAGGCAGAAGGTAAAGTGCTCCACCGTTCTATCAATAAGCAGACCTGCCAACCTGATACGCATTTTGACTTCAAAGTACCTAAAAAAGAAATTGTTTTTAGACTAGTTGACCAGCACACATTATATGCAATGCAATATAATGCATGACGAGTATTTAATGACTTGTCCCCTATTAGTTGTTGTCAATTCCCATCCCCCCCCTCGTCGGTACGCAAAAAACGATCCCTGGGACAAAACCAGTTGAAAACCCCGAGAGGGGTAATATCCTTCTCACCTTTTTCACCCGTGACCCGTTTTCATGCCTGTAAACCGTTAAGCCTTGCAGTGTAAATTGTTCACTATGAACTTGTGTTGTGCAACTCTGTTTTATATTGTGCTTTGTTGGTTTCGAGAGGGGGAGGGGCAGAAGAATAGCAACACTGCTGTTTGATACAATGTGCTAGTGCTGGGTGATATTGCCCCTATCTACGTGCTTTCACACAAGCTGAGTAATCGGATGAAGGAGAGGTTTGATTTACTTGCCCTGAGGTTTTCTTGGAATTTTCCACATTGAGTCTCGCATGCTGCCAAAGACGGGTAGAGTTCCTCTCTGGACCTGGATCGATCACAAGGTCCACGTTAGTAGCTGTCGCCTCACGCCTGTACAGCAGGCTGGTTGTTGCTCACTGCTGTACAAAACATAACCTAATAAACTTTTCAGTGAGCTCTGAGCTCCAGCTGTAGAGGAAGACCGCGTCGCATGATCTGCTCGGGTTTGAGAACCGGTTTGCCAGATAAAAGATCTTCACGCAGCTGGAGTACCGATGAGCAGCTCTGGATTAGATTGTGCACACGGATGAAAGATTGTTGTTTTGCCAGCGGCTGTCAGTCTACCACACACAACATCCGCAATGTCTTGCACTGCTGATTAACGACTTGTGTCAAACAACCTTCTTTTTCTTAGAGTACCACGTTATATCCACATTCAAGAGGAACCCCCTTGAGCAGGCCTTCCGTCGGCCCAATGTTAATCTCACGTCCAATCACCTAATCAATCAGTACTGGATTGCCGTGAGCCACAAAGCTCCGGCCTTCCTCTATGATCTGTACCTCAGGCTGATTGGACGAGAGCCCAGGTAACCCTCATCGCCGACTCCCCAACGCAACCCTTGCTACTCCCACTCATATACACACACACACACACACACATCTCTGCTGCTTCGGTCCTGTCGCTTCCCTTTCAGTGTACCAAGCTAACGTCGTAGCTGCCCGGCTAACGTGTTACATGATGCCTGTTTGGTTCTGTTGGGAGTTGAAGAATGCATAACCCAAATTCTGCCCTGACTACAAGGTTCAGTGATGGGTTCTGCACTCTATAAGTCCTGCTACCTGCAATCTTCATATTCTCTGTTGGGTTTCCAAAAATGTTAGCATTGAGGTTGTCTCAATCCCGTGACCGAATGGACGCCTCAGGACTTCATGTTATTTGCAACCTTAACCAGGTATCGGCCCTTTTTGACAAATGCTTTGCTCGCGGCTGAATTGTCAGATCCGTGAGCTGGATCCGCCCCTTTTAAAAAAAAATCCAGATACCAAAACCCCTTCAGACCAGTGGCCTGTGTTGGAATCACCAGCAGTGGTCTCTCCTTTTCATCTCGCCAAATCTCAGTAGGAGGAGCGAACCCACGTTCTGCTTCATTGCGTCCTTTCTGTGTCCCCCCCCCTTGTCCTGTCCTATGTGTATGTCTCTCCTACAGAGTACTGTATAAACATGACCTTCAAGACCAATCCCTTAGAGCAGGCCTTCAGAAGGCCCAATGTCAATCTGCGCTCCAACCCCTTTACTAATCAGTGCTGGACCGCCGTCAGCCACACGCTGCCGGCTCTGCTCTGTGACGGCTGCCTCCGGCTGACCGGCAGGCAGCCCCGGTAAGGCTGCAACCAACTCCGCCCCCCACCCGTGCCCTGGCAGTCGGCCCAACCTCTCCCGCAAGCCGCCCTACCGTGTGCCTTCCCCCGACTGGTTACTAGGGGTGGGGTAATTTTTCGATTTCTCTCTAGATCGATTCGGTCTCGATTCAGAAAAGTTAATAATCGGAATAAAAAAATAAATTTTAAAAAAAGTCTGTCTTGCGTGAAATATTTGCTCGCTCGCGGAGCGTGAACTTCCTCTCTGGCGAGGAGAATCTCTGCTCGCGCTCGCTGTTTTTCTTTGACAGTGAGGGGGCGGAGCTAGTCACCATGGTCTCTACACCTGATTGGTTACAAACCCCGTCTTTGGATTGGCTGGAGTGATGCATCCACACAACTATAGAAGCCAATTTCCGCACTGAAGAAAGGGGATAGAAAGTCGAAATTATGAGATAAAACCTTGTCAAAAAACAAACGCCCCCCTTCGGTAATCGTAGTGGAGCGTAGATGACAACCAGCTACAACCATCATTACGGCACATTAAGAGCAACGCGTCCAGCTCGCAGACCGGTCCGTCAGTCTGAATCTGAGTATCTAATAACTTTACTGAACTATGGAGGAGCCTGCGCACATCTTACCTCATTATTTCCATTTTCCAAAAAGTCGATCCGTATTGAAAGTTGGCGAGATATTCACAGATTTGGACTTTTTTCCGGTATTTTACTAATACGGACCGGTCTGAGACTAAGAGCAGCTTTTTCTTCATTTAAAAGAAAAATGAATCTGTTTAATATATTTTTTACATCGGCTACTTCCGTATTGTGTTGAAATGCAAGCTGCGTTGGTTCTTTCATCGTTGATAGAAAATCATATTTGTGACAAAGATTTTTTTTTTCTCTTTATAAAAAAATTAGAGAAGGTAATTCATCTGTTGATTTTCTTTAATTATCAAATAAAGTAGGAAGTGATTAGCAACCTCTGAGTAGCAAACTCAGATTTGAGAAAAATTTAGAAAATCGAGATGCATCGATAATCGTTTTATCGGTTTAGAATCGAATCGTTGACCTCCTGAATCGGAATCGAATCGTGAGGTGCCAAGAGATTCCCACCCCTACTGGTTACGGGGGATCCGGGAGGGGTTCGGGCAGAATGTGTGAAAAATGTTTGCGAGCCAAAGACTCAAAACCTCAATGGGAGCATGTTTTATTTTTTAAAAAATTGTAATTGTGACCCCCTCTCCCCCTCCATTGGTCCCACGGCACCAATATACTGATCACCTCCCAATGAATGCGAACCCTCTGCATGGTCGTTTCTCTCTCGGCTCCTCTCTTCACGCTGTCTGTCTGTTCGACCTACACTGGGTATGCTTTGGTTTGATGGGGGTTTGAGATGCTCTTCGATGTGCAGCATCAACACGCATGTCCGTCACGTCCTCTGGGTCCTTCAGAGGAGGCGTTCAGGTCATCTCGATCTGCTCAGTGATAGAACGGGCCTATTTTTTGGATCGAGCTGCTCTTATTCGAAACAACAGGAGATATTGTGAACCACATATAGTGAGTGTCGCGTTGACTTTTTGCAGGTAGTTAAATGAACCTCCAGAAAGTGCAGCGATTGAAGTTGAAGAGGGGAACAAACACACAGCACTGTACAACTCTAAAGGTCTCCTGCATTCATTAGTTACTGGAATCCAAATCTGCCCGATAGAATCTTCTCTCAATCTGGGATTGTTCTGCAGAACTCCTACGTGGACAATGTCTGACCCTGTTCCAGGATCACTTTTGGGACTAAATAAAAGCTCCAATGTTTCAATAACGGCTGAAACAAAAGCAGCTGTGTGTCTACTCCCCCCTCCAACGCCATACAACCCTGTCCTGCCCCTCATCCACGACTCCTCCGCATGTCTGCATCCACTCCACCGCCGTCGCTGATCCATTCCATTCACCTGCCGGCGCTTTCCTTCCTTCCCCCTCCCCCATGCTGCATTTCCCTGCTCGCGTGTCGTAGGATGATGAAGACGATCACGCGCCTCCACAAAGCCATGATGGTGCTGGAGTACTTCACCAGTCACTCGTGGGTGTGGAACAACGACAACGTGGCCATGCTGATTGGGCAGATGAGCCCAGAGGATAAGAAGGTGGGTCCTCCTTTCTACAGACGGGCAACGTTCGTTTCCTGCTGATGTCACTGGAGAGACGTTTTTTTTTTTTTTTTTTCAGGCTGAAAGAATCTCTGTTTGTCACATTAGAGCTGTTGTTCCCACAATAAGAGGGACTGACTGACGTTCATAACTGATGACTGAACGCTGTGATTTGTAGGAGGAAGTCTAGAAGCGGGTTTGAGTATTGTGTAGTTTGTGTAGGAACGGCGAGGTACTCTGCCGCCATCTGCAACCTCCCCCCCTTGTGTAATGCACCACTGGGGGATGTATGGAGGTTATGTCTCTGCTCTCAGAGAAAGCACATACAAACGGTGTGTGTGTGTGTGTGACCTGCCATTTCGTTTTAGTTAGTTTTTTAGTGTTTCATTGTATTTACATTTTTTTTTTTTTTTTGCTTTGTCAAGTATCTGTTTGGTATGATGCAAAAAATGCGTCATAATAATCCGTTCAGATGACACATCTTGTCAATAACTCATAATCATAAGGTCATTGTTTAAGTTTATGATTTCTGTGATTTTTTTCTTTTCTTTTTTCTATAGATGTTTAATTTTGATGTGCGGCAGCTGCACTGGGCCGAGTACATGGAAAGTTACTGCATGGGCACCAAGAAATATGTCCTGAACGAAGAGCTGTCCGGCCTGCCTGCTGCACGCAAGCACCTCAACAAGTAAGCGTGGAATCTAACTCTCCGCCGCAGTCGACGCCTCGTGGCCGTACTTCCATTAACCACTCGTGTGTCTTACATCCTTCGGGAGACGAGCTTTTCCTTCACGTTAGCCCTCTGAATAGGTAATACGGTCCGTGTCAGTCATCGCTCCAGCGGTAACAAAGCGCAGAAACCTTCCAGGAATAAAAAGGGAAGGGCATGAACTTAAATGAATATGTCTAACTCTTCAAATTCTCTGTGTAGCCCAATTTTAACCCACGCCAACCTACGGCTTGGAGTCCTCATCCCAGCTGTGTTTGTTCCCCAGGCTAAGGAACATCCGCTACACCTTTAACACCGTCCTGGTGGTGCTCATCTGGCGCGTCTTCATCGCCCGGTCCCAGATGGCGAGAAACATCTGGTATTTTGTGGTGAGCCTCTGCTTCAAATTCCTCTCCTACTTCCGAGCCTCGTCCAGCATGAGATAAAGGTCGTGGTCACGACGGCGAGTGAGGAGGCGACGGGGCGGCGGCATGAAGAAACACTGGCTGAGATGGAGAGAGGTTCCCTTACAAAGCTCCCGTGCTGCTTGCCTCAAGGATTTAGTGCAACGCGGAGAGCGCTACCAGACGAGCCTCGAATGCTTCATGTCCCGGATCCATCTCGCCTGATCTCCTAGCATTTCACAAAACGCCGAGGCATTGGATCGGTCTGTGCAGTGGTTGTGGGGCTGCTCTGCATTGAATGATGGTGTGTTGCACAAATCCGCTCGTTGGTTTTGAGTCATTCCAGGGTTCCTCTACTGTATCGGTCATCTTTGATTAAAAAATACTTTGACTGCTGTCCACGCAATGTTTTATTTTTTATTTTATTTTTTTGTCACCTGTTATTATATAATTATATATATTTATATTATATATATATATATATATATAATATTAATTTCTTTTTTCTTTTCTTTTTTAAAATTTGTTCTACAACCGGGATTTCTATCTATTAATTTATTTGGAGCCAGTTGGATTGTGCTGTACTGAGTGGGAGCAGGCTGGGACAGACAGACACAGGCTGGCCTACAAATAAGTTTCACCTCTGTCCTACAGACTAGAGGCGTTCCCCCACCTTATCTTGGTGCAAAGAGAAATTTGAAAACCCCAGGGGTGGAGCTCGTACTGGCCCCGCCCCCCAATGGGGGCGGAGTCTTGTTGCTACACGCCCCCGTGTGTCCCCAGTGAACTGCAGCGACCAGTTCCCCGTTTCAGACCAAGCACAAAGGGACTAACTGTGCCTACAAACACATATTTTGCCAAATCCCATTAAAACACACCTCTGCCTTGTTTTCCCCTGCTAAGCTTCCAAATGTAAACTTTCAGTACGGTCAGTGAGTCTCTGGTGTGGACTCTTTCGTTGCTTTTTGTCAGTACACTACTCTTCAAATGTGTCATTGTGTAGAGGAGTTATTGTTACCGGTTGGTTACTCATGGATCTGTCGTTTTTACTTGGCTGCTTCTGTAAATACATGTTTGATTTGTGATGTACTCACGCTGCGCATAACCTGCTCTTAAGCCTCTTAATGTTTTGCCTTCATTATTCTGCCTGGTTACGTAACGCATGTTTTTTTTCGGAGAACAAATGTTGGCTTGTTACAGAATTGGAGAGTTTTTTGTAGGAATGAACCCTGATTCTCATTAACGCTTAACTTCTCATACCTGCGTTTACTTGTGTGCATCGTCTGTTACCTTTTTCTCGAGCACATTGCAATGTCTACTAGCATGCATGTGGCCTGAATTCAGGAGCTGATTGCACAAAGGACCATGTGACTTGGTGGAGGGATGCACCCTTTTCAAAAGGAGTGTGGAGTGTATATTGTGCCTGAACCTTTCATTGCTCTAACAATGTAAAAAGGGAGCAATCCAATGTGTTATCTAATTATTTTCTGTACAGCTCTTTTTAGGTAGCCTTCAAGAAGATGTATTTTTCTCTAACATCATTGGCTGTAGAAAGCCTACTGCTTCAGCTGCTGTAAATATGTAAACAGGAGTGTTGTTGGTACCACTGCTAAATTTGAATCATTTTTCTGTGTTGTAGGAACATGTATTGTTTCTCCCCCAATGTCTTAGAATTAGTCACAATGTCCATTGACCCCTGAAGCGAACCCTCACAATGTGGTTATGCAGGTGTTGTGGGATTCGTTTCAGCTGTAATTTCCTTGCGAGGGTGAGCGGCTCAGTTTTGTCTTGATGGAGTGTCTGTCCCGCTAGTTCAGTGTTGCAGGAGTTGATCGGGGTTCTCCCCCCACTTCCGCCTCACGTTTCTACTACTGTCAGAAATACAGAATCGGCATCATTTCCACAGGAACAAACATACAATTTAGTAACTCTGCCATTATTCACTATGAATTCCTAAAGGCCCCTCAAGTGATTTCAAATGCGTACGTTTTTGTTTGACATAAATATTCATGACTAAATACACAATAAGTTCTATGCTGGTGAATATTTGGGTTAGCAACCTTATGTTGCATGAACTACCCTCCCCCCCCCACAAAAACAAAGTGTGAGGACTGTCTAGTTTGATCAGAATGGATTGGACTGGCATGTCAAGTAAGTAGACGGAGCAGGAATAACATCTACGGACTCTTCTCAGTTTGAGGACTCGTTCCTGAACCACTCCAGGTGCTTTCAGCAGAGCACAGTTAAAACCAGACACCTGAAAGGCCTCCATGTTTCTTCGTTTACCCTTGAGACTAACCAAGTATGCACTCCTACTGAATATAAAAATTCAGTTTTCTTGTTGCCTGTTTTCATCTGATGTGTGTTGAAGCTTCAACGGCCTGTGTATTGATCACATTGCATCAAGGTGGAACTGGAACATGTTTGACTTTTTCTGTATGCTGAGGCTGTCCAGTGTGACTAATGGGTCTTCATTTAGGCCGGCTACAGTGCCAATGTGTTCGTTGTAAATGTGACTCTGCAACAAATAATCAATGGGTGCCTTTTTGTCTCTAAACCAAAAAAAATAAACGGTGTTTAAACCTTCTCCTGAATGGGAAGTCGGATTTTTCTTGTGTCTGAGTTGTCAGTATGCCAGATTCAACTGAGGAACGACGGCCTCGTGGATCCCTCCGTCCAGCGGACCTTGATTCCTGCGATTTCGCTATCCGCTCAGTAGCTGAGTAAGAATGGCCGGTCCTCTAGCCTGCTTCAACCTCTGCAATTGTCCTCATATTCTAGACATCACTTCATTTGTGTACACCACATTGGGCAGGTAAAATAGAAATGCCCTGACTGGTTGTAAAGCAGCAGACTGACACTGTAAAACACGTAAATGATACAGTGAAACTGTCAAATCATGACAGAGACCATTTAATCAAAATTGGAAATTCTATATCTACGGCAGTGAAACACTATATATACTCACCGTATCTTTATAAGGCACACCTTGCTCGTAGATGTTTTTCCTCCAAGAACTGCATTGATTCTTTTTGATAGCCTGTGAGATGTTGCAAGATGGCTCAGTGTGGTCAGAAAGGAACACAGTCAGCAACAATACTCAGTATCAAAACTCATCATCCAAACTCGTTTTAACAGCAGGAACCTCCCGTTCCCGCAGCGACCCGACGCCAAACGCCCTACGGATATCTCCCGGTCGCCTGACCTTTCGTCCCCGGGTCCTCTACCTCCCAACCCCTTGTGTGTTCCAATGGTACCTTTGTCTGTCCTGCCGTCCTTGGGTTTGTTTCCTGTTTCATTTCATTGTAGTTTCCTGCCTCTCGTGTCCCTAGGTTAACTTTACTTCCGTTCCGGGTGTTTCCTTCTGTGTCTGATCACCTGCACCTTGTGTGTCCCTTGTCGAGTCATTACGTGGTACTAGTTTCCCATGTGAGGGAGTTGTTTGCTTCCCCGTGTCTGGTCCGTGTTTTGCCCTCGGCATTCTAATACTTGAAATAAAGGTATTTTTGTCCGTGCGCAAATCTGCAAATGAGTCCTGCTTCGGCCACCTCGTTACTGTTCCTTGACCCTCTGAGGTCGGTTGTTCGGAATAGACGTTTGGAGGTCATTTATTTTGACATTGTAATCCAGCACATTAACACGATGGTTTGATGGGGGGTCCCATGTGACAACCTACCCCAGAGACAATGTGACAATTAACCCAACCAACTGGAAATTCTTGCTAACTTTAAGGCTATCAACTGGTTATCAAAAACTAAAGCTTTCTCCTCCCCCTTTTTAAGGTAAAAAAGGCTTTGTCATAAACCCATTGTGTAAAAGTCTAGAAGAAAAATATTCTATTTGACATGAAGACACAATGAGTCATCTCACCATATGCTACTGTATTTACGTGAGCTCTAACTCTAATTAAAAAGCTACGGCATTTTTAAATCACCAAGTATTGACTGTGAGGGACAGAGGAATTGAGAATTTGCGTCTCGATCATTCGGCCAGGATAACTGAAAATAAGACATACTAAATTAAAGACTCTTTAGACATGTTTGAAGTCATACAAACACTCTTCTTTGAATAACTAATGTTTTTCCCACAATTCAACTTGCTTACCTAGTTATGAATTGACGTCTAATCCTTTCCACTGCTTCACCATTTGCAAGTTCGACAGCGGCTGCGTCTCAAAGTCGCTCGGCTTGGGCCAAACCGGGCGGCCTCTGAAGTGGGACGGTCCGGCCTACGGGGGACTTCCTGCCGCTGTCATCAGCTTTACCTCCGCTGCTCCCGTTGCCTAGCAACCTGCCGCCGCTTGATTGTAAAAGCCTTAAAAGCCCAAAAAAGTGCAAAGTACAGATGAAGAAGACAATCTTCTTATTTCATTTAATTTAGGAAGATATGCTTCTCCTCCCGAGCATGATGATATTTCAAAAAAGTAAAAGTACTGATGCAATCTCAAGGCAGACGAGATTCCATCAATACCGTCAATACAGTAGCAGCAAACACATTTTCTTTTTTTCTATAGCATAAGATACGAGCTATTTTAACTTTAACCTTAAGATATTACAGAATATGTCCAAGCTACAGTACACACATCGTTCTCCTTCAGTTTGCTGCTGCTTCCTCCGGCTCCATAAAACACAACTAAATGTAAAGTTCATAATCACGCAACAAAACAAAAGGAGCAACGCTCAGATTCTTTGTGTATTTTTTCTGTAACGTTATTGACTTAGAAAGTGATTTTTTAGGTCCATAACGTGTCTGCCTGAACTCACTTTGATCCATTTCTGTTCATAATATGAAGTATAAAGTGTGAAAGTTAAGTCCCGGTAACGTGAAGCGCTGGTTGTGTATGTTTGTTATAAATGTGTGTTAGTAGATGTTCACAGAACATGGACCCAGGAGGGGCTCGGGTGAGAATCTGGGTTAACGTTACCACTCAGAGCAGTTTATTCTAGCGTCTTATGTGTCTTTAAAAACACGACATTGGTTACCAACGTCACAGGAATTTAGCGATTTCATAAACTAAGATGTGATGTTATATGTTATATTATTTATATCGGTAGATATTCGAGTGAATTCTATTACTCATGACAGATTGGGACAGTCGCTGCGGATGTGACGTATGAGGTCAACGAATGCGTCCTCAAGACATAGCTCCAGAGACAACAGGTGGCTTTAATGTTTAATCTCTTAACAGACAATAAACTGATGAAATGCGTTGTTTGCATCCGGTTTTACATAAAGAAATCACGGATAATAAATGCCTTGAAAACTCTGACGCTCTAAAGCGAAGCACTGACCTGCAGGACTTCTTGGTCCTCTTATTGTGCAGCTTTACTTGTTTACTTGTTGGGCAGAAAGATACAAGGCAACAATAATTGGCTCTTGGTGACAGCTGGCCTCCCTTCATGTGTCCGTACAATGCACCGCTCATTAAAACGGTGAAAACAGTCCTTCAGCGTGTTATGCTCTCTGCAACACCTGGCAACCGCCGCCGGGCAACCGCGCCAAGCGGTGAGTCACAAGCAGCCGTGACACCCAGCGGGGCCTCTGGGCTCCATAAACAGGATGAATGGACTGCACTTGTATGGCGCCTTTCTAGTCCTCCGACCCCTCAAAGTTCTTTAACGCTACATGACATCATTCACACACTGACGGACAGGGGAACCATACACACACACTTGCACACACGCTACATATCTCGTTATTTACTGTTAATTAGAGGGCTTTTGGGCGCTTGCAGTTAATCATACTCATTTTTACAAATCTGTCAATTTTGCTGTTTTGTCGTGGATGACAGAACTTGCAAAAAGGGAAATGTAAATAAAATACACTACAAGAGGAATAAACCATTAAATGAGTTGAAAAAATATTTGAAAAATATATTTTTTTAGGGTCAGTGAGAGTTATTGATCAGCGCAACTGTTTGAAGGTGGAAGGAAGAGAGTTCTGCAAGATCACCAAGATCCGTTGTCTCAGCACAATGACTTCCTACACCATCTACACCATCGACACCATCTACTACCGTCGATTCTGCCCATAAGGAATGGAACCGTACATGGTGGACACCGAACGCCGCGGCCGAGCATTGACTGTCTCACAGACCGTCTCAGACTATCATAGCAATTAATCTGTATCAATTACTTGGGTTTGTTTTTATCTACTCATCCTGAAAAAGTTGAGATAACGATCATTATTTTCACTAGCAAGATCTCATTGGATGATGCATTAAGCCTACTGCCAGCAATAAAATATAATCTGATTGATTGGGGTGACGAGGCACTTAAAATTGGCCTATACATTTTATCAACACTATACGCATTTAACAATATTTGGCCGTGCCATCGCGGCGGTGGAGGTGTTCCTTCAGTGTCATTTGAATCAGACTTTAAGAAACCACCACTTCAACCAGAGCTGCTGTGACAAAGAAAAACAAAGTAGTAAAAACCAAGGATGTAAAGATTAGCTTTCCTAAAACATTTTAACTGCCCGGCCATTATGTGTGAATCCTGCTGTCTTCCCACAGACACAACACCCTAAAATGCTAAAGGAAAATGCGGTCGGGGCATTTCCTGTATCGCTTCTTGTAAAGCTTTGTCTGAAAGGTCACCCTTTCACAACGAGCGCTCTGACTCAGCAAGTACATTCTGTTAACCCAACGCACCGAAGCCACATTCTGTTCTTAAATGTATCCTAGATGAAGCCAAATGTACAGAGGAAGCATGTCTTTGTTATATTGTGTTTCTCGGACTGTGGCTGCAACAGTAACAGCTTCCTACCTGATGGACTGCATTGAGGACAGCGTGTCCTCATGCAGCTGTGCTGACCTTGTGACACTTTCCCTCAGTCGATTGCTGCAGCGAACGCGTCTTTGAATGCACCACCGCCTGTTTCACTGCCTTTTTAATGAGTGTCCCCTCACACGGAAGCTTGTTTCCCCGGTGGTGACCATTGTAAAGGAGTCGGGTAGTGATGAGGACCGCTGGCCACCTGCTCCCTCTCTGGATTTGGATCCACGCTGGCATCAATGCTGTCACAGCAGGTAAGGGAAAACCCTTCCTTATCTTTGATGGATCCTTCACGCAATGAATGCGGGACGTCTGAAAAGATGCCGTCCTGTGTGTCAGGTTCTAAGTGTGGGAGTCCTCGGGTGGGGAGCCCGATGGGTCGCTCTCTGAGGGTGGTTGGGGGAGCCCCGGCCATTTACGGTTCACATCCGTGGCTTGTAAGTAGTCCCACCTTCTTCTCTAAATATTCTTTATTTCAGGGTTTTCCGTTAACAGAGGGTTAGGGTTAACCCGTTAACGGAGGGCTAGGGTCAGGGTTAACCCGTTAATGGAGGGCTAGGGTCAGGGTTAACCCGTTAACGAAGGGCTAGGGTTAACCCGTTAACTGAGGGCTAGGGTTAGGGTTAACCCGTTAACGGAGGGTTAGGGTAAACCCGTTAAGGGAGGGTTAGGGTTAACCCGTTAACGGAGGGTTAGGGTAAACCCGTTAAGGGAGGGTTAGGGTTAGGGTTAACCCGTTAAGGGAGGGTTAGGGTTAACCCATTAACGGAGGGTTAGGGTTAAGCCAGTAACAGAGGGTTAGGTTTAACCCGTTAAGGGAGGGTTAGGGTTAACCCGTTAACGGAGGGCTAGGATTAGGGTAAACCCGTTAAGGGAGGATTAGAGTTAGGGTTATCCCGTTAACGGAGAGTTAGGGTTAGGGTAAACCCGTTAAGGGAGGGTTAGGGTTAGGGCTAACCCTGAGGAATACCTCAGTCTTTGGCCACGCTGGCAGCTTTATGTGAAGCAATGTCAGCTGCTGTGTTGGTCGGCCTTGAGGCCAGACTGGGGGGTCTGGTGGGCATGAGCAGAGGCCACTCGCTCAGGTGCCTTAGTGGAAGAAGAGACAGATCTGCATTTTCCACACAAAAGCGATTGGGAAGGATGATACATCCCTTTGGACTTGTTGTCATTAGTCTAACTTATCTGCGCTCAGGTTTCCCTACGCAACGGGGGCTCTCATTTCTGTGGAGGGGCCATCCTGACTCATCGCTGGATCCTGACCGCGGCACACTGCCTTGCATCGCGCTCAAAGTACTGTTGTCTCTCGCCTCGCCGGTGCAGTATGATGGTCAATGCTCTGAATGCCGGTGCTGTATGTCGCTGTATGAAAGTGTCTTCTCCTCCGTCCAGAGACTTTCTCAGTGGTGTGAGAGTGGCGGTCGGAGAGTTTGACCAGACTGTAGATGATGAAGAGGAGCAGGTTTTTCTCATCAAGTCGGTCTCAGTCCATGAGAAGTACCATCATGCTTTGCCTTTCAGCTATGACATCGCTCTGGTGGAGTTGGATCAGCACATTCTACTAGGCACGTTTCCGTTTTTACCACTAACTCGCTCTGATTACGTTCTGTCCATTTGATGCCATGGGATTTTTTCAACAGGAGCCCGTGTCCAGCCAATATGTCTGCCTTTGCCTAATCAGAGCAATCCGCCTGAAACCAGTTGCATTGTGGGTGGATGGGGCAAGATGAAGGAAAGTAAGTCGTTTTCTTACTCCCAGCAATTACTGTTAGAGCAGACGAGCTTTCATTTTGTAACACTCCTCTCTTATGTTTCCAAGAGGGTTGCCTCCCCCGCGGTGTTGAGAGAGGTCCAGTTAGAGCTGGTGGACCCAGCGAAATGTAAACACGTCCTTCAGACTGTGAAGGGTCCAAAAAATGCCCAGCAGAGAGCAGCCATGACATTTCTGTGTGCCGGGCCAGAGATCGGAGGCCGAGACCCCTGCCAGGTTTATCCACTGCCCCCCCCCCCCCACCCCTCCCCCCGGTTGCCATTAGTCCGTTACCACTCATTCAGTAGCTTCACACATCCTTGCCACTGTTTTACCCCTCCCTTCCCGTCTGTCTGTCCAGGGGGACTCGGGGGGCCCTCTGGTATGTCCGGCGGGCTCAGGGGACTGGGCGGTCCTGGGTGTGACCTCCTGGGGGAAGGGGTGTGGTCGGAGTTGGGGAAACAACAGCAGCCGCCCCCCTTCCAGGAGATGATCCCCGGGGGTTTTCACGGACGTCCGGCTGCTGCTGCCCTGGATCAAGACTAAACTGCGAGCGGGTGGGTTGAAAACACTGGATCACAGGGTCACAGTTCAGGAGGTGAAGCCAGCAATGAAATGACCTTTGGCCTGTCACACGGAAATATTGAACATTGCACTACTATAATAGCAGAATACTTTGCTGTACACCCGTAAGGACCTTTTGCTGCTGGTGTGTTTTCTACAGCTGATGAGCAGAAGGAGGGAACACCGTCATCAGGTGAGCGTCTCGACCGCTCTCTCATCCATATTTCATAAAGCCTCTGTGACGTACACGTTATTCTGTGTGTGTGTGTGTGTGTGTGTGTGTGTGTGCGCGAGGGCTGTGCGGCGTGAGAGATGGACGCGTCACCGGCCGCGAGGGGCTGCTCAGAAACCCCGCCCTCCCTGGCGATCGCTACGACAACAACCAGTAAGAGAGCTTCCCTACGGACTGGACGTAACTAAGATCTGACATGAAGAAAGAGGGAATCAATCAGCCCATCCTGTGTTGAATGATTACTACAGTGTGCGTGCGTGTGTGTGTGTGTGTGTGTGTCTTTAGGTTGTGTGTGTGGAGTATCAGTGTTCCTCCAGGTAACAGCGTTCTACTGGAATTTGACCACTTTGATCTGGAAAGTGACCCTTTCTGTCGCTACGACCGACTCACCGTGTCAGTCGGCACTCAGAGGCCAGTTGGTGAGTTTCTCACACACACACACACACACACACACACACACACACACACACACAGTGAGACGAGAGCTGGGCTCTAATCCACCAGAGGCCGGTGCTTGTGTACACATGTATGTACACACTCACCCGCGCTGCTCTTTCTGTCACAGGGGTTTTCTGTGGAGGGGTCCTTCCCGGCCCGGTGCTGCTGAAGAATTCCCAGCATGCAACACTTGACTTCTCCACCGATGTTGACCGAGCAGGGAGCGGCTTCGCCATCCGGCACCGTGCCGTCCAGGGAAACTCCAGTCTGGGTGGGAAACGTGATTAACATGTGCACACCAACAAAAGTGTGTGCTGAACACACACACTGTGTAATAACGCTCGGCGCGCCTGTGTGTGTGTGTGTGTGTGTGCGTCAGGATGCGGAACCGTCGTGCTCGTTGACGATCTGACCCCCGTCCACAGTCCAAACTACCCACGGTGCTACGGCGAAGACTGTGTCCTCCGCTGGGTTGTCCACGCTCCACAGGGACACGTGGTTAAGGTGACGCAATCAAAGCTAAAAAGGCAGCGTTTCCCTCAGGCGCTCGGGGCTGATTCCGCTGTTGTGCTCCAGCTGGAGTTTTCTGATTTCGACCTGGAGGAGTCGGACGGATGCCTGTACGACTCCCTCACTGTCCTGGGAGATGTGGAGGGGGCCGAGGAGATTGGTAGGAGGGATTCATCTCCAGGTCTTTGTTGCGTCTTCTCTCTCTGGGCTTGTCGCGTCCCTTTCAAACTCACTGTAACTGAGCGGTGTCTTTCTGCAATGTTTCCTAGTGGTGCTGTGTGGTGGAGATGTTCCTCCTCCCGTCCTCTCCTACCACAGCGTCATGGTGCTTCACTTCACCTCAGACGGCAGCGTCACGCACCGGGGCTTCAGCGCGACGCTGACGTTCATCAGCAACGCAGGTGTGCACACGAGCCGGGGAGTCAGATCAGCGCTAAATGCACTGTGACTAGAATGAAATGCAGGGCGATAAAGGATTTGTAAATCAAATGAAAACCTAAGTGACACGACGACTCTCTTTCTCTCTGCAGACCTTCAGCGACCCAGAGGGGGGGGGGAGGTCACACAGACCAGCGCACACGGCACACGCTCGCAGTAGCAACAGCTCCCAATGGCAAACATCGGGTTACTCCAAATCTGAGTAGATGAAGGACGCGTTGCCGCTTCTCTCCCCGACTCCCTGCACACACATAAGAACGGCACGAGCATGAGGGGAAATGTGAAGCAAGAAATGCATTTATACCAACATGATCACGCATGGTTCGTTTCACTACAGCATGATGATGAATTAATAGCGAGGAAGGCCAATAATTTGCTTGTTAAGTTCACTTACGCAGAACTGCCCTGGGAAACTTCTGCCAGCGAAGCAGTTGCAATTAGGACGTTAAGTTGCTCAAAAAGTTCATGCAAATATTAATGATGGAGAGCAGGTGGACACTTTCCATGTGGTTGAGTTTTCTGCTAGTGTTAAAAATTCATGCAACTTGCTTAAAAAGCAGTGCGGGGCCACCCTGAGCAGCTCTAGCGTAACAATCAAATGAAGTTACATGAATATAGTACAAAGTATTTATTGGAAATGATGGAATTAGACCAGGATTTTGACAAATTGTGTGTTGTTAATGTGGTTATTCTCTACAACTGGGAGTTTCATTTCTGCTGCATGCTCTGGCAGCAGCACTCCGTGTCCTTCTGGAGACCTTCTGGAGACCTTCTGGAGACCTTCTGGCCTCTGCGGTCCAACGTCGAACACTGACTCTCCACAGAACGGAGGCCTGGTTCATTTGACAATCCTACTTCCTGTATCATCTCTTACATTTACGAGCCGCCCCGAGACGTCTCCGTGGCAGCGGCTAGGGAGCCGTGCCTTGCTCGTGGGCACGTTGACGGGAAGTGTCGACGACGAGCTTGTGGCGGCATACCGGTAGACTGTGTGTCACAACATCAGTGGACATCCTGAGACATGTGACGTACTTCTGCTTCTCCGTGCACTCTGGGACATGAAGGAAATCTCGCTGGGGTTCAAAGGTAACAATTTCCCTACAAATGATGACACACAGATGTGGACGTGGTGACGCCTTTGTCTCATTTCCAGTAGTGCCGTCCAAATGTGTAACAAGAGGGACGATGCATCTGTTGCCGGTTTGTTTGGAGATGATGGCGGTGTTCCATTCACGATGCCCTTTGTTGCAGTAGTCCCAGATGTGCAGCCGTCCGGCGGCAGAGAGCCCCGATGTGGACCATAATATCAGAGGATCCCAGAATGCATTTTTACACAGGGGCTCACGTGATGAAAACTACAGCAAAGAATCACCAGGGGCAACTTTTCATTTTGTTTTCTACTCTATAGGAAATGATGTTAGCACGCTACCATCCAAGCAAGCGGCCTCCCCCGTGTGGCCTCACGCGGCCACTAAAAACCTTATGAGCTGTTCACTCCATAACCAACCAAAAGCCTCGCTTGCAATGAGATGATTAATGACGACAAGCTATATGATAAATGTCATGATATCACTTCATAGGAGACATTTTCACACCATGTTTGTGTAGCGCTCACAAATGCTTAATCCGTGGACATTATTACTCCATTATGAGCTTTCTTTCACGGTAGAAAACGCAAAGAAATCATTTATGTGACGAATAAAGTTGACATGTTATTATTTTCCAACCAACGGGACTTTTGATTTCATCGGAGCGTCCACACACTGAAGCATTGTTTAGTCATTTTTTGTAAAAATGCACCCGTTTTGTGTTCACACAAGCAAGAATTATTGTCCTTATTGATGAACGTACTGTGCAGCACCAGCCGCCTGCTGAGGTGCGTCCCAAGCGCTTTTACCGGTACTGTACCCGTCACGTCTGATTCCGAGAGAGAGAGAGAGAGAGAACTCGGTGAGGTAAAGTCTCTCCTCCTCTCTCGGTGGTGTGATTTCCAGCCTCTGCTCCTCACCTCCATTGTGTTGTCTTTCTATTGGTTCTTTAGATCCAGGCCACCTTTCACCCAGCACGAAGCCCCGCCCCCCTTCAGAGGCCTGTGTGTGTGTGTGAGACAGACACAGCTTGACTCAGTGCGGCCTGACAGCCCGGCGGCGTCACGTTGAAACTATGGATCAGAACTTGGTGAGAACGACTCTCTCTCCCCCCTCACTCGCCCGTGCACGGTAACCGTCACGGTTAACCGCTGAGGTTTTGGTTTGTCTTGCAGATTCTCCCGGTGGTGGTGGCTGTTTCAGTGATGGTAGTGACCCTGCTGTACGTCCTCCTGGGGGGACACAAGAAGAAGAAGCTGCCTGTCACTCTGCACGACCCCACGGTTAAATATCCCCTTCCTCTGGTAGACAAACAGGTAGACCTTTAAAAAAAAAATGAGCGTTCACACACAAACCTGATTATGCAGCCAGTTATTATTCGAGTCAAAGGTAATCGTTTCCCTTTAGACCTTTATTCTGTCTGCTGTCGTGTAAACTGTCGTAAAGCAATAAAGCTCTTTTTTACATCTAGATTACAGTGTTGGTTACCCAGCTCGAACCACGCAGCGCATTTAAATCTTTACCTGTAATGTATCCGTGTGACGGATGTGGCTGACTGAGGGAATGGATTATCCACAGAACATACTCGCACAACATCTCCATTTGAACTATTTTGTTTTTTATGAAAACTAGAAAACTGAGTGACTTCTGCACAAAAAAATGTCATTTTTCTGCATGTTTTCAGCCTACGATTTACAATTTAATTATAACTGTTTTACCTAAATCTGTAGCTTGAAACCACCTCCACTGACAGAAGGTTAGGTAACTATACAGGTCAAAGGTACCATGTAAACCTCGGAGTTTCCCAGGACATTTATAAGCTCTGTCGGTATTGTGCTGTGTGCCCACGTGCAGGAGATCAACCACGACACAAAGAAATTTCGGTTTGGCCTTCCATCTGCAAATCATGTCCTTGGCCTGCCAGTAGGTACGGAAACAGCCCTCTTCTATTTCTATCTTCGGACAACTAGAAATGCTCCGATCTGCTCACATGTACAAAGCGACTGGTCGTAAGGGTCACAGGTGTTAGAACCCAAAAAGCACAAACACAAAGAAATCCAATCAAAGTTCTTTGCTACTTCAGGCAGGGTCAAAACCGGGATATCAGTCCAACGGGAAAGAAAATCCAGAGGGGCGGGCGGGGAATCTGTAGACGAGAAGAGGCGGGTTTCAGAACCAGGATGGCAATCAGGCAGGTGAACAAATCCGAAAAAAGGGGGGGGGGGCAAGGAGGGAGTTCGTGGTCAAAAAAGCCGGATAAGTCAGAACAGGATCTCAGGTTCATCGAGAACCGCTGGAAAACTAGGCATAAACACGAGACAATCTGTCAGAGGGCAAAGTGGAAGTGCGGGGACATAATTGGTGAGGGACCAATTGAGGAAATGGCTGCAGGTGGGCAGATGCCAGGACCTTGAAACGGCGGTAGATTTCATTGACGCGCAGCCAGGCGGGAGAAAAACTAACGGAATGGAGATTTCGTGACACTTGTATTCCCTGCCGAGGGATCCCAACACATCAGGGTACTGATAAACGGGCTAAAGAGCGATACCATCTCATTCTTTGGGGGGTATCCCATGGTCGTTCCGTTCGTGTGGAGGTCAACTTTAAGACCCGCTTGTCTCCGTCACGAGTCAACCCTTGCGCTCTAACGTTACCCCCCCCCCCCCCCCGTCTCACACCTCGGTCCCGGCCCAGGTCAGCACGTGTACCTGTCAGCCAAGGTGAACGGCGGTCTGGTGGTCAGAGCCTACACGCCGGTATCCAGGGACGAGGACCGGGGACACGTGGACCTTGTGCTCAAGGTAGTGACCAGGACTAAACCGCACGTGGCTCTATAGGTTTCATTGTTTTCCAATGAATAAAAGCATCAAACCATGCAACCTGTTTTCGAAAGTTGAGAGTTAGTCATTACCAACGTATGCAGGTTTAGCAATACAAGCTACGCTAGCAATGCTAAGAGGTCAGCAGCAGCAGTGCAGTGAACGACGTGGACTTTGTGTGACCCCAGGTGTACCACAAGAACCGCCACCCTTCCTTCCCAGAGGGGGGGAAGCTGTCCCAGTACCTGGACAACATGTCCATCGGAGACGTCATCGACTTCAGGGGACCCAATGGGCTGCTCGTGTACAAGGGACACGGTACGGTGTGACTGACTGTGTGCGCGGGCGGGGCGAGAGAGAGAGAGAGAGAGAGAGAGACGAGACGAATGCACGGGGCCCCACCAGCAGATGTCCCCGTGGTACAACACAAGAGTGTCCCTGCTCTAAAGCCCGGCATGTCCCTCCCGCTCAGGCCACTTCTCCATCCGACCAGACAAGAAGTCGGAGCCCAAAGTTCGGAGGTTCAAGCACGTCGGGATGGTTGCCGGGGGAACAGGTCCGTGTCCATTTGTGCGTCACTTTACTGCAAATACTGTAGTGAATCCAATACCACATCAATGACGCACAAAGCTGTCATACTGTTCTCTCTGGACTATATGATGGCACTGTACCTTATCTGAGATGTTGACGTCATCATTCCGTGAAACGACTAATGAAACCCATGTTTTCCCATCAGGTATTACTCCCATGCTGCAATTAATTCGCAGTATCACTGCAGATCCCACTGACGACACCAAGTGCTCCCTCATATTTGCCAACCAGGTCAGCGCCGGGTGGTGTGGTTTTCACGGACATCTCTCCTCGTTTTACAACGAAAACGCCACCTCTCATTTCATTTGCCCCCCCGTCAGACGGAGAGAGACATCCTACTGAGGGACGAGCTGGAGGAGGTGAAGAAGAACCACCCCGATAAAGTGAAGCTGTGGTTCACTCTGGACAAACCTCCACGGGGTAAGCCAGCGTGTCTTCAGATGTGGACCTAAAGGAGCACCATGTAGCATCTTAACATTGTCAACATCTTTCTTTAAAAGGTATTTTTAATATTCCCTCTGGTCCAACTAACCTAACGTCTAAGTAGAGAGGTGTGCTGAGCAGCCTTAGCTGCGACTAATGCAGGTAGCCGAGCACAATAAAAGGTACAGTTATTCTGGTGGTTTTCTCTGCACAACGGTTAAGCGAGGAGTCTGCGGGCGGAGTAAACAGTGCACTCATCCGCCTGCCAGAATCATGACTCTAAATGGAAATATCATGTTTTGTGGGGAGAAAAAACGTCCAACAGTTTAACACCCACAAACTGTGGTGGAAACTCCTCGTCGTGTTACCATAAAGAACACAGACTCCCTTGTGAGGCTACGTGAATAGGAATTAATCCGTGCCTCGGGTTTCACCGCTGAATATTCAGAGTGGGAGACCGAAACAAAGAGGAAAGTCTCTGCCGGCGGAGGAGGAAGGAGGATGGTTCTAGTCAGAGTGGCTTAGCACAGCGCTCGTGTCCACCTTTGCATAATCCTTAAAGCGAGCAGAGTTGAATGAGGATGAAGTGGTTGTATAACGTCTGTTGTAGATCTGCTCCTCCTCTGTCTCTGATTGGCTCTCCACTATGCATCATAACAAGTGTACTTGCTGCTTATTAGCAGTGCGCATTTGTTTGTTTGACTTGTAAAGAGAGATTACAATATGTAGATAAAAGTGCAGCTTGAAAAAAACCGTCATCCAGATTAAATCAGTGACCAGCTGAAATCTTTCCCTGGAGAAAAACAGACAGAGCAGATGGATCCTTCACTAATGTCTTGTACAAAAAAAGAATTGAATTGAATTCTTTCTCTGGACGTCCCACCTCATGTATGAGAAGAAGACATCCCCCTTTCCACCCTTTATCTGTGGAAAAAAAAAGATACGGCAACGGTGTTTCATGTTTAGTATTTAGAACTAAAAGCCCGGCTTCTCTGGTTAAGAAGTAATATTATAACCCATATTATCATATCATTATATATATATGATAATATGGCTTATATGTATATAATATAAATATTAGCACAGATGCAGGAGGGAAGTAAGTTTTTTCATTCACGACTATAAAAAAAAAGAAGTTTATCTGATGTTGAAGGTCGATCTTTCGTCTTTGTCCTCAAGAGTGGAGCTACAGTTCCGGGTATGTGACCGGTACCATGATGAAGGACCACCTCCCCGCGCCATCTGCCGACGTCCTCGTCGTCCTGTGCGGCCCTCCACCGATGATCCAGAAGGCCTGTCTCCCAAATCTGGACAAGATAGGACACAGAGCAGAAAACATTTTCGCCTACTAACGTTCTGACTATCGCTTCACAATGTTCCGTTGTGTATCCAAGCATGTGTGATTCAGACGCAGCAGCACAATGACAATGTATGACAAATACTGCCATCAAAATCACCCCTTAAAATCACTATGACAACTTCTATGGAGTCAGCTACACATTTGGAATCTGTTGGAAGTGTTTCATGGAACTATCTAGCGTGGCCTGTTGCGCCACATCAGCGATTCCCAAAGTGTGGGCCCACTGGTGGTCCGCGAAGGTACTGCAGGTGGGCCGCCAGAGGTCATTTACAATGAATAAATAAAAATGGTTTTAATTTTCAATTTTGAAAAGTTTGAAATTAATATGAAAATGTTTATGATTTAAATTACGTGTTATTCAAAAGGCGCCGCCAAACAAAACAATGTCACATGGGGCACCGTCTAAATATATATGAGCTCCGGAGAAAATGGTACACAAAACATACATTGTCTGTTAACACATTTTTAATCGTTTAAATTCTTAAGGCCATTTAATCATCCCTAGTTTATGCTTTGATCAGAGTTGTGATTAAATGTTTCGGGTGGGCCGCAAAAGTGGGCCGCGGCGTTCTTGAGTTTGGGAACCGCTGCACTACGTCAACAGTAGGACTGTCCTTTAATGACACACGTATTTAGGCTAAAACGGGAACTCATGTGGAATAAAGATGTAAAACAGCAGTGTTGATTTTCAATATTTGTAAATTTACTATTTTATATATATATTTGCTACTAAATATTATTCAAATATGTGTAATATTTGTGTAAAAAGTCGACAGTGGGAAGATTTTAGGGATGAGCTTAATGAGGCTTAATGTAATTACAGACACACCAACTTTGATCTTAACGCATTGTTTGATACGCGTGTGGTAAACGACGCATCTCAAATTTCTCTGACGTCATTGGGTCGACCAACGCGTCACGACGAAGTGAGCGCGGTGACTTCGAGGGCCGCACGCGAAGCTCCGAAGCTCGCGTTCTCCAACAGCCCGCGAAGGCATCACCGGGAAGTGGGCGTGTCTCTCCGCCACCATGTCGCCGTAGGAGTTTTTACTCCAAACTTCACCGTCAACATTTAATTTATTTACGCAGTCAACCGCCCGCTCGCAGTGGACGGAACATGGCGGCGCCTCCTCGCGGCGGCTCGCTCGTCAGCTGCATAGTTTTCGTGGTCGTTTCGGCGGCAAACTCGCCGGTGTGTGAGTGCGGGCGCATCCGCTCGGAGAGGTGCCTCGTCTGGGGTCCCGGGCTGAGCCCCGCCGCGGTGCTTCCCGTCCGCTACTTCTTCATCCAGGCGGTCGGTTCCGACGGCGCGAACCTGACTCTGTCTCCAGGTAAAACGAGACGCGGGGGGTCAGCGGGGTCAGCGCAGACGCCGTGAGGGCGGCGGAGGGCGGAAGCTCCCGAGTGGCTAAAGCTAGCTCGCCTCTTCTTCTACGAGCGTAGTTTTTAAACACGTTGTGGTCTTGATCCGTCAACCCCCCCCGCCTGGACCACGTCCGACGAGGGCGTGATCGGGTCGTTACCGGCGCCCCGCGGTGTGAGAACCAAGCGCCTTGGTGTCTCCCCCCCCCCCCCCCCCCCCGAGAAGTTCTGACGTCTTCTTCTGCCCGTGTGTTCGCTCAGGTGAAGGCACCTTCCAGGTGAAGATACGCCCGCTGGACGCGAAGGAGCACGTCCGTATCCACGTCCCCCCGCCTCTGGACCGCGGGGACGGGTCCTTCCTGGTGCGGTACCGGCTCTACGGCACCGCGCTGAAGGGCCTCCGGGTGGAAGTCCTCCACCGGGACGCGGCTGTGGCCAAGTCGCCCTACTCCATCCGAGGTGGGTGTTTGGTCTCCCCCCCCCCCCCCCCAGATAGAAACTCTCCGTGGTCTTCCAAAGGTCACCCACGGCGCTCTGCAGTGGGCGACCTTTGGCCTCGGTGAGTTGCGTCCCCATTTGGTCAACGCGGGTGCGATGCAGGTAAAAAGGGGCCTCCCCCCCCCCCCCCTTCCGCCCCCGTCTAACTCTCGAGTGTGGTGTCTTGTCGCTCAAGTCCAGTCTATCACGAGTACTGCGACTGTCCGGAGCCCTCGCCTCGCGCCTGGCGGGCGGCCCATGCAGTGTCCCGCCGAGGAGGCCCGAGCCGCGGCGGATTTCGAAGCTTTTCCCACGATCGACCTGCGGCGACTCCGGGAGGAAGTGCCCCGGAGGTTCGCCAACCGAGGAGGCCTCGTCCACTACGCCATCATCGACAACCGCTTGTACCGCCGCACGCTGGGAAAATACACCGACTTCAAGATGTTCTCCGATGAAATGCTGCTGTCTCTTACCAGGAAGGTAAGGTCGCGGGGGTGTGGTATCTTGCCGCCGTGGCGTCGCCGCGCGCTCATTTCAGTCTCGTGGGATCTCCGGTGAAGGTCCGGCTGCCCGACGTGGAGTTCTACATCAATGTTGGCGACTGGCCGCTGGAGACGAGGAAGGTGGACGCCGTGCCGGTCCTGTCGTGGTGTGGCTCCGTCGACACGCGGGACATTGTCCTTCCGACCTACGAGGTCACGCACTCCACCCTGGAGACCATGAGAGGGGTCACCAATGACCTGCTGTCCGTCCAGGGAAACACAGGTAGCGCGCTGGGGCCACACGAGCTCCCTAAACCGCCGCGTTCATGTAAACTTGTGTCTGAGACGCTAACGTGTCCCGTGCACAAATTCAGCCCTGACTAACTGTAGAATTACACTCAAGATATTCTGTCCCTCACACCGGATCGCGGTTCGGTTGATCATAATATTCCGTGGACCTCGCAGCTTCCTTCCGGGTGACATTAGCTCCTAACCCTCCAGGGCCCCCGTGGACCAACAAGACGGACCGGGCGTTTTTCCGTGGCCGGGACAGCAGAGAGGAGCGTCTTCACCTGGTCTCTCTGTCCAAGGCGAGTCCCGAGCTGCTGGACGCCGGCATCACGGGCTGGTTTTTCTTCAGAGACCGGGAGAAACAAGTGGGCAAAGCGCCGCTGGTTGGCTTCTTTGACTTCTTCAAGGTGACTTGGTTAATTGGTTTAATTAGCTCAGTTAAGTGGAACATAGTAATGCTAATAATGTATTTTCTCTCCTGCAGTACAAGTACCAGGTGAACGTGGATGGAACCGTGGCGGCGTATCGGTTCCCTTACCTCATGCTGGGAAACAGTCTGGTTCTGAAGCAGGACTCGCAGTATTACGAGTTTTTCTACGGCCACCTGAAAGCCGGCACTCACTACCTGCCTGTGCGGAGAAACCTGTCGGACCTCCTGGAGAAAATCCAATGGGCCAAAGACCACGACGCCGAAGCGCAACGGATCGCCAGAGCCGGTCAGGCGGCGGTCCGCGAGCTGCTGCAGCCCAGCCGCCTGTACTGTTACTACTACGCGGTGATGCACGTGTACTCTGAGCGGCAGGTCGGGCGGCCCGCGCGGCACGCGGACATGGAGCCGGTGCCGCAGCCCGACGACCACGCCGCTGCGTGCGCGTGTGAGCGTGGAACCGCCGGAGGAGAAGCTAGTACGAGGGATGAACTATGAGGGGCGGCCTTCAGGCTCTACTTGGTGCCTTTCCTTCTCTGATGACCTCCTGGACCGATCCTGCTCCTCGCGAGAAAATGTGAATTTCACCGTTTGAAACAAGTATAACAATTCGTGCCTTTTTTAGATTGGAGAGCACAGCCCTTTTTTGAAGAAAGCGCCAATGTGTAGGATTTAAACGTGTTACGTTAAGTGTATGACGACCTGATGGTGAGAACCGTGATGTGTCCCGTTTCTATGGTAACCCTGAACGGACAAACACTGGCCTTTACGTTGTTGCGTCACCTGAGCGGCAACGCGAGCAGCCGTCGGAATTCGCAGGGCGGCCCGGGTTCCCGCCGCCCTGCGACGCAAAGCGCGAAGCCGATGGGCGTTCGCGTGGTGGCAGTCTGCAGCCGCACATCTGGATGCCAATAAATCCTTCTCGCTGTGCCTTTTTTAAAACTAAGAACGCCTCTGCCGCGTGAAACCAGGCGGCGGGAAATTGCTGTCAACGTAAAAATGCTGCTCTTGTTTTTAATACTGTGTCTCCGATGTGCCCTGGTCAATAATTCAAGAAACCAAGAGTTAATGTTTTGGATATTTGTATACAGTTTTTTTTTTTTAAATAAATTGAAATAGATTTCATTTTTCAGTTTACTGGAAAGAGTGTTGCGTTTTATATGCATTCACCCTATAAAACCCCAGCGCCTCCCTTTCATCCACCTCCTCCACGATGGAGGCTGCTCCTGTATATGAAGAAGCGTCATTGGTTTAAATAGGACGGAAAGGAGCTAACATGTTATAAGTAAAGAAATTATAACGTGCAACTTGCAGTTAAATGTGTAAAGAATATATATCAATATATATTAGAACAATTTATATACTGTACATGTGGTAATAAGGGAGATTAACGCTATTTTGCGATTCATCCACCATTTTTAGACATTTATTCCAAGTACATGTAAACAAGTAGTTCTAATAGTTACATTTTTCCCCACATTAAGAAGATAAACACATTCCGTTCGATTTTGTCAGCCACACAAACGCTTTAACACGTCCACAGCGTCACCAGCAATGATATGCTAAACAATTTGGAAGAAAACAATTCACCTCGAGCAGAGTAGTTCCAAGTAAAAGTACACACCGGCCGTCATCGTCGTTTTCAGTAGAATGCTGCGGTTTTTTGTAAATGTTGCTGTTAATCAACAAGTAGAAGTTTCGAGTCCAACTCTCTGACGTACCGCAGTTGAAGTAAAACATGAAATGCAATGCGGCCGTCATCAATGTATAAGTTATACTTGTGTGTGACCACGTGTTTGATAAAAATTGGCTTTAGTGTAGGTTCAAACACATTTGGTGAGGTTGGTACTAAAACAATCCCCTTATTCTCAATTTGGGGTGTAATCCTTACAGACAGCGTCAGCACACTTAAAAGCAGAAAAGGTCACAGGTAAACTGACATTTTTGTAAGACGCACAGTGAGCACCTGGGGCAGAAAATTACACAACCTTCTCTTGCAACTTAGAGAAACTCTACATCTTAGACGGTCAGGTTGTTGTTCATCCAGAGATGCCCCCAAGAAACCCTTAATTTCTACCACATGCAGCTCAATTACATCCCTCTGGCTCAGCTGAATTTAATCATGAGAGTCAGAGAGTCTCCCTCTTTCTTGGTGACAATGGCCTGCATCATTCCTGAAGGTGTATAGAGATACCTTGAGCCTTTGAAGAAGTTCTCAATAAAATCTCGGTCAATCTGGTCACACTTCCCAATGGCAGCCTCAAAGTTGTTGCTGAGGACGCCGTAGATATTGCCCTTGTCGCTTTTCTTCCCAAAGAACAAGAAGAGGGCGTAGCAATCCTTGCCGATGGAGGTGCAGAAGCCCACCATCTTCTCGTACATGGTCTTGTTGCTGGACGCCTTGTGGGCAATCTGGACTGACTCGCTGCGGACCTGTGGGGGGACACCATCCTCCTGGGCTTCCTCCCCGTCGTCCAGGTGTAGAACCTGCACGGCGATCTGGATCTTGGGGTTCTTGGTGGGCTTCTCCAGCATGGCCCAGACCCAGTCGGCCCCCAGGAGGATGCGCTGCTCGGGCGTCATGGCCGTGCAGTTGAAGGTGTCTGTGATGTTTAGGCTGACGCTCTGAGAGATGTATGTCATCAGGAAGACCTGTTGGAAGACAAGATGTTTTAAAGACTACTGAGAAGAGTTCTTTTAAAATTGTCATAACGGAGGTACTGTAAAAGTAACCAACCTGAGTGAGCACGTCAGGGCTTGGGTGGAACTTGTCCTCTGGGTCTTTGAAGAGGAGGTACTCTTGAGTTCTGGATGAGGCGGCTGAGATGCAGTCGTTGAATAGAGGTACGGAATTGTTGGATTTGGCAACTGGGGGCTTCAGTGTGGAGAAGATGCTCGGTCGAAGGGACTTGTTCTGGTCATGGGAGGGACGCTTAAAAGAGGAGCTCTGGAAGGGGTTAGAATAAGGTCTGCTCATGGCTTGGCCCATCGTGGACTGGTGATGGATATCAGGGGGGGAAGTCTTCCGGGTACACTGGAAAGATTATTAGTAAAAGTTGAGTCTAGTATTTTGAGGTACATCTGTATTTACAATGTCCCACCATATTGTCTTTTATTTAATGTTAAACACATGATTTGTGTAGTTTGTGGGGTATATAATGAACCGGCCACTTCTGTACTACTGTACTCCTTCTACTTCAGTCCACCTACAGAATGCAATGCACGAATACAGTGAGCGAGTAACATGTCAGATATATTTAAAATGATTAGAGACACTCACCAGGATATCTGGAGTTTTCTGTAGTTCCCAGGCTGATATCTGCCCCGTTGAGACACAGCTGTGTATGGTGCTGATGTGAGGCTCAGTCTTCCATCTCCTGACGTGCACAGAATTCTCAGGTGAAAAGAAGTGAACTATCCCGGGGTTCCTGCCAACAGCGTTAGCACGGGTGTGGTGTATGTAACTTGTCACATTTTAGGTAAGTCAACAAAAGACTCATCTTACCAGTTAACTGGGGTAAGCCTGAAGGCTTTGATGGGTAAACAAAATGCTGATGAGATGAGGAAGGTTGCCTCTCTGTTGTAATGCCACTTTAGAGGACAAGAGCGCAGCTTCATCAGCATATCAGAGGTTAGTCCATTTGTAGGATCGTCCAGCAGATACCAAACCACTGTGAATGCAGGTACACTGTTTGTCTTCGCATTGGACACAGTTAACCATATTCATTTTTTAGCCGTTAACCTCTCTGATGACCCTAAACCCCAAAACAACCAACCAACCTCATTGTATGCTGCTCGTTTGCATGCTTCTGCTTTGTAAAGCGGGTTGTCTTGGATACGGCCAGTTATATAGTGCACAGAAACAGAGAACAGGGTGAAATGATGCTTTGTTTGTGCTGAGACCTGAACAAATATTGTCATTATTTTTTAATGTTGAAACAGTTCTTTTGTGCCCAGTTGAAGAGTTTTTACCCAACATTTCCATTTATTTTTCAACACATATACAAAAGTTCTTTATCAACGCCGGTGTACGATCATTATACAGGACATTTATTAAATGATACAAGTAGGAGACAGAATCGACAGACATGTCATGCATCAAAGCAACTCAAAGAGCTTTGTGCATCACCGAGTGCCCGTAATTGGCCATGGATATGGACCGACATGTTCTTTATCCGAGGACCTACGTTTTACCCCATGACCTTGGAGCTGACGTGACGCACACAGTTATCATTGTAATCAGAGAGTTCAGACAGTCTGGAGTCTTAACAGCTCTGCTGACTATCATTGACATTATTGCAGTTTTTACAACACATACATCCTCCTTTTGACCCCTTCTCCATGCAAAAGGAAAACGCCGCAGATGAGTGAGCATTCTCTGTGCGTTCATCCCGCTAGACCTTTGTCAGTACCGAGAGCAACACTGTTCAGATGCTGTTGTTCATTAATGTGTGTCTCACTGTGTGGAGGCGACTGGTATCACCCTTATGTGTGAGGCAACATCCGACTCGACCTAAATTGTGTTTTCTTGACACTGTAAAATAAAATGTAACAAATACAAAGATGTAAATGTACTGAATTTAATAAAGGTATCTGACACCTAATTGTCTCTCACCGACTCCGCTTCCTTTGTCTCTGCCGTTCCCTAAGGTTTCTTCCATTTCCGATATGGGGGAGTTTGTCCTGTGCCAATGTGAGGGTTTCAGGTCTGAGGATGTCAAGTGTGTTTAATTGGATTGATTCTCTACTTTATTTGATCCACTTTTAAGGTACAAACAGTGACAGTGCCTTAATCATTCAGCCTCGCATCAAAGAGAAGTACGTGTTTTCAGTGAACGGATTATGTAACGGTGTCACCGTCCCCAAACGAGCTCGATGGTAGCTGGTTACCCATCATAGCACACAAACCCAGGCTGAGTCGTGGAATGCATCGCTGCTCCGAGACATAAAACGCTATGTGTTTGATTTCTCTGTGAAACAGCCCTGAGGTCCGATCGGTCAAGTCACAGACACCACAGGGTCCCTCTGCTCGGGACTGAGTCAATGAGAAACCGCCTCTCTGAAAACCTTCTTTCCTAATCGACTCACCTGACAGGTTAAGTCTCCGGTAACCTTTCCTCTGCGAGCCGACTGGTCGGCGAAAGGTGAAGACTGTAGCATCTCCAACCAACTCTTTTTACGCTTTGGCTGCGTCAAACGATAGGATTAAGGAATCAGGCTGTCAGGGGATCGGCCTCTCCAGCCCAACGCTTCCCGGACCAAACCTCATCAGTGAGATCATCATTTAGTAACCACATATAGACTTACCTACAGACAGAGGTTTAACTACGCGAGGAACACGGCCGTGTGGTCGTTCCTCACTCACATCTGCCCCTTATCTTACACATTTGTTTAATTCTCTAAGTGATTATTAATAATTCTATCGATGTCAATGACTTAATTTCACGCTAGGTATTAAACAAAGCAAAGCTCCAACGACGGCACTATTACCATTGGTGCTCGGTTAGAAGTTCTACATTTATACTTCTTAATCCTGCCTATGGACAGTGGAGAATTCAGGTCACCATCAACCAGATTCCAGAGGAATCATCTTCTTCCTCTGATGCGTCGGCCTTTTGTGAAGACACGAAGGTGGTGTCTCTAGATTTCAATGGGATCCTCCTGAGGAACCCAAGTGTCGGTGGCTGAAGCTCCCTCTGTGACCTTGGCTCCTGTGTTTGATCAGCCTTTCTGCATATCACATGCACGCAGGAGACGTGTCCCGTTCCTCCCATTCATATACAAGCATGCACGATCTTTTGAGGGCACATTGCATAGATAAACAAAGGAAGCAGTAAAACAAATACCCCAAAGGGCCAATGAGTGACACTTTAGTTATTGTTCAAAATTAAACAAAGATTTCCGTTATTATCATTCCGTGATGATGGTTTCCACTGGTGCTCCTGAGTCCAGAACAGAGGGACTTCAGAGGGACTCTGTGAGGTTTGAGCAGCTCCAGCGCTCGAGGGTCACTTTAGGGTTGAAGCGGTTTATTGACAGCATTAGTGAGCCGACAGCATCAGGTCATTGTCCTTCAAACTAGCCATCGCAGAGCGCCTCCGCTCCTTCTGCAGCTCGTCCCGGCTCAGCAGGTACTGGAAGCAAAGGATCATGGGAGTAAAAGGGTTAGATAGCTACGGAGTTGTTGTTCAGCGCTGAGCTGAGATCCGTCTACACAATTAGTTTTAGTCTATATGGGGATTAACGGAGAAGACCTTCACCTTCATACAACAATGAGATAGACCACTATCTGTGTCAACAGGTGCATTGTTTGACATAGAAAACTTTGTGAAATGCTACACACGACATGTCAGCATGTCAACCAGAGTTACAGCACAGCGACGAGAAGCAGCTCTTTTGTTAAAAAACAAACCAATTATTATTTAAAATGTCCAATATCTGTTGTTAATTTTGAACAATCGTAATAATGTTAATAAGTTACTTATTTGTTGTTTGAGCAGCTTTTACTGCATCAGTCACGGTGCGACTGGTTTTAATGGCCCCTCCCTCCGCAGATCTCCATCCGAGTCACTGGAACGTCGGTTATAAGCATGACGAGCATCTCGTGTGCGCGAGTAGATTACCAGCAGCTGGTGTGTGTGTGTGTGTGTGTGTGTGTGCGCTTACTGTGAGGTTGTTGATGCTTTCAGAGAGAGCTTCTATTTGCAACATGGTACCCTTTGTGATCGCCTTCTGCAACACACACACACACACACACACACACTTCCTGTGAAACAATGACTTACCTCCTATACGCGTTGCTTTGTATTTCTTTACTGTACTGTACGTTACTTCTGAACAAGGCGGACGCTTGGTACCTGTAGCTTCATGCTGACGGAGCCAATCTCAAACATGCACTTCCAAACAGGGTTACCACGGTGATGTTTCGGCAGCCGCCTCGGGCCGAGATTGGCCCGCGGCGTGCGGGCTGGCGTCATACACGGCCATGAGGATGAGGGTGATGATGGCGGCGGCGGTGAAGGCGGGTTAGTGGTTAAAGCCAATGGGCGGGTTTTCTCTATCGTTAGACGGGGTGGTGATTTTAAAAGGAGAAACAAGTGTTGAATGCTTCCTGAGGAAAAGGTCCCTGATAGTGTACATCCACAATAAAACCTGCTGCCCTCCTCTTTGTGTCGAAAGAAGGAATCACCTTTTTGTGTGATGTTGTTTATTAAATTATTTAGTAAAACTTTATACATTTACATGACCACATATGAGCTTCCTTTAGCAGAGCAAGATTTTCTTCCCTATAAAAAATACTATTACATCAAATATATGAAAATAACAGTAGAAAATGACCAACGTCTCGCCATTTAATAATCAGCTCTGCAATGACATAAATATTAAATTAAAGCCCGCCATGATTATTATGCAAATATTGCACAGGTTAATCTCGACCACTTAACACGAGGGCATTAAAGGGGTAAATGGGTGGATGACAGACGCACGCATATCAAATCCTTTACGAGTGATGGCTTAATACTGCACAGCAAGATTTATCGATGTATATACTGGTGTGTAGATCACAGGAAGTGATGTCAGAGAGATGCCGCGCTCCATCATGGCACCGGGTCAGAGATCTGGGAACCAGTCTGCAGATTGATGGTGTCTCTGAATCTCTTCGCTAAGGCACGGGGCTCTAGAGGAGCAAAGTGGGGGTGGGGGGGGTGGGTGGGGGCGGGCGGAGGCATTATGGGCCGCAAGCAAAGGAAGCAGAGTGGCGCAGTGGCGGGCGGCTGATGGAACACATGTTGTCACGGCGGCGCCGACGGAGACGCGTCCGCTCTGCCGCCGTCGGGCCCCACCTGGTGCCCGGAGCGGTCGGGCTCCCCGTCCAGGATGGGGCTCAGGGATCGGAAGCCGGAGTGGGGCCGCGCCGCCTGACCCCCGTTCGCTGCGGGCCGTCCCGACGGAGGCGAGGACGACTCGATTGGACAGACGTAGTCCGTGGATTCCTCCGCCCGCCTCCTCCTGAGGTGGGTCAAGTTAGAGAGGCCCGACTTTTTGGGCTGCAGTGGGAAAAAACACAGAAAGGGGAAAAAGGGTCACCGGGGAATGGACTGGACCGAGACATTTCCTTTGCTTGTCATCTCAGAATCTGAAGCCAAAGGAGAAACCAGGAAGTCGCTCTGCGCGTTGGGACGAGGACTAACTAACTAACTAATTTGTCTGCTCCTCTTACTTGGTTGTCTGGTCGCTTCATCCCAGCTCAAAGCTTCCCTGATGAACAAACGTAAACGCACTCTTTCTCTCATACGTGTACACTGTGAAACTTAACATCTACACGTGTCCCGTCCTGCAGGGGGTGAATGCTCGGTGAGGTCCGCTCATTATTAATCCTAATCCCAATGTAAATTTGCCTTTGGATGGTCCAAAGTCTCCGCGTGCATACAGTATTGTTCAGTTCTCCATACGTTAGGTGTCCAGCAGCTTTATGAATGGCTCCTCCAAGCTTCCTCTTGACTGACCGGAGCCACTGTGACATTCGCTCAAAGCACTGTAGGTTATCACTTGTTACTACGGCGAAGGATCTGAGTCAGCAGAGCAAAGAGGGGCTTAAAGCGGAGGATGCTGCAGGCGGCTGGGTGGGGTGTTAGCGCTCCGAGGAGCGGCACGGGGGTTTATTCTGCCCTCACGGGCTTAAACCCACAGCTCGGAGCTTAAATTTAGCTTAAATTGAGCTGACGCACCGCGGCTTCCCCCCTCGGTTTAATGTGCAAGAGTTCTCCGTTGTATTAACGCAGCGTCAAGGCGCTCCCCGTCGCACTCGCCTTGACTTTAGCCGTGATGCTGAGCGGGGCGTAACCCGCTTCCTCCGCGTACTCCCTCTTCTCCCGGTGAGCCTGTTCTCCCACCAGGCTGCTGAAGTTGGTGGCGAGGTGGCGTCTCAGCAGCGTTTTCTGAGGGGGGATGTTGAGCAGCATGGCCAGCGTGTCGGAGTTGAAGCGAGGCTCCAGCATCTGCAGAAGGAGAGATGCATTCGACCTCGACTTTGTGTTTCTGTCGCACGCACACACACACACTGCGTGATTGCGTTTACTCACCAGCAGCCCTCCGTGCACGCCGCTGCCCCTCAGGTTCGGTGCGTACTCTGCCAGATCCACGGATCTCAGCCACTCCATCACCCGGTGGTTGGACCACTGCACCACCTCACTGGGGGTGTATTGGTTCTGAAAACACACACACACACACACACACGCACAAACCCTGTGCCTTAGTTACACCAAATACCGCATGATTCATGGTATGAAAGCATTCCTCAAAGCGTGCAAAAGTGTTTTGGAAAATGATCTTCACTGCCTGAGAAACAGTCCTTTACAGATGTGCAATCAGAAGATCTACTAAAGTTGCAGCTGGAGAGAGCGAGCGATATCGCGAGTACACGAGCCACAGGCCGCAGACGCCTGAGCGGGTTTGGAGACTTCGCTCAGCTATGTGGCGCACGGAACCCCGGAAGCAGCACCCGGAGCTCCGCCTTCGACTCCGGACCGCGGCGGCTTACCTCGTTGCCGGGCCGGCGCTTGAGGCAGTTGGAGTTGAACTTGTTGAGGTGGAGAACGCGGATGGCACACTTGATGCTGAGGTGATGCAGCTGGCTGGTCACTTTGAGGAAGAGCAGGTCGCTCTGAGGACGGAGGGAACAAAGAGGCGAGCGCTTCTTAATGTTTCACTTGGACCGTGCAAACGGGTGCTTTAACCTCACGCGTTATCGGAGAGAAGCAGCCGCTACTGTCACCAAACGTCCGTCACAAACTCACCACCGTGAGGTAACGCAGCATCTGCCCATCAACCCTTCCTTCGTTGAATTGGTCCTTGTACTGAGGGAGTCCGATGTCATCGAGCCAACCTGTGGAACAGAAATGTCCCGGTTTGAATGCGGCGGGAACGTCAGAATGAAGCGCGTTTCAGTGTGCGGGGCTTTTTCAGCGCGTACGTGTGGCCCAGATGTAGCCGAGCTCCGCAGACTTCTCCGGCCGCCCACTGCCGAACGCCTTGATGGCCAACTGGAGCTTCTTCCTGTGGAGCGGGTTCTTCATCGCCAGCTCCTGGAGACACCGGGGACGAGAGGGAGAAACTTTTTTTTTTCCAATCCGGTCCCAGAGGCTCGCAGATGACTTCCATCAGTGTGAAGAGCTAAAGGCCGAAGCACCATCTGGGAACCGACCGGCCATCGGCTGATGAATTAGCTCTTGACCCTAAAGTCTAGACTGTAAACGAGCAGCACACAGAAACGGAAGTCTTTGGATATCTGCCGGTTACGCCAGAACCACTGATGAATTATGGTCCAACGGTTGTGGTGCGACGGACAGAGGGGGAGGAGGTCTGAGGCCGACAGCCCGACAGGGTTGAAGAGCGAAACTAACACGCAGGTTGAAGAGCACAAGACAGCCGTTGCTAAACCCCGAGCAGACGGACAGACGGGAAACAACGAGCCGACGGGTAGAACCGAACCCGACGGACTGAGTGGAGAGCGCGGAGGGCGGCGGCGTACCTTCTCGAGGTCCTGCAGGGTGGCCGACAGCAGGGTTTCACCGCTGGTGACCCAGTGGCAAGCGAGGAGGCCGTACTGGCCCAGTCCAATTTCCTCCAGCCAGCCGCACACCTGCTCTGTGCTCCACTTAGAAAAAGGCCCCTTCAGGTCTCTGATGTGGAGAAGAGGAGCAGATGATTCACGTTAGTCAAATGCGGAAAAGCTTTTTGCTGCGACGCGATTCTCCAGCACATCACATAAGATCGGGTTTGGTTCTGCTGCTACTGCAGGTGAAGCAGTTAAAAGTGTTGATTGAATGCTCTTCTACCGTGTGTTCCCCGGACGGGCCAGTCTCGGTCCAGCTGTGGCTCTGAAGCCCCCCCTCCTGAGCTCGCCCAGCTCGGGGTCGTGGACTTGGGCCGGACTGCCCGACTGGCTGCGACGGATCCTGCGGGACAACCGACCCGCCGGTGAGACTCGGGCCAAACCAGAGGATGTACGCGAATCATCGGGGAGAAAAAAAACAAAAAACGTACTTTCCCCACAACTTCTTAATGCCCCTGTGGCTCTTCCTGCCCTCCGGTGAGACGGGGGACTGCTGCCCAGAGTCCACTCCAGAAGACAGGGCAGACTGGTCCGACTGAAGACACTCCTCCGGCCTTTCTGGATGCCCTGCACACAAACACAAAACAGCACAACTGACTCTCCAGGAATCTGGGATTGGGAATAAAACTGTGTTTTATCCGCCACTGTGGTTATTTCATTGGAAGTCTAATCCACATGGTGAACACCACTGTCAACGGCACACAAGCTGCACATTCATAATATGCACTTGGGTCCCTGTTTACTAAGATTGTGAGAGTTGTGTCAGTAGATAAACATGTTGTTTATATGTTTATTTCAGCGTCACACTGAGACTGCCCGACCTGCTTCAGGTTATGTGTTCTGTTCACTCTGTGTCACACAAACTGCAGCGCATGAAGCATCTTGGGCTTCTCTTCTACGCCGCCGGCGCCACAAAGACGACCATTGTTGTTTCATTCTCGGGCTCCTTGGCTACGTGCCGCTTGAGATACGATACCCACCAACATCACAGAGGTCACGTTCGCCCGGAGACCCCGTCTCATGGGAGGTTAGTGACAAGAAAGCCAGCAGGGGGTGAAGCAGAAGGCCGGACTAGTCACGCATTTGCATACGTGTAAATGCACAAGCAGGTGCTGAAACAGGATCAGGTCGGTGTGCGTGCGCACGCTGAAGCGTCACCTGTCTGGGGCACGGTGTGTAAAATGTTGCACGTTCCAAAATCCTGTGCAGTTTTTCCACATTTAGCATTATCATATGAACATTGGCAGTAACAAAGTTGTTAAATAATATAAATGTTAAATCTAAATCTAAATGTTAAATCTAACTTTTCCAATAACTTTTTAATTTAACAACTTTGTTACTTCCAAAACATTATCCTTGGAAAAGTTATTGCATGAATGTACATGAATTGTCTCTAAATGTTTGAAAAAGTGACATGTGAATATTGTCGTACTTTTTTGTTCATATGATAATGCTAAATGTGGAAAAAAAGTGAATTACCGTAATTATTGTAATGTTCATTTGTCAAGTCTTAAATGTTAAATGCAGAGCTGAATGTAGACTCTACATTTAACAGTTACATTTAGATTTAACATTTACATTTAGATTTAACATTTAGATTTAACATTTAGATATAACATTTAGATTTAGATTTAACATTTACATATAACATTTAACATTTACATTGAACATTTAGATTTACATTTACCATTTATATTATTTAACAACTTGTACATTTAACATTTACATTTAGATTTAACATTTACATTTAGATTTAACATTTAGAAATAACATTTAACATTTAGATTTAGATTTAACATTTAGATTTAACATTTACATATAACATTTAACATTTACATTTAGATTTAACATTTAGATTTACATTTAGATTTAACATTTATATTATTTAACAACTTTGTTTCTGCCAAACATTATCCTTGGAAAAGTTATTGCATGAATGTACATGAATTTCTCTGTAAATGTTTGAAAAAGTGACATGTAAATATTGTCGTGCTTTTTTGTTCATATGATAATGCTAAATGTGGAAAAAAAGTGAATTACCGTAATTATTGTAATGTTCAGTCGTCAAGTCTTAAATGTTAAATGTAGAGCTAAATGTAGACTCTACATTTAACATTTACATTTAGATTTAACATTTACATTTAGATTTAACATTTAGAAATAACATTTAACATTTAGATTTAGATTTAACATTTAGATATAACATTTAACATTTAGATTTAGATTTAACATTTACATATAACATTTAACATTTAGATTTAACATTTAGATTTACATTTAGATTTAACATTTATATTATTTAACAACTTTGTTTCTGCCAAACATTATCCTTGGAAAAGTTATTGCATGCATGTACATGAATTTCTCTCTAAATGTTTGAAAAAGTGACATGTGAATATTGTCGTGCTTTTTGGTGCATATGATAATGCTAAATGTGGAAAAACTGCGTAGGATTTTGGAACGTGCAACATTTTACTAACGGCGGTCCATACACCTGAGCCAACAGGACGAGAGCAACGAGCATTCTCTTTACTTTACTCTTTACTAGGCTGAAAACTGCACTGGGGGGGTTTAACCAAGGCGGTGCTAACACACCCGCTCCATCTAGAGAAGTCTTTTGTTGACTCTAAGCTCCGGCTGGACCTGCTCTCTCCTCGGGGGCCGTGGCGCCTCAAGTGAAAACAGCTCCTCGAGCTGGGCCCCTTCGCTCGTTTTTCGCGCGGACATCGCAAAAAAAGTGTGTTCTCGGCGCGGACGTCTGAATGCGTGCGTACCGTACCTAAAGCCGGAGCGCTGGCACTCCTGCACCGGACTGCACCCGCGGCACAAAGAGAGAGAGAGGGAGAAAGGAGAGCCGAGCAGACAGGGAGAGGACACACAGGGGAGCACATGGTTCAGAAGTAGCCAGCCGTTAGTTTAGTTGAAGCTTTTGTAATGCGGTTCTCTGCAAACTGACATTTGTGGTGCAGTGAAAACGATATTAGATAAACACTGGGCCTCTTGCAAGAATGCGTATCCCTCTATATGATGCAATAATATAGTCCAAAAGATCTCGAACCTCAGTGAGGTTTATTTACCTCAAACTGAACTGTACAAATATGCTGGTTTCATTTTCATGTAGGCTACACGATGTCATTATCAGCTAAATATGTGCGTTACACTATACAGCCTTCGGGTTTCATTTAAACTACTACTTCCTGGCAGGAACGTCTCATCACAAGAACATGACAAATTCATTCTTGAATTATGTATTATTATGTTTTGTGAGGTCACAGCGACTTTTAACATTTTGATCGGTTGATTGTGGCTTTTGACACAAACGTCTTGGATTTGGGACTGAAGAACGTGCCCGTCAGGACGTGTCCTCGGCTGGGAGCCGCTGAGGGGACACGTCTCAGCTCACCGTGTCCCCTCAGAGTTCCTCTACTCTGCATGTACATACGCGTCAATATTATCCCAAATCCTCAATTTGCCCACGAAGGAAGGAACCACGTTTGCATCTGCCTCACAGTGGCCGTTCAAATCATTTTCTCGTGATGTTGTCAACGTTCCATCTTTGAGATCAGGTCCCTGCCTCCCAGAATCTGACCCCGGGGGGGTGTGGGGGGCCCCGATGAGAAGCATTAAGAAGAAGGATCGGTGCCTCACGATGTCACATCCAAATGCAGCGCGTGTCTCCCACGGGTCTGGACCTAAATGATTGCACTGTCAAAGTATAAAACCCCCACATAGTGAATTCTAAGGTGTGGGGAGGTTTTCCTGTGCCGATGGTGGGTTTCCGGGACAGAGGATGTCGTGTGTGTACAGACCGTAAAGCCCTCTCAGGCATATTTGTAATTTGCGATTTTGGGGTAAACAAAATAAAATGAATTGAATTGAATTTTGACAGACTTGTCCTTGCAGGAGGCCCAATGTCCCACTGAGGCCTCGATCTCTTGTATTCAAACAGGCGGGTGTGATGTAGCGAGTGGCAGGCAGAAGAGACTCACTGAGACTGTAGTCCTGGTCCTGGTCCTGGTCAGAAGACAAATAGTGTCCGTCTGGCCCTCGGTCTCCTTTCAGCTCGGCTCTCGGCTCTCTGTTTTTACCTTTCAGTTTCCCGGGTAGAGTCTGGTACTTGCTCGCCTCCACCTGAGCATCCTGGAGGTCACCGAAAACACAACATGGGCCTCATTTTTTACATTTTTACACGTCCCGGTGCCTTTTTCGTGACGACAGAGCCCTGCTTCCGTCTGAGGAGAGTCAGCGGGACGCTGGGTCCAATGAGAGGACAAAAAGCCAGCAGAGAGAAGACGCTTTGTGAGGGATGCATGCAGACGCCTCCTCCCACAGAAAACGGGATTATATAAAGGACGAGGTGCACACACACACACACACACACACACACACTTTCTGGCTGGTTGCTTGTAGCTTGTAGCATGCCTGTAGTTGTGTAACAGATGTTGATGAGGCGAAGTCGATATTGCAAAACATTTGTGCGTTTCCTCGTCAATTCCCGGCGTCTACTCGAGGAGGAAGCGGGGCCTCCGTCACAGGGCTCCACGATGATTCGTGGCCATGAAACAAAAGCAGATGTACGCGCCGCTTCGTGAATGGCAGGAAAAGAACACTTTGCATGTACACATGAAGAACTGGCTTTGTGGAGACGTGTGAACAGGCAGAAGATCGGCGTTTTGAATGGACTTGACACACACACACACGGCACGCCGGGGGGGTCGGAGGGGGGGTTTCCGGGGTTAGTCTGAGGGGAGGCATGCAGCAGGTCAGTACCTCTGCCCTTGTGTCTGATTCACTTTCAAGGGGCTGGATCTGTACAGCCTGGAGCCAACGCAGACACAAGAGAAAGGACAGGACCCAGTTAGCGGTTTTAGTTCAATAAGTAGACACGGAGAAAGAAGCAAGCCAACGAGGAGAGTAGGACGGCATCGTGAAAGCCAGTGGAAGCTCAGGAGACCTTTTGGAAGGAGCCACTCTGCAGCTCCTCCAGGCTGCTGGACAGCAACCTGCAGCGATGCCTGCGAACGCAAACGCACACACCTCCCGATCAGAGACGATTACAGCGCCGCGCTCATTGTGGACGACGTGGGAAGTGAGCGGCGCACGAACGCAGAGCTTTCACGTACCACGGGCCGTTGAGGAAGCCGGCGTCCCCGGTGGACGCCTGCGCAGTGTTCGCCGAGTTCCGGAGGCTACAATTGGCACACCGGGCTGCGGTCAATATGCTGCTGTTAGCTGTGTGTGTGTGTGTGTGTGTGTGTTGAGTGTTTGTACCTGGAGTCCGATTCTCTCAGGTAGGGCGAGGAAGACAGCATCAGTGGAGACGAGCCTCTGGATGACATCTACGAAGAGACACCCGTCACTTTCATCGGTTTCGCCGTCACTCGCGTTGTCATGAAGTGTTTGCGTCGGCGTCCTCGCCTTACCTCTGACCGGCCGCAATCAGACGGCGCTTTGAGCGCGAGGGCTCCGGGCCGCAGACCGCCGTCCAGCTCCTCCTCGCTGCTCCCTGCAAACGCCACAGAGCAGCACGGCGTCAGGTCACGCACGCCGGGCGGGGGGGGGGCGGGGGCTTCTCAGCCTGCTTACCCTGCGTGAGCGCCATGGCGTCCCTCATCCTCCTGTACTGGCCGAGCAGGACGGTCAGCTTCTCTATGCGTCGGTCCTGTTTTTGTTTAAAGTGAGGGGACCGTCAACACTTCGATTGGACACTGAAGACGCCTCGACAGTGGCGTGATGAACAGGTTGGATTTACCTTTTCCTCGTTTGAAGATAACAACGACTCCATCCCCACCTTCAGCCTCTGGTATTCCTGGTCTAACAAAGACAGACCTGCCGTCAGAATGCTATTCTGGATCCACGGTGACCTTGTGTCTCATTCATTTAGGGCCCCTGATGGACGTGGCGGGGTGTTAGCGACAGTCATGGCAGCCATGCTAATGGTAGTAAACAAGCAGGACGGATGCACACTGACAGCAGCATCACCTGGGACACACTGCACCAAAAAAAAAAGGAAAGCGCAGCAGAAAAAGAGCACACAGACACACACACACGCACAACACTGAGCCACTTGTGTTAGAAGGAACTCCACCAATCTAACGCACACCGGAATCAGAATCAGACGCCATTTATTGCCGCATATGTTACACATAGAGGAATCTGACTTGATGCAGTGGCGCGATATAAGGAGAACAATGAAATATTAATAAATTAATAATAATAATAATAATAAGCAACAATTGACAATATAAACAGATAAGTATGTTAAAACATGTGTGTATGTCCATGTGTTTCCACGGTGGAGGTTTGGGGAGTGAGTAGTTCTTGCAGATAGGGAGGTAAATGGTAAATGGACTGTACTTGTATAGCGTCTTTCTAGTCCGACCACTCAAAGAGCTTTAACACTACATGACATCATTCACCCATTCACACCCATTCATACCCTGATGACCGAAGAACCGTACACAGTGACACCTGCACCTCAGTAACTAACATCCACACACTGCAGTCGCAGCTACAGGAGCCATCTTGGGTTAAGTGTCTTGCCCAAGCAGAGCCTGGGAATCGAAACCGCCAACCCTCTGATTGGAGGACGACCGCGCTCCCCCACTCACCCACAGGCGCAGGTCCATTTATGCATTTATGAGTGAGGAGTGGAAGTTTGTAGTCAATCCGGAATGAGACGGGGAGCCAGTGTAGTGAGTGTAGGACGGGTGTCATGTGCTCATATTTCCTCTCATCAGGACCCTGGCAGCGCTGTTTAGGACGGATTGTAGATTCAGGATATTCTTGCCAGTGATTCCAGTTAAAAGTGAGTGACAGCAGTCCAGTCTTGAGATAAAAGGCACGGACAAGCTTCTCTGACAGGGTCAAAGTGGGCGGAGTTTGGAGATGTTTTTGAGATGTTAGAAGGAGGTTTTGCACAGATATTTGATATGGTCATTAAAGGTCAGCTGTGGGTCAAACCTAACTCCCCGATTGGTAACTGTGGAGGAGAGGGCTACGACCTGACTGTCGAAGGTGGGATGGATAATGGAGGATGACTGAACCTGGTGTGGAGTGACAACAAGAAAGGCTTCGGTTTTGGAACTGTTTATCTGGAGGAGGGTTGCTGGGTCAATGGGGGACATGGACTTGGTTCAAGAGACCAACTGCTGACGGCAGTAGTGCTAGTAAATACAAGTTTACTAGCACTACTGCCTGTGAGTACGCTGGAATAATGGCTTCATGTCCCATCAATCGTCATCACTAAGCCCAGAGTACTTTCTCTCCTCACAGGTTCCTATGGGATATGGTCCTAACTGGACCTTGGTCCTGCCTCTACCTCTAGCAGTTCTAGTGGTTCAGTGGCCAAAGGGAACGGAAACATTACACTGATCGTCTTCAATGTCTACCCTCCCATGGGCCCACGGGGCCTTCACACGTTGACATGACGTGCGGCGCCGGGGATCGACCTACCGATCGAAGGACGACCCTGCTCTCCACTGGGCCCCAGTCGCCCAAACCAAACGAGACCGAAGCCTGGTAGATGGCGCTGTGCGTTGAAGGTCATACATGCATCTGCACCTTTCCGTTGTCAACAGGCCATGCCGTCAGGTATAAGCCCCATGCGTGCTAATGAAGCTGGAATGTTTACTACGACCAACACAAACGGAAGCTCGGCTGTGGTCCAAACCTAAACCCATCTCACTTTGCCACCACTTGACATTTTGCTGGTTTCACGCTTTGAGATCGCGCCAAATAACTCACTTGGCAACGGTAATGCATCAATGTATTATACAAAGTTACACATGAATCGAGGCAGCTTGGTGTACAGTGAGGTTCGGGATTGGAGCAGCAGCAGATGATGCCTTACATTTGTTAATCAGCTGCTTGATATACACCTCTTCTACAGCAGGGGTCAGCAGAGAGTCAGAGAGCAGTCAAGTACAGGCAGACGAGAGAGAGGGACATTTTGGTTAGAAGTTACAGCAGGTGTCTCTCTCGGGCACACATCTGCACGGACAGATGTGGATGTACAGGGAGTGGGGAGTACCTCTCTCCGCGTTGTCATTGGCTGAGCCGCCCCGGGCCAGCAGCTGGGTCTGCAGACATTCGATCTCGGCGTCTTTTGTCGCCACAAGCTGCTGCAGCTCCGATATCTGCGCCTGTGGAGGAGGGTAGAGTGCGTGTGATTCACGGACCTCCAACCTGTAACACCGAAGAAGCTGTACGCCATCGCTGAGATCTGACATCAGACGAGTTGCTCTCTGGGAAGACTAACTGAGTCCATTGTCGGCCAAAGGACGGATGAGAGTAACGAGACATTGTCCCCCTGTCATATGCTCTCCACTGACCCACAGTCCCATGTAACTCACTTGTGTTCTAATGACCCTCTACTTGAAGCGCTGCCCTCACGAGCTTAGTGTTCTCAGGTTAGATGTTCTGGTTTGACTGCGACCCCGCTGACCTCCCCCCTCCCTGTGGACCGTCCCGTCGGCGAAAGGCATGAAAGATTGATTTCCTCTATGAATTCAGAACCTTCTGGTGGTTGAGAATACGGCTTGCACCTGACAAACTCATCTGAGCTGTTGGAGACGGTGTGGCGGCCCTACAGATGTTGATCAGTCTTTCTTCAGTTCACCGTGTCTGGCGGCATTCACACTTTGATGAAGCCGGATGTGGGTCACACACACACACACACACACACACACACACACACACAGTCCATCTCTCAGAGACATCAGAAGGACAAACAAAGCCAAAGGAAAGAGGAGCTGCGAGCACAAAATAAGGAAATGAGGAAGTAGACGAGGAAGACGAAGAAGCAAACGAGAAGAGGAGGGACAGCGGGACTGGGTGCTGATTGGAAGACGGGGACAAGCACGGGAGACCGGAGCCAGACGAGGCGGAAGAGGAGGCACCTGCGCGCCGCGCCAGCGCTCCTCCCAGCGCCGCTTCTCCGACTGCGTGCGCTCCACCGTCAGCCGGAGGCTGGACAGCTGGGTCACGAGCGACTGGTAACACGCGCGGAGAGAGTGCGAGCTGGACAGCTGGAGAGAGCAGAGACACAGGAAGAGGGTAACGACGGGTGGGGTTAGAGATGAGGAGAAGGAAGGAGCAGAGCGAGCGAGCCGCAGAGATGGGAGGCGAAGAGGAGGAAGGAAGCACTGTGAGCGCAGGGAAAGCAATGGCGCCGACACTCACAAAGAGTCAGAGAGACGCGCTTCCTAAACCCGGTCAAATGTGTCCAGCCGCGTCTTGGCGAAATGAAAATGACCAAACGCAATTAGTAGATTAGTACCGGTCTCATGTCTGTGACGAACCGTCCAATACCGACCGACACCGTCCGTCCGTCTGATGAAATGTCCGATATACTGTTTTCAAATCAAGTCACACTGAGGGGGGGACCGTTAGCAGTCTGACCTCCGACCTTTGGTGGTTTGCTAGTAACCTTATGGGGAGGAAAGAGCTTATGTGTGTGTTTTCCAATTGGTTGGTTGGTTGTTTATCCAGTTTTACAGTTCTCGAATAAAAGCCCCAAACTGGCCTCTCTGTCACGTGACCGATTCCTCGTTCACTGGTCCAACACGTGGCCTTCATACAGTGTGTGAGCTCATTGCGCGGCCTGCGTGGGCCTCATCAAGTACCTTAGTGGCTCTCAGTCTCCTCTCAGACTGCTCCTTCTCTCCCTCCACTTCCTCCAATCTGCTCCTCAGCTGCTTCACTTCTTGTAGCAAATCCTACAGGGGGGAAAAAAAGACACAGCTTTGTTTACTCCGCACGTCTGTTTTGGAGCAATTGTCAAGTAGCCTAAACATGCAGGGGGGGGGGACACCTACTAGTTAGGAAAGGACGTGAATCCCATCCTAATGTCACAATGAGCAACATTAGCCGTGTAACATGCCAACATAGAAACGGGAGGGTTCACAGTGGTTACAAAAGGTCTCCCAAACTGTACGGTGGTTAATAAAGGAAACCCAGAGACGACCCAACGAGTCTAAGAGCTGGACAGGCGGCTCGCTGCCACTGTCCAAAGAAACCTCGCTCAGCACCGCGGCGTTATCGGAACAGCAAGGTGAGCCCATCCACCCGGTCAGTGAAGGGGGAAAACCGGCTCACGACGCTGTGTTAGTAGAGGGAGGAACCACCGTCATGCAAGCAAATCCAAACCAAAACACCACGGCGGTCAACAAAGCAGATCAACAGGATTTAGAGACAAAACCCGGATCGGCGCTGAAATGCGTTCGTCCAAAGGCTTCGAATACTTGAGGAGTCAGAGAGACGCCTAAAGTAGGTCACACTGCGCTAACGTAGGGTTCCTCGCTTGTCACCAACTCAGCCTCAACCTTCATAAACCCCTCAAAATGAATGGAAAGTATTTGAAAAGTCTCTCGAAATCTGCAAGAGCAAGAGAGCAGTGAGCGTGACCCCCCCGACACCATCTGCAAACACTCTACGAGCAAGGGTTGTTAGTTTGATTCTGTGGGGAGCTCCAAACACTCCAAACACCGGCTGGCGTGAGGGCTGGTCAGGAAAAAGGGAGACGAGAGGAAGTGACGGGGAAGGAGGGGAAGGAGTTCATCCGTCTAGTCTCCCTACGTGTACAGTCTCTCCTCCGTGGCGCTCCCTCCGGTCCGAGCCGGCTAACCCGGCCTGGCTCAGGCCGCCCCCGGCCTCCCCCCGCCGGGACTCCCTCTCCTCCAGGGCCCGTTTCTCCTGGATGCGAGTGCTGATCTCCTCCTGAAACCTGCACATCTGCTCCTGAAGCTCGCTGATGAAATTCACCACACACTGGGGTCGGGTGCAGGAGACGAGGGGGACAGAAGGGGGGGGGGGGGGGAGGAGACCAAAGGAGGGGAGGGGAGAGGCGACGAGAGGACGAGAAGGTGGGAGGAAAGGGGAGATGAGAGGGGACAAGAGTGGAGGTGAGAGTAGGAGAGGACAATCACTTTTTTAAAATCATTTCAGCATCTGGGAAAGCTGTCGATCTACTGAGGAAACTTTAAACTTCACACGCTTTAAACAACTTAACATACAAATAAGAAAGTGGGTACAGGAGAAGGAATTAGAGTAGAGATCTTTGTTAGCTGGAAGATGAGCAGACGATATGATCATCACATGTGAACACCCGGTCCAATCCACTCAGAGGGCTTCCAGGTCCCAACAGGGTCCAGATAAAGGTCCTACAGTGAGAGACTCGTCTTTTCCTGACAGGCAACACGTCAAACATTCCAGTGTCACCACTCACACCTCCAGTGCTCCTAGTCAGACGGACCAGGCTCCTCCTGCAGCAGATGTAATAGCACCAACATTGTTTGTTGTTTTTTCCCCCCACTTCCCAATATCAGTATTATTATCAGGTCTAAAATATCAGAAATCTATACCTACAATCTATCCATTTTACCCACTAAGCTGCTTAGGACACCACATGTCAGACGGGGACCATAAAAGTGTCTTACACCCTGATGTGGTCCAAACCCGTCACAGCTCCAGGCCGAGTGAGGACCACGTGAGCCAGAATCTGTGGCCAGCGGGAGGAAGAGGACTCGCGTGAAACACGAATGCGGGGTGCGGTTGAAATAACCCCGCGGGGTTTGTGTGGTCCGCGGCGGGGAAAGTGTTTGGCCCCTCGGAAATGCTCGGAGTGGATGCCAGCCATTCCTCCTGCAGCTGTTACAAACCGCACACACTCACTGACAAGAACCTAGACCACCGTCAGCTGCCACCATGACCAAAGCAGAACATTTGATGCGTTTGATCCGGTGTGCGTGCACGCGAGCCAGACCAATTGTTCAGCTCACCGCCGCCACCTCTGCTCATCCTGTGGCGATGGCGGCTTTGGTCTTTCCCCAAAGCGCATCATCCATTCAGCCATTCGCACTCGTTCAGCTGCCAGTGGTTCCATTTCTTTCGTGCGTTTGCGCATGTGAGTAAAGAGTAAAAAGGTAAATGTGCTCGCACGGCGATCTTCTAGTCTTCGACCGCTGCGACACTATCGTTCGCCCGTTTGCAGCCATTCGTGGACTGAGTAGAACCGAACACCATTAAGCTACATCTCTGCGTCTAACAGATCATAATGCGTTCAATGCTTTAGTGGCAACCGACAGCAAGGAACAACGGTGAAGGTTTGTAGAACGGCCACGTCGTTTTGTTGGTCGCTCCACGACTTTGGTCCACGCGGAGATCAACAACTGTTGGATTGGTGTCCACCGACTTTCGTGTTCCCTTCAGAAGGAACTTGAAGGAACCTTCAGAAGGAACCTGAAGGAACCTTCAGAAGGAACCTGAATGCCTTTAGTGATGCCTTCACTTGTCCCCTAGAGGGATGTTATTCCTCGGCGTAATAACATTGTGCTCGCAAAGCTAACAGCTGCCATGTGGACATTTGGAAAAATGGTCAAAAAGAAGTTGGATGGGACAAAAAACAGGGAAACGAAATCGGACCTGGTAGAGAAAGCAAAGATTAAATATAAACCCCAACTCTTCTGCACCGCAGATCAAGTGGTTTATATTACGTTACATGTCATTTAGCTGACGCTTTTATCCAAAGCAACTTACAATACGTGCATTTCAACCATAAGGATACAAACCCAGAAGAACAAGAAACAAGAAAGTGCAATTTCATCAAATAAGCCGATCTATATGCTACAGTTAGTTAGTCTTTAGTGGAGGTAGAGTCTGAAGAGGTGTGTCTTTAGTCTGAAGATGTGAAGGCTCTCTGTGGTCCTGGTGTCTTCAGAGACCTCCTTCCACCATTTAGGGGCCAGGACAGCAAAGAGTGGAGATCTAGTCGAGTGTTTTGCTCTCAGTGAGGGAGGAACGAGCTGTTTATCACATCCAGAGCGGAGAGTGCGGGTCGGGATGTCGGGTTGGACCAGGTCCTGGATGTAAGCTGGACCCGCTCCATTCACAGCATGGTACGTGAGCACCAATGTTCTGAACTGGATGCTTGCAGCCACCGGTAGCCAGTGAAGAGAGCGGAGGAGTGGAGGAGTGTGGGAGAACTTAGGAAGGTTAAAGACCAGACGAGCTGCTGCAGAGGTGGAATGGCGGTAGCAGGGGAGAATATATATATATATTCCGTCTGAACTGTTAACTAGTTTACAATCTGTCTGGTGGCTGCCTTCTCCATGAGCAACGTCTCAATAACCACAGGCTTCCTGTTACCTGTACAAAAGGATAGCCAAGCCACAGCTGGTTCCATCAGTGATCTGAGCAACAATAGTTATTTTGTGTGGCAAATGTCACTGGAATGGATACATCTGAAGATCTCACCTCGTTTACATTATGTGGGCTAATGTGGCTTCCTGACCCAAGAACCGGTCTGACACCGACTGCTGACAAGACTTTTCCTTTTGCCCGACCCGAAAGCTTGTTTCCACATAAAATGTGACCCCGGAGGAGTCACTTTTGTCACTTTGGTCGTCTCACGCAGGCAGGCGTCGCTGGCAGCTACCTCGCCGTCGCGGGACAGTAAAACAATATTTCCACAGTGCATATTGTCATTCCTCCCGCTGCTTTTGTCCTCTCATGGAGCCCATGCTCATCACGCTCCGTCCATGAGTGTGCAACAAAAACACACTGAATCCTGTTTATTCCGTCAATGCATTGCCATGGGGGCTGGAGGCCTCGTGACACACGCACACACACACACACACACACACACACACACACACACAGTGCTAAATTACAAGAGCAGCTTCAGTATCTTGTGGTGTCATTGGGGAGCAGCTGGGTGACACAATGAACAAAGTCCAAACAAAGAACCTAGTGACAAGACAAGGAAAGACTGCTCAACTAGGGTGGCATGCACGTCCATGTGTGTGTGTGTGTGTGTGTGTGTGTGTGTGTGTGTGTGTGTGGGCACCATTATTTGTGTACGTCTTCTTCTTGTGGATATATAATGCAGAAAAAAAGCAAACCAAAAAGGAGGACTAAAGACCTTTGGAGAACTCAGTGGTTTTTGTGTTTCGGGTAGTGGCCCTTGACACATTAGCTAGAGTGGAACTAAGCCGGTGTTTGGGGAGAACAACTGCATGTGTTAAAAAAAAAACATGTTGCATGAAACCTTCTGTCTTTCCCCTCTTCAATGAGCAGCTAACAGCCCCAAAGTGGATCTGTGAACAGACGCTCTCCTGCCACCAGGCAACAGTTGGGTTCTGTGTATTCCACAACTGCTGCAACTCTACCTATTGTATTGGCAACCATTACCATTTTTAATTGTGATTGATCGCACTATTTTTTGCAATTAAAAGTTGTTTATTTGGTACTTTTATTTATGCAAATTCTTTTTCTTCTTATAAATTAAATTAAAATTTTAATTTAAAATGAAAAAAATCTAAATGAAATCGAATAACCAAAAGCCAGGGCATTAACATTAATGTTCACAATGCTTATTGATGAGTGATTAGAAACAGTACACGTGGGTCCCAGGGAGGGAATCAGGTGAGGGGGAACTTTAAAATTTAAAATAAAAAAGAGATCACTCCCGTTCATTTCTCCACCCGTTGTTTTCCGGGTTTGGGTTCATGCGAGCGCTGACCTGACTGACATGCATTTGTGTGTCTGAATGTGTTTTCACAGCCAGTCCCCAACGATGTCACAGGAAGTGATGCATCTTTCTCTGGCAATACCAACGTGTATTTATCTGGAATAAAGAAGACGCAGGCATGACTAGTTAAATGACGTCTACAAATGTGCTACTTCCCTTTATAGCTGCAAGTAGTTACAGCGGTGCAATATCTCAAGTGTATTAGCAAGGTAACAAAGTGCAGCGAGCTAAAGCAAATTAAACTTTTTGGGGTATTAAAACCACATTTGAAGGGACAGTGAGAGTCATAACACTTGTTAACTAGATATTATGATGACTTATTACAGTACTATGCAATGTCGGTTTGGACTGGTGTACTGTAAGTATGTGCACGATTACCAATGTACTTAATCTATGTACAAAAATTGATAATATAATATTGCGAGGAGCGCTTCACCCGAGAGCTCTTTTTTTTTTAATGTTTCCATAACAACCGTGTTGATGACATCCCATTTGCCGCTTCGCTTTTTATTTTCTATTTTGCTGCTTTTGGCAACCTTTGCAAGTTTCACGCCGTGGAAACTAGAAAAAAAATGTATCCGTGTACTCATCGCAGCTCCCGACCAGCTTCTGACAAACGAAACGAGCCTCTCCTCCCATTAACTACGGTGACGCGACCACGTTTACCTTGAAGAGTCGGGACTGGCCACGCAGTCCACGTCCACTCTAGATGGAGAATCTAGAGAAAGGACACTTAGTGGACACTGCCTACGTTGTTGGACGTAGTTCATATGTGGATACGTCACACTTATGCCGCAGTACGATTCAACGAGCAGCAGCTGAAACACACGCAGCCCTCGTACCTCGGCCTTGTTCTGCTGGGCGTCCGCGGGGTCCTGTGGCGGGGCGTCGGTGTGCGTCCTCTCCACGCTGACCAGCTCCAGTTTGAGGTGGGACATCTCGTCCATCAGGTCCAGCTTCTGGGACTCCAGAGAGCTCCTGCTCATCAGCTCCTGGGGAAAACGAGTTTGACGCTTTGAAAGTAGCGCCGGGGGGCTTTTACGACGCACACCTAAAGAAATGAGGAATACACATCGGTATCTATCGGAGATACGCAACGGGAAGCCATCAGCGCGCTACTCCTCTCAGGGGCGATGTTGTTCCCACGCTAGCAGGCCAGGCCAGGGGCCCAGACCCCACAAAGCTAAATATACACCGGCGAGCAGGGGGGGGGGGGCTGGTGTTCATACAGCGCCGCGCTTCTCTGGAATGACGCGGAGAGAAAGAATGTGTTTAAAAAGAGGGCGAGAGAGGCTGCTGAACGTGAAGACGTACGCGTTTCCTCTTGAGTCACACAAAACGCACGTGTGCGTCTAATGCTTTCGTTTCCTCGTCTAATCCCACTTCCTCTCGCATTAATTCACTTGAAGTGAAGTTCGGTCCGCTTAGAGTCAGACGGACCGTGAAGGCGGAGGTAGCTTGCAATTGACAGGTGAAAGTGTTAAAAGTCTTTCACGGCGTATTTTATTAGCAAAAAGCAAGCTTACGATGGCTAAACGACACTAAAGACATTTTCATTCCAACCGAATACGTTTTGAAGAAACATTATTTCAACATTGATCAGCGCTGTAGTAATTAAGGATTCCACAACTAAGGAAAACAACAGCCATCAACCTTGAGCTACATGCTAACGTCAGCATGCTAACACGCTCACGGCGACAATCACGACGGCGTTTAACGTAGTCAGTGTCTTAGTTTAGCGTCTTATGCTAACACGACAGTGCAGTGAGACCGATGGGGATGCCACAAGGACACCTTTACGTTTGTAAATGACTCATTCTCATGTCATTATTCAGGCATATATACGGATAACAGGAGCTTCCACACACAGTGACACCTGCCCATCAGTCTATCTGACATTACTGCTGGAGCAGTTAAGGCGTAAAGTGTCTTTAGAGCCGGGGATCGAACCTTCGATGAAAAGACGATCCTGCTCTACCGCGGGGATCATGAGTATCGTCAGTATACGTTGTCCGGCCACCATGAAGCGAAATGCGATCCATCCGACGGTTATCGAGACCCTCCAGTGATTGATCATAAAAGACCATTTGGTGTATGTGGAGCACATACTCAAACTGATACATGTTTTTTCTCTTGAGTTGATTAGGCACTGAAGGGGCGCTTGTTCTGTGTATAAACGTGGAGACCGCAGAGGGATCCCATACCACCCAAATGGAAAGATCACGTGGTAAACCTTTTGAGTCAACACCACAGCCACAGACATACTGACAGCTAAAACCTCATAATCTCTCCAGCTCAACGCACACACACACACACACACACACACACACATTCTTAAGTCGCGGCAGCTGACTGTCAGTTTGTAATCTAACACTAGTCTCACTTACAGCAGGATAAGCTGCAGTCTTTCGAGGTCATTTATCAGAACTTGTGGTCATGGCTCAAAGCTCGGCTGCCGGACATCTGCTTCGCTTTAAATTACGAGGAGCAACGGGTGAAACATCCACACAGATCTCTTTAAAGAGGCGTCTTCGTCTTGACAAGATAAACTGTTGAATACGACACGTTATGCACACACACACATGACTGAAGAGTGTCTTTTGCGACCTACAGAGATGTTCAGGGCAGGCAACACACACGGGAATTATTAAAAACAAGTTGGATGAAGATGAGTGGGACACAGGCCTAGATGCCTGGAGATTGTTTCCCCTCTGCCCTAATGGGGAGGAGAGGACAAAGAGCTTGTTGATGGCTCAAACAGAGAGCCGATTCTGGGATACAAAGAGCTGTGCCCTCGCCGTTTGCCTCATCACTGACGTCAAGTAAAAAAAATCATTAAAAAGGCACTTGAGACCTTCAAACGGGTTTCACACTACTGATTTCCAGCAGTTCCGTGTACCTGCAGTCCAGTCGAACCGCCAAGGCATGGTGACCACCCTGATACAGATGCTCAACCCCCCCACGGGGGACATGGGCACGTGGAGGCTCAACGTGGTCATTTTACATTTCAGGCTTGTTCCTCACGATCAAGTCACTCCTCGAAGAAAATAAAGCTTTTTGTCTTCTTAAAGAACACATTCCTTCTTCTCAATCTCAAATACCGAAATAGCGCCTCTCAGCATCGACGGTCCATGTAAAGGTACCCTTATGGCGTCAGGACGGCATGTACAGTACGGTTATATAAGTATGAGCAGTAGAGTACCAAAGAGGTCTCCTTCACAATACAGGGGTTGGGGTTATTGTTGTAACATTTAAAGCGCTTGGCGCAATGAGAAGCTTTGCCCTTCCAGGGGATCCGTCACACGAGGTCCACAGTCTAAACTCATACTGTGCCACTCCTTTCATTTAGTCATGTACAGTCCATCCGCACAGCTATCGTTGACCCCTCTTCAACTAAAAAAAACAAGTACACTAACAAGATCAGGGGCTGATTGATTTCCTCGTGATTATCCGTTATTCATATTAAATAACAGTATCGTTTGGAACATCTGGGAGCATGTGTCCCGTTTTCAACATGAATGAATAAAGTAATACAGTTTAGCTGGCCCACACACACACACACACACTCAGGTCCTCTACAGACACAGGATGGGTCAATGCGGACATCTCCAGATGGTTATCGGTCTTTCAGTTTGAGCAGTTTCATCGTAAAACCCATCCATACGCAGAAGCTAAAGCTATGGGAGCTATTTGGGGTCTGGCCCAGGGACACATTCACAGGGACTAGCGGGATCGAAACCCCCGTTCTGATTGAAGGACAACCCTGCTGTCCCACAGTCAACCAGCGAGCAGTGTTCTCCATGTCGTATCTGGACCTTGAGCTTTAAATGGGACTGTTCTGACACACGCAGGCCACATCATCTGCATCCTCCAACAACTACAGCCGCTTGTGTTACACTTGTGTGACACAGACGTGATCGTGTGACGGCCTCACCTGTTGCAGCATCTCTTCAGTGGAAGCCAGTTTCTTCCGGTGCTCCTCCAGACAGCTCTCCAGGTCTCGGATCTTCTCTCCCTGGGCCTCCACCTGGTCAGTCAGGACGCTCACCTACAATTGCGAATGGTGACAAATGCATTCCCGATTAGAAAAACATCCACAGGCCGAGCTGAATTCACAGAAAGCTCCCGCTGAGACACACGTTTATGTGGTGGCGATGAAAACACCACCTACCCAAGTTTCATCAACACCCAAACACAAATCTAAACCGGTCTTATCACCAACATCATCTGGTCTCTTTCTCTTCCTTGTGTCCACACAGTGGCACATTCATCCTGGCAAACGTCTACTCCAGAAGAAAACACATGTACTTTACTTACCGACTCTGAGTCCCTTCAGCTTCTCTAACTAAATGCCAACACACACAGAGACAACACCTCACACAAACAAGAGTCTCGAAGGAGCGGCACCCAAAGAGAAGATGTGGCAGGGAACCTGCCGGCAGCCAGTTCATTCAGGAGGAACTCCAGTCCACCTCCAACGTCAACCAATCACAGCTGCGCTAAGACGCGCGATGTGTAACAAGCAGGTGTGTGAGGGGGGGGGCAAATGTGAGGAGTTTATGAACCAGCGCCACCCAGTAGGGTGGTGCGTTAAACGCCCGCGCCAAACAAACAGTAGAAAACAAACAGTCAGCAGAGCATGTGTGTAAGGTCCCTAATGGACCTGTTGGTTGATTTTTATATTTTGCAGTATTACAAACTGAAGGGCGCAAAAAAAAAAAAGTAAAGCTATGTATTTTTATCAATTTTATACACAAAAAGCACCTATGCACACAATCGAGGCAGTGTTCCCTCCTGAAGGCCCGGAGCAGACAGCTGGTCAAGATCTCAGCTATTAGAATCACGCAGAGCAGGAGAGCCTGCAGACATCACGCAGAGCACACTTATACAATCTTCTGCTTTGGGCGCCGATGTTGGTAGTTACTGTAAACACCTGCTCAGACAGGTTTAAGGTGTCTGGACACGTTTGTTAGGAAATATTCAGTTCTAGGATTACAGACTAGGAGCTGAGCTGTTTTTCTCCGTGGCGTCAAACCCTCCGGACTCAAATGAACTTTCCAAGAAAAGCAACTGAGCCGGAGTAACAATTATGATGCTATTTGAATGAATCCAATGCAGATGTGCGCTGGCAGACAGACAGGAAACATGGGGCGGGGGGCATGCAGCACACAGTCAGAGATGGAATCAAACGGGACGTTTGGGGTTTTCATGCTGCACGTTCTCCTCACAAGATGGAGAACGGTTTGGATTTTGCAGACTCTCTCAGTGGATGGGGACTTTGGCGCCTGTTGCTTACTCGTTAAGGGACCACGTTAAGGGGCCACGTCACGGGACCATGTTACAGGGCCACGTCACGGGACCATGTTAAAGGGCCACGTCATGGGACCATGTTACAGGGCCACGTCACAGGACCCCGTTAAAGGACCACGTCATAGGGCCACGTCATGGGACCATGTTACAGGACCACGTCATGGGACCATGTTACAGGGCCACGTCACAGGACCACATTAAGGGGCCACGTCCTGGGACTATGTTACAGGGCCACGTCACAGGACCACGTCACAGGACCACATTAAGGGGCCACGTCCTGGGACCACATTAAAGGGCCACGTCATGGGACCATGTTACAGGGCTACGTCACAGGACCAGGTTCAGGGGCCACGTTACAGGGCCACGTCGCAGGACCAGATTCAGGGGCCACGTTACAGGGCCACGTCACAGGACCAGGTTCAGGGGCCACGTTACAGGGCCACGTCACAGGACCAGATTCAGGGGCCACGTTACAGGGCCACATCACAGGACCACGTTATGGGGCCACATTACAGGGCCACGTCACGGGACCACATTAAAGGGCCATGTCATGGGACCACGTTACAGGGCCACGTCACAGGACCAGGTTCAGGGGCCACGTTACAGGGCCACATCACAGGACCAGGTTCAGGGGCCACGTTACAGGGCCACATCACAGGACCAGGTTCAGGGGCCACGTTACAGGGTCATGTTACGAAACAAAAAACAAGACTGCGAGAAAAAAATAGTTCTAAACACAAGAGGAAACCAGACACTTTCTATTGTAACATTAGTTACAATATAGGAATTATTCAAAATACAAATTTGACATCTATTCCTCAATCAAAGGAACGTATTGAGATCAGACATATATATCAGCAAATTTAAAGACAGTGATTCGTATTAAAAAGAAGGTACTAAGCGCTACGGCTCTGACCTGTAGCACCAGAGACTCCTTGTCCCCTTCTAGGCGGAGAAGTCGTTCCTGGCAGCTTTCATTGTTGGCTGGAGAACAGAAGTCCACCTGGATGGAGACACAGAGAGACGTGGAAATGTACCTTTGTTTATTCGCAACATGGATCAGGATTTCTCAAGAGAAACGCAATTTTGCAGGTGCATTTTGCACCTAAAACATTGAGTTTCATTCTGTGGGTGGTGGAGACCAAAACAGTGCTGGAAGCACCGACAGGAGGAGTTACGGGCAAACACTAGTAACTAGTACTAGCTGCAAATGTCAGTTTTTTTCATGGTTGTTCATAGTAACGAACACATAAACTGCGGTAAATGCGAAAAGGTTCTAGCAGAGGATGTAGAACCCTTAGAACATAGACACGCCGCTATCATGACGATAGAAGCTAAACATCTGCATCTTAAGCCTGTATCTCAAACTCTAGCCTCACGCTGCTAACTGCAAAACTTCAAAACCACTTTGCAAACATTTTCTAATGAGAAGAACACGAGAAGAAAGAAGAAATCCTCGTAGGGAAATTAGTTATTTAACCAATCGGAGACTGCAGAAGTGACGCGCCGCTTAAAAGGGGCAGATGAAGGAAGCCAGGCCCGTCTGCTCCGTCCGTCTATCAGCCGAGACAGAGAGGGGACGAGCGCCAAAGCATGCCGCTCATTTTAATAAATATCTTTAGCTTGAGCTTTTATGCTAGAGGCTAAAGTCACCATAACTACTATGTAGACTTATTGATCACACATGGCCATGACATCACTGCTTTTCACCTCTGCTCCAGTGTTGCACGTTTTGTGGACCCCATTGGGAAAATGTCCACAACCACCCTTTATTTTTCTGTGCCAAAGGTCATTTCAATGATATCCATGCAAAAGGTTATTTGTGGGCATTTTTAGTTTTTGTTAACTGAGCCCAGTTGTGTATTCTTTCTTTGGAGTTTTTGTCACATACATTTGAAATATTTGGTGAGTGGCGCGTTTAGCAGCGTGACAGTGGGACGGACTCCTCATGACATGCGGTGTCTAGGAATGCATGACAACATCCAGCACTGCACCCACGCTCAGTGATTCACAAACAGGCTCCATATGTCACTGCAAATGCACGGCCATAATACACACTATACCCGCTGCAGAGCCTGAGCTTTCTGCTAAAACTGGTCACTGTCACACCGCTGTGTCTCTACGTGGGACCTAAAAGCTGCACGACGTGGGCACCGCCTGACTATCGGCGTTCAAGAGGACTCCAAGGCAGGACGGCGACGTTCACAAACCATCGTTCATTTAGCGGACCTGCAGATGCACACTGACGTCCATCTCTCTTTCTCTGATGAGAAAGTGCCAGGATATTCAAGGGGAACCCAGAACAGGGGGAACAGACTATTCGCTGCAGCGAACGTCACATTGCTCCATGTGACGCTGCCAACATTTGCTCGGGTTCCGAGGTACATTATCACTAGAAAATAGTTTGACCATTCAGCCTACAGCATGTGATCAAACAAACCATTAAAAGAGACAAAGAGGGACAAAAGTCTTCATTTTGGCGCAAAAGTCGTCCAGCTTTTGGTCCTCGTGCAAATCCGTAGGCCAAGTTACAAAAGCAAGCGTTAGATTAATGTGAGCCAACTAACTGCATGATGAATTCAACATCAACAGTTTGTGAGTTTAAAAGATCAATGTTTCAAGCCCAATGTGAGGTTTTTGACAAAATGACACAAACGTAGTGGAAACTTATTTTACCTTCAACAATCTGATTACAAACTGTTAAACAACAGAAAGCAAAGACTCTTTACACCCCGAACGGCACACGGAGAGATCTCTGTGTTAATAACAGTCAGCCGAAGGGAAAAGCTGCGTTCCTCCACACACACACACACACACGCACAAAATTGAGATGCAGCCATAATGACGTCAAAAGTCAGTGTGGTAAATAACACACGAAGGACATGAACATAATAAATCAACAGAGCCGGAACAACTACCCGCGTCTTTTTCCTATAAGTATATGAACCCTCCTCAACAAGAGGGAATGTGGTGTGAGGAAGTAAGGAAAGGAAAGGAAAATAGAAAGAAATGGTCCAATGAAGCCAAACGAAACGTTGGCGCTCACCCTTTTGAGCCAGGAGAAGTGTCTGTGGAAGTCAATGGGAGTCTCCATGTTCCCGGCCCATTGCTGCCCTTCTAGTTTCCTCTGTGCCGCTGTCCCACCCTATCATGCTGTGTGTGTGTGTGTGAGAAACTAGATGAGGAGATTCTGCATGGAAGTGTGTGTGCGCCGCTCACAGCTGTGGAGGAGGGAGTTTTATGATATGTGCCTTCTGAGAGGGATCAGCCCCCCTCCGTCCTTTCGGTCTCCCCCCTCACTCTGATCTCTGCTTTCATCAGTCACTCGCTCCTCCTCTCGTGCTCCGGTCTGGTTGCAGTTCTTCCCTTCTTCTCCTCCACCCCACCTCCTCCTCCTCTCTCTTTGTTTTTCTACTTTTCTCTCCCCCTGCAGAGGACAGCGGGCTGTTTTCTTTCTTTCTTCTTCTTCGTTCCCTCACAGCAGTCTTGGTCAACGTTCCCTCGCTTGAGATACCCGGAGCGGCAACAGGCTGTAATGTCGGGCACCGTGCAGGATCCATCTCAGGCTGCGTCTGTGACCCTCTGCACACGTTCCACACAAACCCAACATGCACAGAACCTCTTGTTAGTGATCAAGGGTCAGGCAAACTGTATGCATGCATGTATGTGTGAACCTTATTCCTGAAATGACATGTGTCATTTGTTGTTTGTTATATAACAAAATTCTAACTTTGCATATTTGCAGAGGAGCAGAAAGAGCGTTTACAGCTGATGGGTTGCACCATGTGACCCATGTGCACCATGTGACCCACACATTTGAGGCAGTCTGACTACACTGCAGCAAGAAGAAGGATTACCGTTTGGAGTGCTACCATGATCCTTGCTTAACCTGAACACCTGAAGCTGAAAAATACACAGACTGTATTTCATGCTGATAAAAGATTGTTATCCCACTCGGCTGTTCCTTTGTGCTACCACAGCCTCAGCAAGGAGCACAGGAGCCTGTGAAGACATGCTACTGTCTCTGGGTCAGCGGTAATGAGCAGCAGTCACAGGATGTCACAACTTCCTGCCAATAATGCCCTCTGATGCTGCTTCCTGTTCGACTGAAGACGATCCCCTGGAGACGCACGTCTTTCATCCTGTTACTCTGAGGACCAATTTTGAAGATTCAAGTTTGTTGGGAGTCCACCGCAGCTGGTCTCATGAGACACGTCTGAAATGCCTCTTTCATGTCATTTCTGTTAAGCAGATGCATTGGATCACAGGAAACAAGACTACAGATGGCTGACAGAAGATCATTGGCTCTAAGTGGACGAAGACAAAATACACAAAAACAATAAAGCACAACAGCAAAACAAAAGTGAACTTGAAGAGAACAATTGAAACATAAGCGATGACTAGATAAGACATAGAGGGAGAAAAGGGGGGAGAGCTCGAAAACAAAAAAGACGAACCAAAGGAGGGAGGCTGGCCAGCGATCGTGTGCAACATGTGAGACATCTGCTGTGGAAACAATGGGGGACTCAAACCCCGCTTTCCTCCTCAGCATGTGGAAAACCTCCGTGCGGCAGGAAACAGCGGCCTCTGCCGGTAACACTCGCTACACGCGAGCGTGCAACTATACAACAACTGGGAAGAGGCAAGTCCAGACTGCCGTCTGTCTCCTGTGGTGTTCCGCAAGGGTCGGTCCTTGGTCCCATCCTCTTTATCACCAACATGCTGCCCCTCGGCCGTGTCATCAGCAAACATGAAAATGTCCTTTCACTGTTATGCTGACGATGTGGAGCTCTACATCAAGACTGCCCCAAGCCCCTCTGCCGCCATGTCATGTCTCAGCGCTCGTCTTGGGGAGATAACAGCATGGATGAGCAACAACCTTCTCCAGCTAAACAGTTCCAAAACCGAAGCCCTTCTTGTTGGCACTCCACACCAGGTTCAGTCATCCTCCATTATCCATCCCACCTTTGACAGTCAGGTCGTAGCCCTCTCCTCCACAGTTACCAATCGGGGAGTTAGGTTTGACCCTCAGCTGACCTTTAATGACCATATCAAATACCTGTGCAAAACCTCCCTCTAACATCTCAAAAACATCTCCAAACTCCGCCCACTTTGACCCTGTCAGAGAAGCTTGTCCGTGCCTTTTATCTCAAGACTGGACTGCTGTCACTCACTTTCTACTGGAATCACTGGCAACAATGTACTGAAATTACAATACATCCAAAACAGCGCTGCCAGGATCCTGATGAGAGTCCGGAAATAGCAGAACATAACACCCAATCCGACACTCACTACACTGGCTCCCCGTCTCATTCCGGAATGACTACAAAATTCCACTCCTCACTCATAAATGCATAAATGGACATGCACCTCCCTTTCTGCAAGAACTACTCACTCCCCAAACCTCCACCCGCCGAGACCCAGGCCGGACCGACTCGGGGTGTGAGGGAGGCAGCGCAGCACAGGAAGTCGATCATAGTCCAGTTGTAATAGAGTCTCTGAGGACAACTTAATGGAACCCGTCCAGAAGTTCCCCCCTTGCTCCTTTGTCTCCTTCCTCTACAATGCAAACGCTGCAGCGGAACAGACACATAGGGACTTATTTTACCTGAAATATAATGAAGAATCACTAAAGCCGCGTTTACACAGGCCACAACAAGAGCGTTGTTGTGTTGTGTGTGATGGAATGTGGGCACCCCCCCAGCTAACTGTGTCCACAGAGGGGTGCACAGGGTGGTAGAGCTCCGTCACGGTAAACAACTGCTGCTGCTGGACGGAAACGCTTGATGAGAAGTGAAAGTGAAGAAGGAACCTGAAAGGCTGAAGGTCCGTCATCATAGAGCAGGCAAAGGTCTAAAGGTACCGTCTCAGTTGTTCTGTGGAGCTTTTAGTAACTCGTCCCAATGTTTGTTGACCACAACAACAACACGGTCCACTGAATCCACTAAAAATCACCACCGTCAGAAAGCTCAATCAGTCCACCGCGCTGAAAGAATGTTACACGGTTCTCCCAGATTCTTGTGATGAGAGGATGCGGTATGAGTACAGTCAGTGAGACGTTTCCAGAGGACCTGGCTGCATCTACACCACGAATGAGACCTCATGTCACGTCGAGGTGGAAGTAGTGTTGCACGGGGGACCGGTACTAGAAAGGTATCGCGGTACCCATACGTTGAAAACAATACGGTTTGGAATATTTTTAGTACCGGTACTTTAAAAAAAAGCATGCAATTGGAGCGCTGTTCCGCTCCGTGTCCGGCCGCCTGCACACATCGACTGCGCAGCTTTCACACACATGCGAGTTATCGGGGGAGACGCGCCCTCACGTAGCAGACTGCTCACCCATATACAGCCTAACACCATTAGCCCTAGCCTAGCTTAGCTCGGGTGACCACACGTCCTCTTTTACCCGGACGCATTTTTTAGGTCTCGAAAAGAGGAAATGTCGTCGTCTCCTTTGTCTTGTGTTGCGCTTGCTTGATGTTTGACTGTGTTTGGAAAATTGTTGACTTGCTAGTTTGTCATAAACAAAGTAAGTTTAGCCGCTAGCAGACATCTCGTTAGCAATGTTAGCAAGCTTGTTATAAAACGCTAGCATAGTGATGCTAGTATTAAGTGCTCTCGAGTCGGCTTCTTTGTAATGGTACAGGGACACTTTTCACTAAACCTTGGAGTGAGACGTTGGGGGTGAAGCTACGGCTGACGGGGGGTGTAAGTTACGCTACGTGCAGCGAATCGGGTTATAGATGCGCCGTTTACATGAACCAGCGCAGATCTTATTTTTTTAGCGTAATAAATTGGATGTGTGGCGTGAGTGCGTGTGAAAACATGGAAACACGCGTGTCACACGGGGAAACCGTGAGAGTTGGCAGCCCCGTAGCTTTGTTGGCTAGCTTGACAACAACTTTCCTAACAGTCAAACATCAAGCAACACAAGACAAAGCAAGACCCCAAATAAGTTCCTGAATAGTCCAGCAGAAATATATACATGCAAAACAACCTACAATTTCACTCATGTGGGCCTTTATGATCATGAGGTCAGAATGCACACAAAATTGTACCAAATAATACACACTTGATGCAATAGGCTACATGCTGGTGGAGCCTGAGGGTGGTATCGTATCGTAAGTATCGGGTACCGTAATATTTCGGCAGGTGTAGTATCGAAGTCATAATTTTGGTATCGTGACAACCCAAGGTGGAAGTTCACTTGGTACTCACAGTTCCACTCTGCAGCCAGTCTACGAGGATCTGTGCCGTCGCCCGAGGTAGCTGAGCTCTGAGGCCGGCTCTCTCGTCCCGGTCGGGTCGGAGCTCCAGGGCGACTCTCAGTCCTCGGCCAACTGCACGACCTGCAGAGGAGCCGCGCCGAGTGGGGAGGGCGGCTCATACGCGCTGCTGGAAAACTCCGCCGCTTTGGAACCTGCAGGGTGTGCGGGGGGGGGTTTAGGGCGCAGAAAGATGATCGATACCGTTGTTCAGAACTGGGACGACAACACGGGACGCACAACCAGGCTGCAGCTTTCCAAACTAGGAGAGCAGAATCGCCAAGGAGGTCCATGCATTTCCCTGGCACTCACACACATCTGGAGGCACTCGGCGAATTGTGGCTGCTTAATGTCTTCGCGCAGCCTCTGTACAACAGAGTAGAAGAACTGAAATACATGAATAAAAGGAAGCATGGAGGGGAAAAGGTCATCGGTGTACACTAAACACACTTCTTATCCAGGTATGACCTGAAAACGACCTGCACATTATAGAACAAAATACCTGTAGGCCACTTAAGGAGAAGTTAACATGAATGTATACTGCAATCGTAAATGTATGAATGAATCACCAATTATTTTGACAATTAATTAATCAGTTTAAAGGAATTACATTTTTTTTAAATGTAAAACAAAAGTGAATATCATCTGGTTCCTCAGTTTGTGACAGTCAACAGAAACAAACGAGACATGAACACATTAAAATCCATTGGATATTGTTGCGTCAGACACAAAACTGTGAGTACTTTATTTACTTGTTACAACGAGAGGTCAATAGCAAACTCATCTCTAAATCTAATGCCCATCGCGGTAACACAACAGTAGATGGTGGCAGTCATTAACCGGGGGATTCCACCAAGGTCCGTAACCAGAGAGAAACCGGAAGGCAAAACCGTCTAAATGATGTTGATAAGTGTCTCTAATTTCTTGTTAGTGATTGGCTGATGTTATCGAAATGGGATTTTTAATGCGTTTCCATTTGTGCTCCCAGAGAGCCGGGGACACAAAGTCGGAGCACTCAATGAGGTCAGCATGCTCTGAGCTTCACGGTGCGTCTCCCCTCCATTTCTTTTGGTTGAAGAGATTTTCCCCACTCAACATTTAGCCCCGTGTCACATGATCTGTGTAATCCGCGAGGCAGCACATGCACACGTGTACAACACGGACGAAATTCTTTCTGCTAATTGCTATTAATTTATTAGGCAGTAATTCCGGGGGGGGGGGGGGGGAATCACATTATATAACCAACATGTGGTTTTCAACTTGAAATTGAATAAAACTGAATTTTATTTTAAATTGCAACTTGTCATATTGCACAAAATGCAGAAGTTTCTCTATTCACCTTCACCAGGACAGAACTAGGGTGCCTTTCCACCCGTTCCACCATTTCGGAGCGGGACAGCAAAGAGTTGTGATCTCATTAAAACTTTGAGTTTGAAAACCTCTCCTTCTGGCCACTAAAGGATGACGGAGCTGCTGAAGCTACGCAAAATAATCACATTTGAACTGAACTGAGTAAAAAATAATAATAATAATTAACACACCAAGAAATCATCAAGACTCAAACACACTTTCAGGTTTGGGGAGCAAATCAGTGAGATTTCTGAGATAAAAAATGAGTACTTCACCCTGACAAAAAATAAAAAGTCAATACACCATGGAAGGTAACCAGATTTACTTTCTGAACAAACGGAGAAGGCAGAGTTCTTTACTACCCCCCCTCGGGGAAGTCTACTCTAAAGAAACCACTAGTTAAAAGGAAATCCAGTAGGATCAAGCTTTCATTTGAGGAACCAGTAAGTTGTATTTTGCACACACTGCTAACAGAAGAAACCATAATACCGTCTCCTCTGCTCCCAGGAGCACCAATGCATTGCAAGTCACTGGTATATAGTGTATTGTAAGAGACTACGGGCCCGTCAAGGGACACGTCCAGGCTTTGCTGCTCCAGCGAGGGAGACAACGTTGAACAATTTCCCTCTTCGACTGTAATCTGCAGAGCACTGTGCTCTGTAAAGGGAACATAAAGAGTATTTGTGCACAAATATTATTGAATAGAATAAGACTTTAGCATGTGGGCTCAAGTCACTTCCACTCACGCAACACTGCAACCCGTGCTGACCATTTCTCAAGAGGATACGTCGTCAGAAAGATGACGCTGTTGTTTAGCCATTACCTGCGATGATGTCGTCCATCTGCTCCAGTGCAGCCTCCAGCATATGACTGGCCTCCGTTTCCATGGTGATGGCGGGAAGCATCAGCTCAAAAAGGTCCTCCGGTGTTCTGAAGAAAGAAAAACCCATTGGATTTAACAGCAGCTTAGCGCATACTTTTTGAATGCTATGGAGAGGATTTTTGACATATCAAAAAGGGGAATAATATGACAAGTGACACTAGTTCACACTAGAGAGGTGCTCAGAAGCAGAACCGTGAGTTCACATTAGACGTGTGAGCTGTGGAGTTCATTGGATTCTCATGCGTCTGTGACCCATGTATGCAACATAGATAGAACACCACATAAAACCTCGAGGCAGGACGTTGCTTCTCCCTTCATCCTTGTTCTCCTCCCCCCTGCTGTCATTGCTTCTGGGCCCTGCACTCATCACTTTATACGTTATCTCTCCTCCAAGCTCTCCACCCGCTGTCATGCTGACTTAAAGACAGACAGGCCTCACTTGGCAGAAATCAAGAGGAAGGGCTAGTGATGTAATCTACAAAGGCCTTGGGAGAATAAATACCTCTTATATATTACAGTACAGGTCATTCAGCTGACGCTTTTATCCAAAAGCGACTTACATGGTTTTTTTAAACATTCTTTTTTCCCATGGTGCAATTAGGGGTTAGGTGTCTTGCTCAGGGACACTTCGACATGTGACACGGAGCAGCCGGGGAGCTCGAACCGCCAACCTCGCAATTCCCAGCGCACCCGCTCTACCCCTGCGCCACATATATTAACTTTCATAAGCATGGCTCATAACCACCAACCACGGTCAGAGCGTTCTTCTGCTCCCATAATGAGTGCGTATGGATGCACATGTGCGTATCTGAAAATAAATCAGGGGCCTTTTATTAGTTTAAAACGTATAAATAGCCAGACAGACGATGACAGCACAGTTATGACACTAAGCACCGATACAACAAGCAGGTAAACAATGGAATTGTTGCCTCGACATGATTGTCTGTTCAATTGTGACACTGTGTGTGTAAAGGTGCTGATTTAGAGATCAGCACAGAGCTGACGAGACAAACTGTCACAGTCCTGTCCACTGTCCACTGTCCCCTACATTGTGCAATTTAACTCTTCTATTCATTTTATTCAGTGTGTTTCTGTATTAAATAGGGTTTTTTTTTTCTACATATAGTTTTTTTGTGTCTAGCAGAGATTTTTTGTATTACGCAGTGTTTTACCTTCTTTTTTTGCTGGGTTTTTCTGTGTTTGTTGTGAAAAATCAGTTTTTTGAATGGTGATTTTGTATTTCTAGTTCTTTTCACGAGTTCCTCAATGTGCTCACAGGGCCACCTCATATTTATAACCAGGTTCATACCCCTGTGAAAGATTAAGTTAATAATTACATCCATAATTAAGAGTGTTTTTTTACGCCATTTGTACAAACTACTGCTTTTACATAATAATGTTGTTACTGTATAGGCAAAGCTTACCATAAATCACCTTTTCCCCCACGCTTTGAACCCGCCGGCTTATACAAGGTTGCGGCTAATGTATTATTTTTTTACGGGCTAACACGCGAGGGCGAGACAGACGGGTGCAAGAGACAACGCGTCGAGGCAGACGTTTGACTGAACAACCATTTTGCGCATCATATTCAAACACGTAGGAACGCATGTGATGCGGCATTTAAGTCACTGGCCACCAATCTGAATCCATTTTCGAGACGAAAAGGCCTCTCCGGCACGGACGACTCTAAATTCTAAATTTAGGTGGTGCAGATTATATTTCAGGTGCGCTCTATAGTCCAGAAATTACGGTAGATAGAAATGAGTTTGCCTGTGCCAGGTACGTCATCCTCTACGTGGGCTCGGTTGCCCTTCAATCAGGAGGATCGACGGTTCAAACCCCGGCACCACTTGTCCATGTCCATGTCTCCTTTGCCAAGCCGCGCACTCAAATAACCCAAATAAACTGTGCCTACTATGTGTGAATGTTATATTGATGTTGCATGATGGGCACGTGTCACAGTGCGTGGTACCTGCTGTCATTAGGGTATGAATAGATATGATTGATAAGAGAGAAGGGAGAAGGGAGAGCGCAAAGCCCGAGAGACCCAGTTCCTGAAGGATCTGATAGCTCACTGTTTTCCATTTACCCTTCAGAATCCAGAAAAAACCCTGCAGCCACTCTCTCAACAAATGAATGGGTATCTTTCTAGAATAGAGAATAGAGTTGTAGTAGCACAGATTTCTTTTTTAAAACTACCCCAAAAGTAAACAAACAAAAGGACACAACTGAATCTATAACTGGATATTAAATTGCAGATTTGGAAACGGATTGAACTGAGCTGAACCGTTTCATGTAAGAGGGAGGAGGATATAGGAAACAAACATTATTTAAACAACAAACATACACATAAAGAAACCCTCCAAGATATTACTACTACTCATTCTTTTTTATTATAATTCTGTTTCTCTTCGTCGTGCGGTCGGGTTGGTACAATACAGAAGCCGCTACGAAGTGGGTTTCCCCCGATGTTTCCTGGGACCTACTGTAAGGTGTCACGATTCAACAAATAAAAAGAATGCAAATAATACGTCCCTATTAAACTGAACCGGCAGGATTATCTCTTAAATCACATGCGCTGTGTCGTTTGGGTCTCAGGCACTGCGGGCGTAGCAACAGAAAAGCCGTTTCACAGAGATACACTCCGGAAAAACAAGTTTGTCAACGTGACAAAACGCAACCTGTTTCTTTCTGCCTCAGCGTCGACACCTCGGACTCCCGAGTGGAAAGGGAAGTTGTCCCTCAGTTTGTTGTGTTAAACAGTGGGCCGCTTCACATGTTATCAGGTGCTGATAGGACGTATCGTATTCTGTAGCGTCTACTGCTGTTTCCGATGAATGGTTTCAACCTACCAATTTGTCATTCAGGCACTAGACGCTAAATAATAAAGATTCACCATTCAAGATTGTGAAAAAAGCTCCTTGAAGTAAAAACTATTTGGGCCTCAAGCCGAAACCGTTGAAAGAGCCGTTTAGAGCACAACAGCGTAATGCGTCACCGCCTTACTGCAGAAAACAAGTTTCCATGTTGACACAAACCAAGACTGGTGCTTCAACTTTGAGCCTCCAAAACACAGCACGCCTCCCGCAACTGGACTCCCGACTCCATGGTGGGAAGAGTTGACCGAGCCAGTCAAGGTCCCAACGCGCAGCTCCGTTATCAATGTAACGTGCCGTGCCAGGAAATCAGCCAGGCGCCTGCGCGCGGTAATAGAGGTAGAGGTAGAGGTATTTTCCACGTACTGCACCTGTGTGTCCGCTGCCGTAATCCCCTCCGGTCCCTGCTCGACTGAAGCAAAGACATGTGGGAGGGAGAGAGGGAGGGAGGGAGGGAGAGAGTGAGGGGGGGTGGACAGGGAGACGGGTGGGCGGGGGCGTGAGCACGCGTGACGGCAGCCGACCAGGAAGTGGTTTAGCGGCCGACACGCCCGCCTCGTCGCTCATCGCTCACTCGAATTGGACGCCGCAGCCGATCGGATTGATCTCTGCATCACTGGAGTCGGATGTCTGGTTTAAATACATGTTCATTGTAGGTCTGACGGCCGGAATACAACTTTCCTCATTTGTCAGAAGGAGTTAAGAGTGGAAACACCTTTTTCATCCTTTGTCTTCATCCATATTCAGGCTTCAATCATTCCTGAACATTTGACAAGTTGCATCATTTGAATTTCCCCCAAAACATGGAGAGCAAGAAATGAATTAAAAGTGTTCAAAAGACGGCATAATCATATTCTGGGTTATTTAATTATGATCAAATCAAATTGTCTTTCTCAGCTCCCCTCTATTGACAATTTGTATTTAATTGTTGCTGCTGGTTGTTTATCACACATGTTTTCACTAATTTCATGTGGTAAAAAAAAATATAATATTTTTACAAAGCTGTTGTTTTTCCTCCATTGAGCCAGAACTTTACTGAGGCGGTTGGTTCCAAGCAGAGGCGCATTACAGATTCACACATAAAAAGGCCTCATATCAAAGCTCAGACCTGACTAAGCCTGACCCGGACATCACGAGCTGGCATCTGGAAACACAAAGTAGCCCAATGACCCCTGAAGGACGCGGTGCATCTGTACACCACTGTACCATTACGCGTGTTAAAGGTTTAGAGAGCAGAGGGGAACTGACCTCCTTTGACCTCACACAAGGTCACTGGATCCGTGTCGGCAGCGCCTGAGCAGCTTTAAAGCATCACATGTGCTCTTCGTAGTCACTCTTTATGAATCAGAAAGCAGAAGGGTTAAGAGGTCATCCGTGGGTTAGGGTTAGGGTTAGGCTAACCCTAACCCTAACCCACGGATGACCTCCTGAGCCTTCAACCCTGTGACATCATCTTTCCTTTGAAGTGAGGCTGATAGGGGAGCAGGACTACATGTGACCCCCCCCCCCCCCCCCCCGTCCGCACTGCTCTGTTTCCTGCCTGAGAGCATGACATCCATCTCTTTGTATTATCAGATCCTTTCCTCCTTGACTGTGAGCTGTTCTGCGCGCCGGTCACTTCACTTCTGCTCTCATTTCCGCCGTAATCTATTTTGGCCTGAGAGTGAGGGCGTGACTTGCAGACGGTGGCCGACGTGGGAGTAACAGCCAGCGACGGGAGGCAAGGGCAACGTTTTCCCCGTGAGCTTTAGGAGGCCAACGCCACTAAGATGTGCACACTTAATGCCGCGGCCTCCGACACGGGGAGTATTCTCCGCTAACCCCCACAGGAACCCTGAAGGTCAGGGGATACCTGACCCCTCTTTTTGTCAGACGACCGCCTTGACGCACACAATGACGCACACAGTCACCACGTGCCTGTTTGCGGGCACACACACACACACACACACACACCTGCGACTATCCGGTATTGCGGCATTCTTGTCATCAGCTTGACTACGGCAATAACGGCGCTCCCCGAATAACCCGCTTGGTCCTCAAGGCGACTCACGTTGCCTCAACACGTCGCCATCACGCCCATTCCGGGGTCCGTTCGCGAGACCGGAGGCGGGAGCTGGCATGCGAGGTGCCACCCGGGCCACGACTCGCGCCCGTTGGCTCGCCGTTGGCACGGCAACGGGAGGAATGTTGGGGGAGGTTTCTGCTGATTGAAGTGGTTTCTCAAAAGGTGTTTAGGCAGAAACTTTTTTTACCCCCCTTCTTACAATGCGAAGGTGGACTCCCCCCCCCCCCCCCATCGATGCATTTCCGAGGATCACGCAAACGGAGGCGACGGTTCTGAGCTCTGAGAGGGGAACATGTTCCACGTACAGTTGGTTTTGTAACGTTTTGCCCAGCCGGAACAGAAGGTGAAGGACCTCCTGTCATCGCTCTGCAGAGTGGCAAACCTTGACATTTGGAATTACAGCATCACCAAAACCTTCACAGCGATCGATTCTTTGCGGGGGGGGGGGGGGGTGTGATACCAGGAAATGCCAGAATGCTTGTGAACCGGACCTGTACTGCTGAGAAGAAGGGTAAAACATTAACACACACACACACACACAGCAAGGGTGTGTGCGTTTACTGTTCCTCCTTATTTGGCTCAGCCTGTTTGGATTAGTGTCACCAGCTAGAGGCCAGACCCAAGCCCCCCCCGGGCCCTCCTGTCACACAGGGTAAATACAACTCTGTGTGTGTGTAGCCAAGCCAACACGCATCAACAGACCCTTCACCAATTAACATCACTGCACAGAAATCACAAACGCTTGAGACGAGGATGTTCCCTGTTCCCTTTTAGATCCCCGTCTCTCCTTCATCCCTGGAGTCACAGCGACCGCTCTCAGAGTGACCAGTGAACCTGTCGCTGTGTGAACACACATCAAACCTGCGGCGGAACTCGACGGGCTCCACAATTAATCCAATGTTCTCAGCGATGGACTGCGTTCGCCTCGCAGATGAATATACTGTATATCAAACCAGGCGCTTGCACAACAGCGTGCCGCTGAAGGGCGAAGGGGGACCCTCGTTTAATTAAAAGACATTTTCATGCTGTGCCGCCTGGTTTGTCACAGTGAAACTCCTGGAACGCTCCCCATTAGACAAAGAGGAGCTGGCCAACCCTGGACGTCCTGTCCAGGTTAAGCGTCTCGCCCAAGGACACGCTGACATGCGGAGTAGCGGGGGCAGGGATCGAAACCGTCGTGTCCAGATCCACTCTGGACAGCGCAGAGTGGATCTGCTGAGGGGACGGAGACTTCCTGTCTCTGTGGTGGCATCAGCCATCCTTTTACGGCTTGGTCTCCCCCCCCCCGGCAGAGGGACTGGACAGGCCGGTGAAGAAGGCCACAGAATGGTGGCCACGCTATTATCCCTGATGGCCCGGTGAGATGTTTCCTGGACTGGTCAAGGCCAGAGAAGCAGTTATTGATTGGGGAACGAGTTCCAGGCAGCAGACAACTAGTGAAACCGGTCCTAAGAAAAAGGGATCTTCAGCAAATGGTTCTTTGGTGGAAGAAGCAGCGCTTCACAAAAAAACAATACAAGCTTTTTAATCTTTTCCCTTTTCCAACTGTTTATGAGTAAATTCAGAATTCAGCTTAACAAGTTTAGCGTTCTCTCTTTCCAAAGCAGATTTGTTTAATGAGGCAATTCAAGGCCTTGAATAATTATCTATACTTAACCAAGTACTGTCACACTAAATTAGCTTTAGTGCTAAAGCTGTCGAGTGTCTGTATGCAAAAGGCTCTCAAAAGAAAAGAGAACGTTACAGTCAGACCTGCGTCTGTTAACAGTAACACCGTCAAAGAAAACTTTTCACCTCGGTTCCAACTAGCAATTATTTTTGATTATTGTAATTGGAGAATGTGGCTCAGTAGTCCCGCCCCCCTCCCTCAGACCAATTTTCGGTACAGAACGCAGGCAATGCGATGGACACCATAGATATTATATATAAAAGGCTAGATGTCTCGTCCAACGGAGTCGACCGTCCGCGCGCGGCGGCCATCTTGGGAGGGGGAGCTCCTTTAAAGTGACGTAACTGGAGTTTATTGAAACTTTGTTGTTGTTGTTGTTGTTGAACCCAGCTGGGATGTAGACAAGCAGTGCTCTAAACCAATCACAGTCGTCTGTGTTAAGCGGAGGATGTAGCGACAGACCTGCTGATGATGCTTTATTCTCTAGTTCACTCTGTCATAGTCAGAACTAAATGAGGATTTAAACAAACATTTTTATTGGTACTCCTCATGAGCAATGTGAAAAATGGTGATATTCTACTTTAGGTCAATACAGTCGCCTGACGGTATTGGGGTTTCTTTTTAAAATAAAGGCCACCGTTGTCGTCGTCACCATCAAGCCAATCTTCCCCTAAACCCGATGAATTCCCATTTCACGTGAAGGGCGCGAAATCTAAGCGAGCATCTTAAGAAGAAGCCATGAACTGCATGTGAAGAGAAGCCACGATGGGAGCGCAATCTCCCGCTGGAGCCAGAGTGGAGTGAACCAGCTGAGATGATGGGACGCTTTGAGCTCTGCCTGCTGAGTCTGATGAAGCTCAGAGGCTGTGGGCCCGGCAGCATCGTCAGTGATGGCATCCTCCTCAGCCTCCAATCAAATACAGTCTGAGGAGAGCAGCTTCCCGCCCACTGAGAAAGTACCAAACACGAGCTCGCCGGGTGTTTTTAGAGGGACAACGATGGGCAGCGCCTCGGCTACAGAAGACTCCGGTTACAGAGTCAGAAGCTGCGAACAAACGAGCTACAAGGTACCAGTTCACATTACAGCGTCGCGTTACACCTACAGGGCAAAGCTATGCGTGGGTTTGTCTTTCTACGGCTCCCAGGCAAGAAGCGGGTGCACAGACCCCAACGCACACTGAGAACACACACTTCATTTCAGTGAAAGCGTTTAAAGTCGCATGTTTTAAACGCCATATGAGGCGCATCCGGAAAGTATTCACAGCGCTTCACTTTTTCCACTTTTTGTTATGTTACAGCCTTTTTCCAAAATGGATTAAATTCATTATTTCCCTCAACATTCTACACACAACAAGCCATAATGACAAAGTGAAAACTGTTTTTTGCTAATTTTTGCAAGTCCGTTAAAAATAAAGAACGAAACTATGTGCTACTATGAAAATATACATATTTGATTGGTTGAATGGCATCACATGAGGTGATATAAAACGCATGAGATGGACCTAACGGTACAGAAGAGGCCTCTAGGTCAGAAAGAGAAAAGTAATTATCTCATAGAATTCCATACAATTGGACAATTGCAAGCAGATGAGTCGCCCCCCCACAGCTGGTCAATGCAGAGAATGCAATGGGGGTGTGTGTATTGTCTCTTACCATCTCCAGCCTTCATCCACCACTGACCTCCTCCTCGCCATCACATCCCTCTTTTCTCAAACTGTCTCTCCATGCTTTCCGCTGCCGCTCGCTCTTCCATCATTGGTCTAATTGTTTTCTCTCTCTGCGCACACTGCCTCTTAAACGCTGGTACAAAGCAATTGGATGTGGCCAGCTTAATTGCAACTGGGTTGCGTTATAATATTTTCCGTCAACCTGAAGAATTACATTATCTATCTCACAACCACTCACTGTTTTTCTCAGGGAGCAGAAAAAGCGGAGATGGAAACCAAATTCAATAAAACAAGCTTTTAGCCTCCACTCTTCACCATTATTACCAGTATTTGCCATTTTACCACTTCCTGTAAACACCCCTACACGCCGCTTTATTTACGCTCACATCCAACCATGGACTGAGATCCCCATCATTTTCCATTTACAATTCTCCAGTGAAATGGCAAAGTTCCAAAGTACTTTCTACTTGCATCTAAAGAAGGACTTGTTTCTGTTCCGGTCTTGTTGGACCTCAGTGACACCATCAATCACTGCATCATAGAGTATTTTACTAGAACATTTAACTGGTATTAAAGGAAACTCAGTGAGCTGGTTTAAGTTGTATTTATTGGATCGACCCATGTTTGTGTTTGAAAAGTAAAAACCCTGATGCCTACTAATGTTAGTCATGGAGTTCCACATGGTTCTGTGCTTGGACCAATTTTATTTACCTTAAATATGCTTCCTTTAGGCGATGTTATCAGAAAAGACCATGAACTTTAATAGTTATGAAGAATGCTAAATGATATCTAAAGATCAGCCGGGACGAAACCAACGAGTGCACTGAACTTCAAGCAAGTCTCAAGGACATCCAAAGCACTTGATGACCAGAAATCAACTGTCTAATAATACAGTTTCTCCAGATGGTATTGACCGGGCATCCAGCAGCACCGTAAAGTTATCTCGGAACAGAAGGTTTCATAATGGGTTCCATGTTGGAATGGTCAACGTTAAATCCAATAGCCACTCACACGAGCCGTCGCGAGAACAGAAAAATAGCAAACTCTCACGTGGGAACTGTCGTTTTAAATCTCACCAAAGTCATTTGTAGCCGCTACGGTCGTGTAAACACTTGAAGACGTGAGAACAAACTTCTCTTTTATTTTAACTCTCTGCTCAGGTAACCGAGCCGAATCTCCCCTGGCTCCTAAGTCCCTATAAGTACTGCTTCTTATAAATATAATAGCGTTATGAACATCAATGCACTAACATACATTTATAACTAATACAACTTTATGCTGCTCGCCGATAAACCTTTCAGGTTTCTGTTGATTCCTGTTCAGAAAAAAAATAAATAGATTATACATTTTAACTTGCCTGTTTTAATCTTTCGATTGTGGTTGTGGACTCTGAGGGTAACTTATTTTTCTATAACGAACTGGATAAAACGTTCATGGCGGTCCTGGCCGTGGCAAAGAGCCTGGATTTCAGATTTGATTACATGTTTAAGTTGTGATTTACAACAATTATTTTAACTGCTACAGTGCTGTTAAAAACCAAAAGGTTACTGCACTTTTGTTCATATATTAGTAGTTTTTAAACAAAAGTACGCCATACGCTCATTTTTAATTCAATTTTCCCCTTAAAATGTTAATAATTGCGATTAATCGTATAAAATAATGCGATTAAAATCATAATTGTTGCCCAGCACAAAATATTTGTTTTTCCATTACCAATGCTATGACCGATTTTATTATCATTACTATGCTGGTCTATCATGTCCGCTGCAATTATTATTAGTTACAATTTTTCCATCACTATTCTGATAATTTGTATCATCTTTCAATGTGTTGTTACATTGTTCTCATCGCATCTATTGCACGCGTGGCCGTCCTGACAGAGGGACCCGGTCTTTCTTTCTAGGCTTTCTTGTAGTCTAGTCCCTTTTTTCCTCCCTCTTAAAGAAGTTTTCCAATGAATGGGCTCCGGGACAGAGGACGTTGTATCTGTGGATTGTGGGACGAGTGACATCATCCGCGGATCCACGTGTTCGCGCAATAAAATGATTCGTACGTACAGAGTCATAGCTCTAAACCTATACTCCAAGGTAGGCTAAAAACAAATGCTATAACAACACGTTTGTTATGCAAGTAGGGCGTTTATTCATCGCCACTTCCCTTCGGCCCCTGTGTTTATTTTCTCTGTTGTTTAGAAGTGCTAATGCCCCCCAAGAGCCACGCAAAGCAGCCTTAATCAATTCGCCGTCGTCAGCGCAATGCCGCTTTCAACTCCCTTTTAAATGAGATTTGCAATAGAAAGGAGGCACCAGCCGGCGTTATTCAGAGGCAGGAGGCTCCTTCAGCTCGCCGGTCTGTGATGTCACATGCACATACATGTCTCTCCGCGTGCTCCCCAACACTTATCTCCAGCATTAGATGCAGATGCTTCAGCAGCGGGGGGGCCACACATCAGCCTGGATATTCACCATAAGGATATCAGCATCCTCCCCCCCCCCTCTCTTTACTCACGCTGTCACAAATTGATGATGTGCAATTACGCAGCATGTGTCGGTGAAACTAAACGTCATTTAATAGCTCGGAGGCGACGGGACACGACTGAGGGGGGCGGGGGGGGGGAAGAACCAGTGGCACAACAAAAGTGTCATGTTTTCTAAGCATGTCGCTTGTACACAAGAATAAAAGGTGCTGCCGTGTGGAAAAAGTCCAACCGGTGACATAGAAGTGCAAATGAAACACCCCACACCGGTCTTTTGGATTCTACTTTACACAACTGGTGAATTGATATCAGCATTAAGATGTTTAAACACATGAGATGTGGGGACCGTGGTGATTCCTAGAGATGGAGGCGGCTACTACATCCCTGCTTCCTTGAAAGATTGTATCAAGAGTATTCGCATCAGCAGCCTCTGGTGTGTTTCAAATGTGCAGCTACAGAGGATAAAAAAGGTATATGGTGACGTCACGGCCCAGAAATAAATATTTAAGGTTCATAAGGCCACTTAACGGGTTGTCCTCGGGGACCACGAGCCATGAAATCACGCGTTTACCATGTAGGAAAGAAGAATGTTAAAACTACGAAGTTCATATTGAACTATTGCCACTGTGACATCTGGATGAAATGTCACCACGGGTGACGACACGACACGTTTACGGTTCCACACGCACGCCAGGTTATCACAGCACTCACGGCTTCACGCACTTCAGTTACTTACGACGCGACTCCGAGACACACTTTATCCAACCGGGTCCTTCCGACGGGTTCGCTGGAGACACTTGGGAGTCAACGCGAGCACCGCACAAACACACGCGCGTGCACGTGCGGTCGGAGCACACACACACACACACACGCACACGTAGAACACGCTGACACGTGCGTGCGCTCTCAACTGCGCTGCACGGTGCCCGTCCGCAGCCCTGCACGCGCTGTAGTGATCGAGCGCGAGCTTCCTCAACCATCGCCTGCCATGTGATAAGCGCGTTGCCTTCAGGGGTGCCTCGTAACTTCCACACGCCACAGTGTCTGGGCCTTTTTTTGTTGTAATAATGTATCTCTGTGAATGGAAACTGGTGCATCGCCGGTCGCAAAAAAACATATTATTTTACTATTCGCTATAGTTGCAATTTGCCACGTTAACTGTATGAAAATATATATATTTGAAAGCTCGTGAAGTTACATTAAGGAAATACAATAACAGCAGCAGGTGATGGGGGCGGTTTGGATCATTTTAATGTAGGGACATTAAACGCAACACTACCACATATTTAGGAAATTGAGGTAATTGATCCTTCGAATACGTTAATCAATCAATACGTTAATCATCACAACAAGAATCCTAGGCCTGTAGCCCCTCTCACAACTTCAAAAATGTTCATCTGTGATTTCTAGGAACAGACAACAGTTTGTTAACATGTTTTTTTTTATGGAAACTTCATAAAATAAACAAAGGAGGACACAATTTAATTCATTTAATCTTGTATAACCCACATCGCTGATTTGCCTCAGAGGGCTGTACAGTCTGTACACATCCTCTGTCCCGAAACCCTCACATCGGCAGAAAATATAGTTTCAACAGCGTCTATTCTAGTTTTAATATGGCTCAACCATGTCATCTAGTGGCAGCATGTTTGCAATAACTTTTCCCACCCACTTTGACTTGCATAAAGGGAAGGCGTTTAAGTTATGTGTATATGTCTGGATAGAATGATTTATGTAAATAGGAGGTAGTGTTACAGAAGGACGAATAAAGATGACTGTAGGGAGGAGCAGTCTGAGACCAATACTGAATCTAGATATTGGTCCAATAATGCTTCAGTTATTTGTGTCAATAGTGTTTTACTTTCAGGAAAATTACGAAAAAATACAGCTATCAGATGTATATTAATGTGTAGGTGTATATCTACCTTACTTTGGTTTAACCTGTAACCTGCAAGTAGGCTGACCGGTAACTCTCACCGAGCCTGACGAATCAAGTTTCGTGCTGTAGGCACCAGGCTGGCGTCACGTGGAGACAAATATCTATGAATCAGCGGTGCTGGGTGGAGCAGCTTCATCGGGAAACCTTCACTTCGTTCCAGAAGAGCCCAAAAAAACCAACAACTGGACGGTGGCGGATGCAAAACTATGACCGGCAGGGGGGCGTGAACGCGCGCGGCGCACGCAACCGCAGAACTCGGCCCAGCCAAAGAGGGAGTTACACGGAGTCACAACAAGTCCATCGCGGAATGAATTGGTGAATCTTCAGCTGCTTTTGTTTATTAACACGTGAGAGACCAACGTACGGCGCGGTGACGCGCGCCACCCCACTTGGCGCTCATCGCCGTGGTGACTGGTAACGTCGGCGTTCTCGCAGCCGCGTCGCTGCGCTCGGCTCGCTGCTCATTGGTCAACCGGCACGCCCGTCCACGTCGCCCGGGCTGAACCCGCGTCCGATTGGCTGAGGTGGCACCCGCGGCGGCAGCTCGAGTCCCATTGGCTGAGAAACTAGGTTAGTGGTCCGACAGGCATGACGGTGAAGAGAAACTGGGTCACCGATCGAGAGTCGTTTATGTCACAGTTCTTCAGGTCGCTATCGCACGTAACCAGCGGCTTTCAATGGATGGACCGAGCTCACTGGACCTGCTGTAAGTACACAACACAAAACAAGCCCCCCCCCCCCCCCCCCACGTGCCCCCCCCCCCACCCCCTGGTGTATGACCGAGCGGCTCGCGACGTGCCAGCCCCTTTGGCAGGAGGTAGGAGTCGGTTGAATGTCGGTTAAACCGGGGAACAACGCTAGCATGCGCTAGCACGCTAGCACGCTAGCTATGTAAACAGGCCCCTCGGTGTGGGGGGGGATCCGGCTTCCGCGGATTCTTCGACAGCATCCACCGGGCTGCGACGCCATCCCCCGTGACTAGACGCGGCCCCCCGTGGAGGTTCGTCTTGCACCCGGGAGGACCGGACACACGAGGGGCTGCTAGTGGTGGTGGAACGGCGACCGCGGGCTTCGGTTCCGTTGGTGCGGAGCGGAGGGGAGTGGGGGGGCCCCGGACCGGTGCTTGGAGGGGCCCCGGGCAGAGGCTCCACCGGGTCCCCCAAAAGCGACAGGAGCTTTTTGTTGTGATTTTCTCCTCCTCCTCCATCATGATCCTGAAAGATTGGCTTTTTATTTTGAATACTGCATGTGTGTGTTCTTTTACAGCCACATGGCACAATTTGTGACAAAACCCATTAGTGATGGAAGCTTATTCCAACAGTGTGAAGGTAATTCAGTAGTAACGCTTCGACTTCGACATGTTATCTATGCCTGAATAGTAACCGGTAGTAACTTGCATAGTGCTTGTCAGTACTGATTGGAGTTGCCACAAAGGCATTTGGATACCTGAGACGTGTGGTGACTTATCAGGTCCAAATGTAGCCATAAAGATGAAAACAAATCGGTGTACATCTGCGTGAAAGGGTGTTTGAAGCAGAAGGTTGTTTTTCTGCCATCGTGGCGGCGATTTTAGGCTTCGTTCTGATGATGGGGCTTCCCTTGAGCCGGGAGGTTTTGATTAAAATCATCGTAATGTGATGACATTTGGTTTTTCTTTGTGATGGATAAACTACAAATAACTTGAAAAGATTGTTTCTTTTTTTTAACGACTGCAATTGCTCAATGAAATAATCTGTCCATTTTCATGTTGAACCATTGCTAAGGCCCGCCCACCCCCCTGCCGCTACTGTTTAACTGTCAAAACGGCGTTACCATGGGAACCGCACTTTCACACATTCTAACATCTTTTGGTAAGAACGGCAAATCGTTTGGCCCATCATTTCTATTGTTGTTCGTTTACTTATTTTATAGAGAAAAGATTAAGAAGTGTCAGGAATCAATTCACACTTTAAAAGACAACTGACTGTACTTTAATTTCAGAATAAAATATTTTTGGGGGGAAAAAACGTTGGGGATCCTGTCACTAGAAACACGAGAGGCTTTTTTTTGTTGAAACGCAAACGGGTGTAATGGACTTGACGTGTTCTGCAGAGACGGTGAAACCACAGTCATGTTGCTGGCAGGTTTATTGGCCATGTTTGTGCCCCCGTCGGACCGAAAGGCCCATCGTCAAAGAAACGTACGGCGTCGCGTTGGTTCCTCGTCGCTGTGAGCGAGGTCAACATGCTGCAAGGCCGTGCGTTTATTTAAATGCGTGTGGTGGATCCCTGCGTTTTAACGTGGGACCGAGAAAAGCACAGTGAGGAAAATACGGCATATAAATCTAATAATGAATCTAATCCCACGATGTCTACCGATCGTAGCTCAGAATAGAGGACGGTCTCTGCTAGTCGTGCTTCAATGTGTATTGTCTTATGCTGGATAATCCGGCCAAGTCGCTAGTAGTACACATGAAACTCAACTCCCGACTCGCTGTGTGCGAGGTGGCCGCCGCCGCGATGAGCGTAACCCATAACCTCTGTTTGGAACCGGTCTTACTCGTCCTGCTTCTGCCGCGTTGAGGCGGGCGTGACGTAAGCGGCCGCCCATGAGGACGCACCGCCGGCTTTACTAGGTGATGCCGTCACAGCGACTTCTTGACGGCGTGCCGTTCCGGGTTAAAGGTCGGCCCGGCCTCGCGTCCAGCCTGGTGTGGAGGCGTGCTGGGCTTCGGGGACCCTTCTCTTCAACCGTCGGCCGGCTCACAAACCGCCTCCAAGAAGTCTGCTTCTATTATTTTTAATGCGCATGCACGATTTCCCAAGGTGTCTTATCCAGCATTGACCCACCTCCAGGTAAAGATGTAGACCCACGGCACCGCTACGTCACCTTGCTGCTAGCTTCATACCCGCCGTTACACTGACGTCATCCGTCAGGGTCTCGTGTGTGTGAAACCTTCTATGATGAAGAGCGTCTGAAGATTAACCTCAGATTGTATCATTTTGGTCCAGAAGAGGCGTGTGATTTAAATGTTTTTTTTGATCGGGTTAGCGTCGTGCTAAGCGCTTGTTAGCCGGCTCGGGCCGATGGAAGTCCATTCGTTCTGTACCAACGAACTAGACGCGTGTTTTTCTTAATGGTCTTTGTTAATTGAAATAATTGTCAAACTCGACTGCACAAAATAAACTTCCTGAAAGTGTTTACCAGAACCCGCATCCAATCTCTCTCTCTCTCATGATATTTGTCCTCCATAGATTTCTATCGGTAGATGAAGTCGGTAAACCTCGCAGTCCAGCTCGGACTAACTAGTCTTTTACCCGCTGTTATGAAGAGTCTCACAGCAAAGCGTCTGATAGCTACGTTTGTGGAACGAGGTGTTCTCACGCGTTCTCCCCAAAATGCAACGACGTCACTAGAAACTAACAGGGTTAGGGTTAGGGTAACCCTAACCTTAAGGGTTAGGGTTACCCTAACTGCGAGGGTTAGGGTTACCCTAACCCTAACCCTAAGGTCCTCTACGTCCTCTGATGGAAGATTATGAAAATATAACGCACACTTCATGCTAGAAATGCCCTCGAAACGCATCCAACTGCTGATGCTTTCTTAAAATATTGTGTTTTTCACAGAAAATGGTCACGAGTTGCAGATGAAACGTGGTGTTCTCGCGCTTTCTCCCCAAAAGCGTGAGAAGTAATTCGTAATAATAAATCCGCTAGCTGGCTGAAGCTAACGGTTTATATCCTGCTCAAGGACATTGGTTCAGATTCAGTTGGGTTCTGCTTTGATAAAAGGATGGTTATTTTCACGACAATTTCTATAAGAAGTTACTGCTTTTTAGGGTTTACGCGCGTTGGCGAAACGGACGGCTGCGGCGCAGATTAGCAATTGTTATCATTTCATATTCATTGACTAATTAATTGCCTTTTATAGAACCCCTGTAACGTATTAAATGTCCTGTAAACTGAAGCTCAGGTGTAGATTATGGATTTTTTTTATTTTTTTTATGCCTTTTGGATCAACAAAAAAAAAATGTTTTGCACGTTTTTAAAGTAAATCCAGCCGACGCAGCTTCCCGCATACGAGCCGTAGGCTTCCTATCGTAGACCGGTCGAGGGACGTTGCAGCTCCTCACCGATCACTGGGCGTTCAGCGTTTAGAATATTCATCATGATATATATATTCGCATTATGAACAATGCATATTTCTTAAGTCACAAGAGGAGAGACGGTGAATTGATGTAACGGCGCCCGTGTGCGCTGCTGCGTCACTGATAAAGTAGCAGTAGGTGGTGGCTGGTTCCGAGGCTGACCCAGTTTCCACTCTGGTTCCTTTCAGCGTTCCGTCATGACGCTGCAGTTCCTCCCCCCCCCCCCCCCCCCCCTCCCCCCTCTGGCCCAGAGATTTGTCCCCGGATCACTAAGCCCGTCCTGACCTAGAACTCTGCCGCCCCGCGCTTTGAGACGTTTGCCCGCCGACTGTTCTCTCTCTCTTCGGTTGAAACGGGTCCCAAGTGGTTTAATTGTTGTCAATTTGTGAACAATTTCATTTGTATCTAATGTCTTTTCTCTTGTGTGTCCGGCGGCGGCGGCGGCGGCGGCGGTGCAGACCGGTTGAAACCGCTGTTTGAGGATCAGTTCGCGCCGGGCCACTCTGACCAAATGACGCAGAGCGGATGATCGGTCCACACTGAGACCGGACCGGATCCAGGCGACACCCACCCGGCCCGTCCAGGAGGCCCCGTTCCAGTCTGCTATCCAGGTGGGTGAGGCAGTTCTCCCCCCTCCCCCCTCCCCCGGGCAGCCTGCTGCCTGAATACAAATAGATACGCTATATCCACAGCCTTGTACTCGCTGTACTTGTTAATATCTGACTGAAAACGAATGTCGGTCATATAAATTCCACGTCCGCGTGGGACCTGGACCTCCGTGACTGACTGACGCGGTCTCGTCGTTGCGTGTTCACAGGTGAGGGCCTCCAGAGTGGATGGAAGGAGATGACTTTAACACACAGGCTGTGATGAACATCTGTGGTGAGTAGGACGCTACCCGTGTCTCCTGACTGGATGAGACCACGTTGCCCCCCGACCCCCCTCCCCCCGCCGTGCTTCGGGTCCTCCGTGGAAACGCTTTGCGCTGAGCTTCCGTTCTGCTCTGCAGATGACCTGATGGCCGACCAAAGGATGGACATCTCGTCTACAATGACTGACTTCATGTCTCCGGGGTCTACGGACCTCATCTCCAGCTCCATCAGCACGCCGGGCATGGACTACACCCGCAAGAGGAAGGGCAGCACTACCGATTACCAGTGAGTGAGAGACGAGAGAGAGAGAGAGGTGGACTGGTTAACTTCTGGTTTTCATTTCTTAATACATTTGTGTTTCGTTCCAGGATTGACGGCTTCTCATTTGAGTAAGTTCAAACCCGCCTCTCAACGTTGATGCTGGAAAAAAAAAACGATGATCAGTAAATTGAGTAGACGTGAGCTCCTGGTCCTTTTAAACGGGGCCGTGCATGTTGTGGTGGAAGCTAACGTCTCCTGTCGTTGCTCCTCAGTGACATGGACCCAGACAAAGACAAACTGGGAAGGTGAGAAGCAGCTTTATCCTCAGCACATTTTGTGTTTGGTGTATTTCCATCGCGTTGGTCACAGATCCGTCTCTTGAGATGTCCAACGCCTGCCGCTTGTGAGTGTTCTCCTAATTGCGTGACGGGTTCGGAGGCCCGGTCAGTCCACACACCCAACGTCTCTAAGAGGAATCCATGCGTGAGGCTGTGCAGGAGGTCCGTCACGGGGCTCAGTGACACGTTCAGACACGGATGTCCCCAAAGTATGGAAGTAAATCTGTGGCATCGGATTTTGAAAGAAAAAGGTGATTGAAATTCTAGCACTGAATATTTATGCATTGAAATCATGTATCTGAATGTTTTTCAATGTTAAAAAAAAAAAATGTCAAAAAATTCAACTGCAAAAAATTCAACTGCAAAAAATTCAACTGCAAAAAATTCAACTGCAAAAAATTCAACTGCAAAAAATTCAACTGCAAAAAATTCAACTGCAAAAAATTCAACTGCAAAAAATTCAACTGCAAAAAATTCAACTGCAAAAAATTCAACTGCAAAAAATTCAACCGCAAAAAAATTTGAACCGCAAAATTCCGAGAACCCAAGGAAGAGCAATCGATTCTAGATTCAAGATCGGGAGCGTGCGTCAAGCAAAGGGAGCGAGCGCCCCAATACAACTTGGGCTTGTCGACTATGATGACCGGATTTCAGCCATGTCTGTTAATAACGGGGCTTCGTTGAGTGTTTTAACTTTAACTTCATGCCATCAGTGTGGTTTGTGTCTGTACGATCCAGTAATCGACTGCTGATGCTGGGAGGCTTCCACGAGCTATTAGGAGCGTGTGCAGACGCATAACCCCGACAGTACGTGCAGGTTATGCTGTTTACATGCACGACCATCTAATGCATTTTTTTTTTTTGCAGTTGAATATTTTAACGTTGAAAAACATTCAGATACATGATTTCAATGCTTAAATATTCAGTGCTAGAAATTCAATCACCTTTTTCTTTCCAAATCCGATGACACAGATTTACTTCCATACCAAAGCGTCCCGCATGACGAGACGCTACTGACGCCAAGAGGCCGCAGATCTGCAACCTTTTTTTTTTTTTTTTAATCCCGACGTTTGACCAGCGGCCCGTCGGCGTCGCGTGTGAATGACTCTTGCATGCTGTGACTGTGACAACGTGTGGTTCCGTTTATTCTAATCTCTCTCACGTCGCCCCCCCGGTTTGTCTTTCCAGTGACCAGCAGGGCCGGATTAAGAACGCAAGGTAACACGGCCCACCTTCTCACCTCCCTCACACCCCATCAAATGTCCGAAGCGAAGTGCATGGATCAGACCCGCTCGCTGCGCCGCGTCCCATCAAACAGACATTTACATTATTGTGGCCTAACGCCAGCTGGATGGAGGGGGAGGAAGAGGAGGAGGAGGAGGAGGGATCGCGGTTAACTAACGTCTGGTGCCCCCCCCCCCCCCCCCGCAGAGAGGCCCACAGCCAGATTGTGAAGCGGCGCCGGGACAAGATGAACAGCTTCATCGACGAGCTGGCGTCGCTGGTGCCCACCTGCAACGCCATGTCCCGCAAACTGGACAAGCTGACGGTGCTGCGCATGGCGGTGCAGCACATGAAGACCCTGCGAGGTCAGGGTGAAGGGCGCGTGGGGGGTGGGTGGGGGAGGGTACGGGGGGGGGGCGAGGCGACACACACTGACTGACCCTCCCGCTGTGTTTGCGCAGGTGCGGCCAACCCGTACACGGAGGCCAACTACAAGCCGGCCTTCCTCTCCGACGACGAGCTGAAGCACCTGATATTGCGGGTGAGCGCCGCGCCGCGCGGGTCAACCCTGCTCTGTGTGTCGAGAGGTCACGAGAGGTCAACCGGGGGTTTTTTTTGGGGTGTGTTTGGTGTCGCAGGCGGCCGACGGCTTCCTGTTTGTGGTCGGCTGTGACCGCGGGAAGATCCTCTTCGTGTCCGAATCCGTCTACAAGATTCTCAACCACAGCCAGGTACGGCGCCCGCTGCTGACTGCCCGGACCTCGCGGGCTGCACGGGGCACCGCGGTGTTCACCTCCCCCGCGTGTGCTGCCGAGGAACCGACAACCGAGTCCAGAAGTTCCCATATTAAACCATCCCAGCTGTTTTTACTCCAGTCCCCCTGTGTCTGTGTTCAGTGGCTCCTGTCCTCTCTGCCCGCAGAACGACCTGATCGGCCAGAGCCTGTTCGACTACCTTCACCCCAAGGACATCGCCAAGGTCAAAGAGCAGCTGTCCTCCTCCGACACGGCCCCACGAGAGCGGCTCATCGATGCCAAGAGTGAGTCCCTCTGACAAAACATCGGCCCACGTTGTTGTTATTCTGTATCCGATAATGAAAATGTCAGCCTCCGACACGGCACCCGGATGTAGGAAACAGCCGATCAGTGCAGTGATGTCACCAGCCGTGTGTGTGTGTGTGTGCGTGTGCGTGCAGCGGGTCTCCCGGTGAAGACGGACATCACCCCCGGCCCCTCCCGCCTCTGCTCTGGAGCCCGCCGCTCCTTTTTCTGCAGGATGAAGTGCAACAGGCCCTCCGTCAAAGTGGAGGACAAGGACTTTCCCTCCACCTGCTCCAAGAAAAAAGGTGGGTCCCTGCCCGTCTAACCCACGGCCTCAGACTGGGCGGCGCCAACCCTCCGCCCTGCCGCCACACGCCCCCCCCCTTTTCTCCGTCTCTCGGGTCCGGGGGAGTTAGTGGACAGTTTCCCACTCAGTTTACTGAACCGAATGTGTATTTTCTGCTGTTCCCTCTGACGCCGTCTCCCCCCCCCCCCCCTCTCTCCCTCCCTTCATCGCAGCGGACCGTAAGAGCTTCTGCACCATCCACAGCACGGGCTACCTGAAGAGCTGGCCCCCCACCAAGATGGGTCTGGACGAGGACAACGAGCCCGACAACGAGGGCTGCAACCTGAGCTGCCTGGTGGCCATCGGCCGCCTGCACCCCCACATCGTCCCCTCGCCCAGCCTGGCAGACATCCGGGTGAAGCCCACGGAGTACGTCTCCCGGCACGCCATCGACGGCAAATTCGTCTTCGTTGACCAGAGGTGAGACGGGGGGACGGGGGGACGGGGGGGGGGGCAGTCCTCAGCACATGGAAGGCTTCTCCTCGTGTCTGTAGAGAGCAGGATGGAGTCGCGGTAATATTGTCGTTATGCTTTGCATTGATACGGAGTAGAATATTAAAAACCAGCCCGCTGCTGATCACAACTTGACTCATTAGGAATCTTCACACATCATTTATTGTTATTTTTTAGCTTTTAATGTTTAAAAGAAAAGCGTCTCTCTGTGTGACCTCCAGGGCCACGGCCATCCTGGCCTACCTGCCCCAGGAGCTGCTGGGGACCTCTTTCTACGAGTACTTCCACCAGGAGGACATCGCCCACCTGGCCGAGTGCCACAGACAAGGTAGCAGCCCCGTGGGGGGGGGGGGAGGGGCCTAAATGAAGAGCGTGGGCGGAGTCTCCAATATCTGTGTGTGCGTGTTCCCACAGTGCTGCAGATGAGAGAGAAGATCAACACCAACTGTTACAAATTTAAGATCAAAGACGGCTCGTTCATCACTCTGAGGAGCCGCTGGTTCAGCTTCATGAACCCCTGGACCAAGGAGGTGGAGTACATCGTCTCCACCAACACCGTCGTGTCGTAAGTCGACCAGAAGGCCCGCAGCCGCCGTCCCCCGTGGACACCGTCTCCCCCGTAAACACGAGTGCCATTTGTCCGCCGTCTCCGCAGGTGTCCTGTGATGGAGGGATCGGACTACCCTCAGTCCGCTGCCTCGCCTCAGAGCATGGACAGCGTCCTCACCTCGGAGGGTAAAGGACCAACAAACGCTCATCGCTCAGTTGTCAATCGCTCACCCTTCGCGACTCACGTGTCCCTCCCCCCTCGCTGCTGATTGGCAGGTGGAGGCAGGCGGGCGCTGCAGACGGTCCCGGGCATCCCCGGCGGGACGCGGGCCGGAGCCGGCAAGATCGGGCGCATGATTGCGGAGGAGGTGATGGAGATCCAGAGGTGAGTGCGCGCGTGTGGGTGGAGCGGACGGAGGCGTGAGTCAGAGCGCTGGCTGACGTACACGCTTGGCACATTTGGAACGTTTCAATTTTATCATTTCAGATCATTTGAAAAAAAAAAAACGTGAGACCCTATAACGAGCGAGATCCGCCTCCACCTGCTAAGCGGCGGATGGATGTTCTGTGTACTTACAAACACATACGTAGGTCCGATGCCCCCCCCCCCACCCCCCCGCGGCCTCGGGGGTCTGGATATTTGAACCTGTCGTTCCAAAGGACCGACGCGGGTGTTTAGGAACCCAAATCTGTAACATAATCTGATCTGTTTTTAAAAAAAAAGCCCATCTCTGTGTCTATCAGGATCCGAGGCTCCTCCCCCTCCAGCTGTGGCTCCAGCCCCCTGAACATCACCAGCACCCCCCCACCCGACACCTGCTCCCCAGGGGGCAAGAAGGTAACACGCCCCCTCCCCCTCCCGGCACGCAGTCGGGGTTTCCTGTGCGTTAAGTGTCTGCTGATACGTTGACAGATTCCCAACGGAGGGACGCCCGAGCTGGCAAGCACGGGGGTCCTGCCTGGACCGGACTCTGTGGGCTACCCCTACTCCAACCAGTCCATCATGAGTGAGTGTGACCTCCCAACGCGCACACACACACACACACTAAACCCCCCCGCGGTGTTTTTTCAACCTCTCGTCCCCCCCCCCCTCCCCTCCCTCCCAGGCGACAACTCCCACCTGAGCATAGACATCATGGACAACCCCGGTTCCAGCAGCCCCAGCAACGACGAGGCGGCCATGGCCGTCATCATGTCCCTGCTGGAGGCGGACGCGGGCCTCGGCGGGCCCGTGGACTTCAGCGACCTGCCCTGGCCTCTGTGAGGACGCAACGGGGGGGTGAGGGGGGGGGGGGATTCAGAGGCAACAAGTATCCACCGTGGCTCGTTCTACCCGCAGAGAGTGAAGAGCGAGAGGAGCTGCTCCGAGGCTCACTGCTACATTTTCATCCGTCGTTCCCTGTAGGTGCACGTGACCCTGATTTTCGTTTGGATTTGATGTGACTGATGTGACTGACACGGGGGGGGGGGGGGTCCCCGACTGGTGGACTGAGCTGTGAGAGGTTCACACGCAGCTGAACATCTTGACTGTACGCTCTCGTGTCCCTGTACTGTACAGACCCCCCCGTCCCCCCCACCCAAGAGTCAGCTGATCTCCAGTATGGGCAAAGGACCTATCAGCTGAGAAGCAGGTGTATTTCAGTCTGTTTACACGACAGCAGCGCGGCGGGTGTGTCCTCCTGCCACAGGCCGCTCCTCGCTGCTTCGCTAATGCTAATGCTAATGCTAATGCTCGTGCAGCTTTCGCTGTGGGAGCCAGTGATCCATTGGACTCGCTCGGCGGAGGTCTTCACAATACCGGACCCCTTCCCCCCGTCAGAGATGAAGCTCGATGCCTCTGGACCATAAGAGCTTCTCAATCAGAGCCCCTCCCCCTCCACCCCCCCCCGCCATCACTCAAATTCTGTTCCATCTGCTTTTTCAATTGGACCATGTGGAGCAAATTCTGACAAAAACACATTCTTCCGTCTTGACAAATGACATTTTAGAAAACAATTGCTAAAACAGGCTGGACATTTATTTTTCTATGCGTCCTTTCCATCCAAAGCCCCGACGGTGACCACGCTCAGACCTCGAGGGTCCCTGATCATCAGGGGTTTGTGTTTCAGAAACACCGAGTGGGATATAAACTGGGCCCCGTTTAGTTTCCGTACCAGCAGATGGTTTTTAATCATTAGAGGCTGAACATCAGAGGATCTCCTCTCTAATTGGGGATTCAAAGCGGCGGACCCTCCTGTGAGCGCTCACGGACGCGTGGTAACGGGACCGTTGACCATGAAATCCCTGCTGAGCGCAGGCTCCGCCCCCTGCCGTCCTCCTCCAATCAGGGAATCGGTTCCAGTAGTTTTGTTTTATCGCTTTACGCTACACACTACAACGTTCCCCTTGTCGATACACCCCTCCCCACAATAATGTATCAGATCTTTAGATTACCATGTTAAGAGTATACTTTATGCAAATATATGAGTATGAGTGTATTCTATGTATCAGCAGTGAAATATTTTTAAAATAAAATGTTTGTCGTTATGGACAAAGCGTAGTGCTGCTACTCTTCTTTTTTTTTTTTTTGCTAATGTACAAATATGGTGAACGTAATAATTCCTTCAGCGGTCTGATCTCTGTCAGCCAATCGCTGCAGACTGCTGGTATTTATATAAGATGTTGCCATGAGAGACACACGGAGGCAGAGAACGTCAAGGAGGGAGAGACGAGGAGGGAAGGAGACTCGAGGAGGGAAGGAGACTGGAGGAGGGAGAGACAAGGAGGGAGGGAGACTGGAGGAGGGAAGGAGACTCGAGGAGGGAGAGACAAGGAGGGAGGGAGACTGGAGGAGGGAGAGACAAGGAGGGAGGGAGACTCGAGGAGGGAGAGACAAGGAGGGAGGGAGACTCGAGGAGGGAGAGACAAGGAGGGAGGGAGACTCGAGGAGGGAAGGAGACTCGAGGAGGGAAGGAGACTCGAGGAGGGAGAGACAAGGAGGGAGGGAGACTCGAGGAGGGAGAGACAAGGAGGGAGGGAGACTCGAGGAGGGAGAGACAAGGAGGGAGGGAGACTGGAGGAGGGAAGGAGACTCGAGGAGGGAGACTCGAGGAGGGAGGGAGAGACACGGAGGGAGGGAGACTCGAGGAGGGAGAGACACGGAGGGAGGGAGACTCGAGGAGGGAGAGACACGGAGGGAGGGACACTCGAGGAGGGAGAGACACGGAGGGAGGTACAGACAAGGAGGGAGGGACACTCGAGGAGGGAGAGACACGGAGGGAGGTACAGACAAGGAGGGAGAGACACAGAGGGAGGTACAGACACGGAAGGAGGGACACTCGAGGAGGGAGAGACACTCGAGGAGGGAGGGAGACTCAAGGAGGGAGGGAGACTCGAGGAGGGAGGGAGACTCGAGGAGGGAGAGACAAGGAGGGAGGGAGGGAGACTCGAGGAGGGAGACTCGAGGAGGGAGGGAGACTCGAGGAGGGAGGGAGACTCGGAGGGAGAGACAAGGAGGGAGGGAGGGAGACTCGAGGAGGGAGACTCGAGGAGGGAGGGAGACTCGAGGAGGGAGAGACAAGGAGGGAGGGAGGGAGACTCGAGGAGGGAGACTCGAGGAGGGAGGGAGACTCGAGGAGGGAAGGAGACTCGAGGAGGGAAGGAGACTCGAGGAGGGAGAGACAAGGAGGGAGGGAGACTGGAGGAGGGAAGGAGACTCGAGGAGGGAGAGACAAGGAGGGAGGGAGACTGGAGGAGGGAGAGACAAGGAGGGAAGGAGACTCGAGGAGGGAAGGAGACTCGAGGAGGGACGGAGACTCGAGGAGGGAGGGAGACTCGAGGAGGGAAGGAGACTCGAGGAGGGAAGGAGACTCGAGGAGGGAAGGAGACTCGAGGAGGGAGAGACAAGGAGGGAGGGAGACTGGAGGAGGGAAGGAGACTCGAGGAGGGAGAGACAAGGAGGGAGGGAGACTGGAGGAGGGAAGGAGACTCGAGGAGGGAGTCTCGAGGAGGGAGAGACAAGGAGGGAGGGAGACTCGAGGAGGGAGAGACACAGAGGGAGGTACAGACACGGAGGGAGGGACACTCGAGGAGGGAGAGACACGGAGGGAGGGAGAGACACGGAGGGAGACTCGAGGAGGGAGGGAGACTCGACAAGGGAAAGGCAGACATGGAGGGCAGGGGAGAGAGTCAAGGAGGGAGACTCAGAGAGAGAGAGAGACATACAGATATAGTCCAGGAGAGCGAGGCAGAGACATAGTCAAGGAGAGAGAGACAGGGAGGGAGGGAGAGAATGAAATGTTGCCCTCTGAAGCCTCTTTGGTGAACAGCAGCAGACTGGTGACCTCTGACCTTAGTTTTCTTGCCCAGGAGGTTATAGAAAGCTTGACCCACTTTGAGACGCTGCATTAGTTCATATTTAATCTCCAGAACTGCACTGGCGATAATTTAGAGGCTTGAACTCAATACTACAGTATTTTACTTTGAATTATTAATCATCACATATACACTGAGGGCTGCTTTAATTATTGCCACGTATTTACAGTTTGAACTTTAAATAATGAATGCTACGAGTTTAATAACCTAATGCAAGAAGTATTTCACCATTATTCTGTTTTTGCATTATAAGATCGGAGTCATTTTAATTGAATAAAAACACCCAACGACCAAAGAGAACCTTTACAAAGATTATTATTAGCATGTCAAGGAATTGTTGCATTTATCTCTTCATTCCAAAATAATCAAGACACGGTTTCCGGTTATTCTGCACTGAATCATTCAAATTGATCTCTTGGTTTATAATGTTCTGTATCTTGTCTTATTCTTTATGAGCACATGGTTTACTTACCTTGCAGTTGCTACATGCTTGTGTAAGTTCTATCAAATACATAATATCTATATGCAGTGAGGAGAGACTTTCCTTTAGGCACCAGGTGGAAATAAGGAGGCGGCGCTTGTGAACATAATTTATTAGAAAACAACGTGTGCTCGACTCTCAGCAGTGACGAAGCGGCTCAGAGCCGCTCAGCCGGGACGCCGGAGACGTGGGACCGCAGGACGGCTCCTCGTGTGGACAGCAACGAAGATGAGACACAGTGGACCCTCAAATCCAACTGACTTCCCTCAAGTAAAGTGAAGCTGGACTAAAGAGGCACTGAAATCCACACACACACACACACAGATAAATAAAGAACGTGTGCTGACTGAGAAAGGCTGCAGCAGCGGTGCAACACAAGGCAAAGTGGTGCTTTGCTGGGGGGGTTTGGGGGGTCGGGGGGTCGGGGGGACACAGTCTGCCTTCACACTGTCCAGCATCCAGTGGCCGGAGGTGCTTCATCGTGAAAGTTGTGTGCTTATTGGCTGTCGGGTTCCTGGGTCTGACTTGCCATGTTTGTTTAGTTCTACGTGGAGCATCTGTAGGTCACATGACGTGTCTCCGGCGTCATGCGGAGGGGGAGGGGGTGTCCGGGTCCGGCTCGTAGTGGTAGGTGGCCTGAGTGTAGCCGCCGCCGCCGCCCTGCCGCTGGTTGCCGTGGGGCAGACCGGGAGGAGGAGCCTCCTGGTTCGGACCCTCGCGGCCTAGCGGTGCTTGGGGGCCAGCGATGTTCTCCGGGCCCGGTCCGAGCGCCTGCTGGTGGGCGTCGTTGACGGCGTCCAGCTCCTCCCCCTGCGGCCCCGGGGGCTGCATGACCACCAGCTGGACCTGGGGCATGTCTGCGGCGGGCGCGATCAGGTTGCTGCTGGACTTGGACTTGACGCACTGGAAGTCCACGTGGCGGCTCTTCCCTTCCTCCTTCTCCCAGGACATGCGGATGAAGGGACGCTGGACGTAGTTGTAGATGACCTCGGGGCGCCCTCCGGGACGCCGCTTCACCTTCTCTTTGTAGGTGGGGTAGCCTGCAGGGACCAAGGTTATTAGCGTTAACGAAAACTAACGAAAACGAGGCGTGATTTTTTTTTTCGTTAACTGAAATAAAAATAAAAACGAGCCTTTATAAAAAAACGATAACTAACTGAAACGGTATTGTGTCTTTACGAAACTAACTAAGCTTCGTAACTAACCACCCGAGCCTTTAATCACAACTCTGATCAAAACATGATGATTAAATGACCTTAAGAATTTAACCAAAATCAAACATCCGCGAGCAAAAGTCCGTCTCCGCGAGGTATTTGCTCGCGAACTTCGTGCTCGCGAGGAGAATCTCCGCTCGCGCTCGAAGGAGTTTTCTACGCGCTCGCTGTTGTTCTTTTTGACAGTAAGATGGAGACGGTGCGTTCAGGGTCCGATCGATGCCGTGAGGTGCGTCCGCTCCCGCCGCCGCCCCCTCGCCATCCACGCCTTAAATCTTTTTCTGCTTTTAGAATAACTTATTTTCCCCCGTTAAGATGGTTCAGCTACTGTAGAGAAAAGGTCGCCGTCAATTAACCAATAGATCCATATATATAAGGCGCTCCGGATTATAAGGCACTGTCGTTTGAGGAAGTTAAAGCCTCTTAAATGCGCCTTGGAGTGCGGAAAATGCGGTATATTTACTTTAATACCACAAGAGGGCGCCGCGTTTGTTGCAAAACGACAGGCGGACGAGAGCCTTATTGTTTTATTAATCTGTCCGTTTAAATTGTTTGTGCTTCATCAACTAATGTTTAACATAACTAATGTGCCGCATCATCAATATTTTTATATTCATTTCAAACTTTTAAAAATTGAAAATTAAAAAAACGTTATTTATTTATTGTAAATGACCACACTTTGGGAATCGCTGCTCTAGAGTTTTTATTGGGTTTTAGATTTTTTTTCAGATTGAGCTCTCTGAGACTCCCAAGCAATGTCCTGTGTGGCTCATTAATGGGTTTAGTACATGCTGTTCACGTGTGTCTTTAGTCTATTGCATCTTGTGTAGACTGTTTACATATTTGTACCCATATCTACATTTTATGTTCTGTTGTTGATATTGTTGTGTTCAGTGGAATTTTTCTGGTTAATGACACAAACACACGCTGACTGACACATATTCCATAGTCGTCTTTTGGGGATGGCTGTTCATCTGTCCCTAATACATTTTTAAAGTGGGGGTTTTTATTCCTTATAATACTCTGTTGCTTTGTAGCTAACAATTCATTTTGAGCATTTTGTTTTGCAAGCAAAAAATGAAGCTCCCCTGACTGCGCCCCCCCCCCGGTCTGTTACATTCTGCGGTAAAGACTAAAACTAATACTGAAACTAATAAAAACTAGCAAACCCGCTTTAAAAACTAATTAAAACTAAACTGAAAACGAAAACAAAAAGTCAAAACAAAATAAAAACAAAAACTAGTGAAAAATTCAAAACTATAATAATAACCTTGGCAGGGACCAGCTGGGGCAGCGCGCGCATCTGGAGCCACATGTGAAGGTTAGCGTAGCGATGGTACGGTAAGCGCTAATGGCCACGTGGTTTAACACTCGCTAATGTGCAGGTGTCCAGGGACCGACCGGTAAAAGATGCGGCACAGAGCCAGCTGTAAAACAGCGGCCTAGATTGATCAATAAGTTCTTAGCGCTTGGATGGCGCTAACACTTAAACACTTTGTGTTGGGGTCGCCGTGGAAACACTTGAGGGTTCTCCGGGTTCAGAACAGCTGCAGAGACGACTAGTGGCTCAATGGATGCTCAGACTATATATATCTCAGCAGCACACTTGCCGGAGGGACTGGGACAACTGGTGTGAGAGAACAGAACCAAACCATCACCTTCTATTCCCAGTCGGATCTTCTTCAGTCCTCGGTCCTTCAGAACGGACTTGGCCACGTCCCGGTTCTCGATGTACTTGAAGAAGCGGTACAGTTTGGTGCTGTAGATGACTGGAGGGGAACAGAGGAAATCAACTCATCAGTCCTCCATCATGGAGCCCCAATGAGTCCGCGTGCCCTCTGACCCCCCCCTCCCCCCAGTCTGTCAATATACAGTGTCCCGGGAAGACCCTGACCTGGGGTCAGTGACGCCAGCAGGCGGAGGGATGTCCCCGAAATCAAGACACCTTTAATGAACAGACGCTAACTTGACCTTTAAAGAGGTGGCACATAACGCAGCTAAAACTACTCTATTTATAAAGTTACTAACTCATTGGTACTTTGTAACCTTTACATATTGTTATGTGGGTAAAAACGTGTCAACTTATTCTGCCTCATCAGCGTCTATTCGATGGGCTTCAGGAAATGTGTCCAAGTCCTCAACAGAAAATGTTTGTTGGTTATTGTCTTGTTGTCCTCTGAACAACTACGCCTGTTTGTTCCATTTGTGTAGATACAGACCATCTTCTTTCTGATGACCTCGTTCCCTGATAAAGGTCACAGAGAGGATCGGCACTAAACTGAGGCTGATTAAACAACAATAACAATAAATATGTTGACTTGCCCAGATGTTCACCTGAGGAATCTACCGCATTCACATCTCATCCGCTCCTAAACTCTCTGATATTCCAGAGCTTTGACACAGTGGCAGCAGTAACAGAAAGGGCAGGTGCTTAAATGGGCTATGGGGACTTACTCTGCGAGTACTCCTCTCCCATCTGGGGCGGGTACTCCTCGTCCCAGTCCACCACGTCGTCGTCGGTCAGCACCACCACGTGACACTCCCTCTCGCCGCTCTGAGCGCTGGCCACCATCAGCGGCAGCACCATCTCCTCCAGGTAACACTCAAACTGATGGCGGGCGCCGTCGTTGGACAGCTCGTGCATCAGGGCGCCTGAGGAGGGACCGCGGGGACACCGGTGAGGACAGGACGTGGGACACACACACACACACACGCGCACAGCCAAGTGCGGCTTTAACTGGAAGGACAGTGTACAGAAGTGGGCCGAGGGCCGGGCCTGGTGGAACACCCATGATCTTTAGAACTGCTTATACGCAGTATGATTATACATATTTGTCGATACGATGAAGCAATACGAAGAAAAACAGGTTTATGTAAGGCCTTAGTGTGGGTCTACCCAAGACTGAGCTTGATTTAAAATACAGTCCCCTGACAAAGCCCACCTTGTTGGTGGGAGGAGACCCGCTGGCCCCCGTTTGTTATGTGGCCAGCTGAATAACCAGCGTTACATCTCACGGCTAATCATGACCTACTTAGAGCCAAACACACACACAGAGCAGCCTCCTCCCACACGCCAACAGAGAGATAGCACAAACACACAAGCCTTTCCATGGAATAGTAAGTCATCACAGGTCCATCCGATATCATCATTGCATTGCTACTTACTTATGTTGCGTATTCCTAATGAAAACAACTAGCTGCGCTTCACACTCACTAAACTGGTGTCAACAGAACCAGCCAATGCTTCAGCTCTACACGAGAACTTCAGAGAAGCTTAACAGCTAAACAATGTGTACGTGCAGTGCCGTGTACTCACTGAGGTCTCTGCACTTGATGGTGCTGTAGTTGAAGGCGATACAGAGGTAGTCACATGCCTCCCTCAGCTCGGGAATGGAGACGCCGTCAGGGCAGCGGATTATCCCCGACTTGTAGTAATCCTGCCATTTTCAGCAGCGCACACACACACAGATGAATAAGCGAGTGGACCGGCGGGTGTTCACACAAACACACAGGCATGGGAAAAAAAACAAGACGCCATTATTGATGCTTCAGTCACACGGGTAGCAGAGAGAGAGGGAGGGAGGGAGGGAGAGGAAGAGGAAAGGGAGGGATGAGAGTGAGCTGTGATGAAAGCAACAACCAGCAACGTCACAGGAGGAGAGAGAAGGACCGATAGAGGGCGGCTAAAGCTAACGACGTCACTTTCCCTCCATGCTCCTCTCTCCGTCCGGTCTCCATCAGCTGAGCCGCTCACAGCGGATGAAGGCTGCGTTAGAAACGAGGAGGAGGGGCTGTGCACACAGAGCGCAACGCTCACTTCCTGTGCTCTACTTCTTTCCCCCTTACTCCTCTTTGTAATCCATTCTACAACCACTGCTACTGTCAATGCGATCCTGACGCATGTTAGGAGCAGCCCGTCTTTGGTGTCGTTCTATTGTTCTCCAATGAACAACTCGACATGCTGCTGCAACCTCCCCCCATCTGGCTGCTCTCAGTATTTGATGGATTGGTCCATCTCTGGGTCGTGACTACAAATACAATGTATGAGCTTAAAACCGCCTCCGCACTGTAACAATACTATATCTACTATCTTAATCAAGTGTTATGCTCATTAATAGGTACAACGTTTAGAGTGTTGACCTTGAATAAATCAGTTGGCAGCTGTGAAAGGTCCATCAGTAGCTGCCCTGAAGCTTTCAATCCTTTCGCAGCAGATTTAACGGCAGATGAAGTAGATGAGATTTACATTTTTTTCGGAGCACTTTACAAACATGATGTGATTGAAAGCTCATGAACATGAAATGGACTTTATGGTGGGAATATTTTCTGACTTAAAGGTCTTACGAACTCATAACTGTGTAAAAAGATTATTGACAGGAATGTTTTGAGATGAATTCCTGAAGAGTAGGCTTTTGACTTATAATTACAGCTGATCCGGGTTTATAGTTAGGGGCTGGCTCAGGTATATATTTTGGGCTGGCTTAAGTGCATGGTTAGGGCTGGCTCAGGTTTATGTTATGGGCTGGCTCAGGTTTATGTTATGGGCTTGCTCAAGTTTATAGTTAGGGCTGGCTCAAGTGCATGGTTAGGGCTGGCTCAGGTGTATAGTTGTCTCAAGTGTATAGTTAGGGCTGGCTCAGGTGTATAGTATGGGCTGGCTCAGGTATATAGTTAGGGCTGGCTCAGGTATATAGTTAGGGCTGGCTCAGGTATATAGTTAGGGCTGGCTCAGGTATATAGTATGGGCTGGCTCAAGCGTATAGTTGTCTCAGGTGTATAGTTAGGGCTGGCTCAGGTTTATATTATGGGCTGGCTCAGGTATATAGTTAGGGCTGGCTTAAGTGCATGGTTAGGGCTGGCTCAGCTGTATAGTTGTCTCAGGTGTATAGTTAGGGCTGGCTCAGGTGTATAGTATGGGCTGGCTCAAGTTTATAGTAAAGGTCCGTGTGTGATCCTCTCCAACACATTTGTTAGCTTGGCAGCTGCTAACTCAGCAGTTTTTACATGCGTCTAAACAACAGTGTCATCTGCACAGGTTTGCAATTCTACATCATGACAATGTTCAGGGAGATCATTGGTATGTAAACTAAACAAGAAGGGATCTAACACTGACTCTTGTGAAACACCCGTGTACCATTTCCTGTTTTTGGACAGTACATCACAACATTTTAACAAAATGATTGATGAGGACTGTATCGAAGGTTTTAGTGAAATCTAAAAATACAGCACAAACTACTTCTCCTTTGTCAAGCCTTGATTTAATTTGCTCCATTAAGTTAGTAGTTTTGGTGCAATGATTTGTTCTAAAGCCAAACTGCATACGACCCGAAAGTGCTGGGGTTAAGAAATGTCAGTTGTTTAATGAGGACTCTGCTTTGAAGCCAGTACTGTCTGAGATTGCAGTCTCCAGATGTCTGGAGACTGCTGCTTCAGTCTGTCATAAAAATGAAATTTAGCTTGGTAACCGCTGGCATCAGTGTCTGAATGGGTGGAAATGTGGGAATAATAATAATGCTTATTTCATAAATGCAAGTTCATTTACCATACAAGTCAGAGTGAAAGATGAGAAAACCTGCCGGACAGTAATTGTGTCCATGTCCGTGGTTGGTGCAAAGCTTTATCAACGCGTAAGAGACACATTGGAGAAGGTATTTAAGCGTCTATTCTTTATACTGCTTCATCACGGTGTAGTGCGTTAATATAGCACATTAGCATCTAACACAGATATTAGCACGTATTCTAATGTGGTAGCAACTAGTGTTGCTGTGGGTTAACATTAACAATGTTAGCCACTTCAAAGCAAAAACATAGTCAACGTGGGAAGTAATGGAGCTCTGGGGGTAGAAACGTCACAGAAAGGCTATAAAAGCAGCAGGACACGCTAGTGGAAGAACAGCTGCCGTTAAATGAGACTATCGCGCACTGCTGGTAGAGTACACCTCAATAAGCATTAGCTGATCCCGTGTGCACAATCGCAGCATCTTGATTCATTTGTACTGAATGTTCAAAATATGTATATTTCCATCACCGTGTGCCAATCACCAGCAGTTATGCATTCATTCAACTGACCAAAGAGAGTCAATGACGTAATGCCACAGAACTTTCTGAATAGACTCATTATGAAATGAGCATATGCTGACAGTCTAAAGTAGAAATTGGGAAACAGAGGAAGAAGATGATTTGATAATTAAAGATCTAGGAATGATTCTGCTAAGCGTTACTTTAACTGCGTAGTCCAGGGTGGACATGCACATACATTATTTACCTCCCCTCACATCGCTCCATCCGTTCTTAGAATAAAAAGCGCTTTTATGTTCTTTCTATATACATGGTCTAAAAGTGACTTTTTTTCTTTATACTGTGAGAAATATACATAAAGAAAAAAACCTGTTTTTTTAAATGATTAAAATAAATTACTAAATACATTAAATAAATTAAAATAATTAAAAGGGAATTTAATCATTTATGATCCATGACTAACGATCTGTAACGGGGTAAAAACACCACAACAATAGTCTGTGACATAAAACGTTTGTACCACTAATAATTTTACATTAATAAAATGACCCCGCTGAACTGCATGCTGGGTACAGCTCGCCTGCTATCACAACAAGAAGAAACTATGTTGCTACATAAAAACACGCTTAAAGAGGACGGGAGGAACACAAGAGACCACAGACGAGAGAGGAGCCGTGTCTGTTTGGAGGGTTTTTGGTTTTGAAAATTCCGACGTAAGTTAGATCAAAAAAAAAAAAGGACACACCAGCAGCCACAACAGCCACCGCGGCAACAAGGTGGCTCGCCGGGCCAGTTGCGATGCGCGTTGGCGAGAGGGCGGTGAACCGCTGTCAGGTGGCCGCCGGGTGTGTTTGTTGTCAATGAGTTTAATCGGGAAAAACAAATACCGCGAAACAAATGAACGTCTCAAGAGGACTTTGATCCCCCCCGGGAACAAGGCAGAGGAAAGGTGAAAGAATGGGGAGGAAGTGAAGAGAAAACACGTAGCTGCTCTGAGCTCTGACCTCTGACCCCACAGGGGAAGAAGCAGACTCACCAGAATGGCTCTGAAGACGGTGGAGCTGATGCCATCGGCCACCTCAAACTCCCCTTTCTCATTGGGCCGTGTGAAGTTGGTGTCCCGCCCAGAACCAAACATCCTGAAACAGCAAACGGGTGTTTAGATAGATAGAGATAGATGGATACTTTATTGATCCCTCAAGAGGGAAATTTTGGTATCACAGCAGCATGTACAGGGAAGAAAATAGAGTAAAAAGATACACATTATATACAATATAATAAGAGAAATATTAAATTAAATTAAATAAACGGGTAAAAGGGGAGATTCTACCTGCTGCTGCTGCTTGTTTTATGGTCTCCACAGATTCAAAGCACGTTACAGAAATTGAGGACATTTGAATAGTACTTTCAATAGTTTAAACACATAATCACAATCAATCAATGGCTCTTATCCTGACCGAATAACCTCAACTGCTTTGCTTGTTTAGTCAGTTGATTTTGAAAATGAATAGAACTTCTCAGAATCTTTCTATGCTGATTGTTACGTACACATTTGCATGAATACTAGATACAATAATATGTGCTTCTTTATTGCTTAGTCATGAGGGAATTGGCATAAATACAGTGTGATCGGCCAGGCAAAGCTTCACCGGGAAGCTTCACCGGGAAGGCTGCTCTTCCTCCTCACAGCAATGCAGCTTATCCAATGAACGCATTACCTGCCCAGCATGGTGTTTGGTTGAGCTGTGAAGATGGCGGGGTCCACCACGAATCGTGTGTTATCCACGATGAGCGTGACTCTTTCGCCGAGCCGCAGGCCGCTGCGGTGCCCCTCTTTGCTGCAGAGGTCATACACATAGACCATGTCGCACGGACCGGGGGCCGCTGGCTGTGAGAGGCGTTCCGCTCCGGGAGGAACCAGGGGCCACGGAAGGTGGCCCCCGATAAGAGGCCCGCTAAGGTGAGAATAGGGAACGGAAACCCTGGGAGGGCGGGGACTGGAGGACCTGGAGGAGGAGCCTCCGTCGCCGCGTTCGCGGTCTGTGGGAGAGAAGTGGACACAGTGAGACACACACACACACACACACAGTGGGGCTGTGTCACTTGGACAACAACTATGTCTTCTCGATGTCCTGCTCACCGTGCTGCTGCGTGGGGGAGGTGACATTCCTGATGCACGGCGTCAGCTGGCTCTCTCCTCTCTCGTGGGAGGAGTCACGGGAGCGGTCACTGGAACGCCGCTGCTGGTCCCGGTAATGTTCCGCTGCTCCTCTCTCTCTGGCCCCGCCGGCGGCACCGCCACCGGCCCCGTACACACTCATGGTGCCGGCCTGCTGCCGGTCCAGTACTGGCAAACCCCACTGCTGCTCACTGGTGGAGAGATGAAGTCTGAGTTATGAACATGAACAGCTTGGGGAGATGAAGCTTCTTGCTGAGCGCTGTGGCAGATACTTGGTTGGAATCCTCCACAGCAAAGGGCTTGAAGTTCTTAAAGGACATGAGGGAGGGACACCCGAGGATCATCATTGTTTGAGGGCTCTGTGGTCACAGCACACGACTTGAAAACTGGAATATACCAAGTAATATTTGCAAAATAAGATCCATCCACACAGAAAGGTCAATTGGCGGAGTCGAACCCAGGACCTTCTTGCTGTGAGGCGACAGTGCTAACCACCACGCCACCGTGTCGGTTGTCTCGGCTAGCCCAACGCTGCGCTCTTGCCAGGGCCCGTCTTGTGACACGACGTTTTAACAACAGAAACATAACAATGGCGAGCACGAGCAGTATTCTTCCAAGAAGAACCATTACGAACTCGGCACATTCTCTGCTCAAAGAGACGTTTGAGAGAAGAACTTTGGTGGAGAAACTAGAGGTAAAACAGCTGGACCCAGATCAGCCTGACCTTACAATCACACCACGGAGCGGCGTAAAAGGGAAGCTGCTATAGAGATGCTACAAGGGGATGTTTAGCTAGCTGGATGCAGTCATGCTAACGCGGTGTTTAGCTTCCTGATACATATAAATATATACTGATACTGGATATACTGGATGCTGGACTTCCTAACCAACGGACCCCAATCTGTCGAGGTGTTTTAGAGAACCACACCTCCCCAACGCTCATCCTCAACACCGGCGTCCCACAAGGCTGCGTGCTGGGCCCTCTTCTCTACTCCCTCTTCACCTACGACTGCAGACCTGTACATAGTTCCAACAACATTGTCAAGTTTGCAGACGACACAACGGGGATCGGCCTCATCAGCAACAACGATGAGTCGGCCTACAGGAACGAGGTCCAGCACTTGGCTGTGTGGTGTTCGCCAACAACAACCTGGCACTGAAGACCAAGGAGATCATTGTGGACTTCAGGAAAACCAACACGCACACACCCCCATATCTGCATCAACGGGACGGAGGTGGAGCGTATTGCTAGTTCCTGGGTGTCCACATCTCCGAGGACCTCTCTTGGACCCTCAACACCTCAACCCTGGTCAAGAAGGCTCAGCAGCGCCTCTTCTTCCTGAGGAGACTGAAGAAGGCTCATCTGTCCCCTGAGATTCTGGTGAACTTCTACCGCCTCACCAACTGCATCACGGTGCGTCACGGCAGTCGGCTCTGTTGCGGACCGTAAATCTCTCCGGAAGGTGAAAAATGCCCGGCGCATCACTGCCTCCATCCCTCCCCACCGCCGAGACGGTCCAGCACAGAAGATGTCTGCGGAGGGCGCGCAGCATCGTGAAGGACGACTCTCCCCACGGCCATGGACAGTTTGCCCCGCCTCCCCTCTGGGAGGCGCTACAGGGCCCTCCGCTGCCGGACCAACAGCGCCTTCCCTGATATGGTATTTATATCATATACGGAATATTGATTGGACACATACACACCTTTTTTGCATTGACTCACACTGGGATGTTTGGTGAAACTGACTGGCGTGCCCTACAAAAGAAAGAATTCTACCAGCCGCCACTGGTTAACAGCTACGGGGAACAGGGAGGAGAATATAAATTCCGAACTGCCATAAAAATTTGATAGGATCACAACTTCAAGTCCAAGGATGACACTGCTAATCGTACTGAAGCCGAAGCATGACTCATGGTTCCACGTGACAGAGAGAGAGAGACAGTAGATCCTCTCTGGGCCCTCACACTCATTCATTATTCTCATCATACAATAAAAGGACTCGGCGATGAAAGTACACACTCACACAGAGTTGTGCAGAAATGGCTCAGGGCTGAAGGTTTGCTCTCAGAGTGCAGAGCCTGTGAAAAGTGTGCAGTCCAGTGCTGCAGTGAAATGTGAAGCCATGTGAAACTAAGTTGAGTATAAAAAAACACTCACTTAAACCCAGAGAGGGCCTCAGCAGTTCACCGTCTTCTAAACTCACAGCAGGTGATGCTTCCTGGAGGGGTTCATGCAATCTACGCAAGAAGCCCCCCCACCTCACAGAGCACTTAAACATGTATCTTGTGCACAGGACCAATGTACCCTCAGGAGTCGGGGATCACCGGAGAACCGGTCAAGAGGTGATGGGAATTGTTTGACATCTTGTCCCTGTATGCAAACCGCCTAGTGAAGAGTCCGGTTCTGAGAGACGCCCGGCCGGGTACTGGGTATTTTTCAAACTACTCCCCAGGGTTTGGGGCGTAATTGACTGATGGGAGACAACCTTTCCGAATTCGGTCCATTATTGAGGGAACACTACAGCTGCTTCAAGGCCATGAGGCTCAGCCGAGTGGTGATGCGGGTCTGGGACCACAGAAGAGTGTCCCAGTGGACCTTGGACAGTCACCAAGAGAGCGGATCAAGCAGAAGATATTAGAGGATTTATGCATCTGTGGAGGTCCTTTCCATAATGTTGACAGACACTTTTAATAACAATCTGAAAACGAGTCCTTTTAGTGGCTGTAATATCACATTAACAGGAACAATTCTTCTAAATCTGTTTCCATCGGCACAACGACATGGAAATACTCAAATTAAACTACTGATAATTTCAGAAACCAAGAGCCAGCTATTTATTGTGTATAATATATCAGCGTCGCAGCACAGCAGCAGACAGGCAATGTCCTTGAAGACAAGGGTCATCATATCCGCTGAAAAACCTCCACTGATGGGTTTGAAAGAGGCAGAGACCAGCGAGCGATCTTACCACGGGGGATACATTTAACTGAAGGCACCATTGACACAAGTAATCTGTTCTGAGAGCAGAGTGATTGTTATCCGCATGTATTAATCACCGGGGCCTCACCAGAGATCGGAATGGGATCTGAACGGCTGGCAGAAATGTCAAAAGCCAGAAGCCAAACGGGCAGGCGGCCAGTGGGCCGGGAACAAAGGACCCTCACTCCCCTCTCATCTTTCACATGGCAATGCAACTTTACAGCAGACAACATCTCACAAAGACAGCGAGAACAAGAGGTGGGACATTTTAAACGGGTTCCCTGCCCCCCCCCCCCCCCACGACCATATCACCATTTCCATTTTTTGCGCTGAGGGTCAATGGCCCTTGGTGCTTCAGGTGTGAAATTAAGACAACGGACACTTAAAACGCAACAAATGAGGTAAAAACGCGAGGCCTCCTGGCAGGCTATTAAAAGCATGAAGGGAGGGGCCCAGGGGGTTAGGGTCCCATCTATTATTTAGGAGCCTCTGACACCAACACACAGGCGGGCAAGGGCAAAGAGGCTGCTCTTTGCTGCAGTCTGGGTGGAAACCCGGTGCAATGATGCATAATATTGGATATCCATGGTTATCAATGGTAACAAAAAGGCCGAAGATTATCATTTCTTTGTTTACATCATGAGGAATATTGATGTGTCAGCAAACGCGGAAGGAGGAGTCGCCTTCACTGCCGTTCCGTTATATTTCATCAAATCACTATTAAGCCAAATTCCCCAGCGAGTCCACAGTCGGACGAGTTCGGCCGGCGGGTTTCTTTCTGGGTCACTACAACAGCAATCGGTGAATCACGGTGACGGAGCCGAAAGCCGGCGGTTAACCTACCGGTCGGCGTCGGAGGGCCAAGTGGAGACAAAGCAGCAGGGGATGAGCTGCGGGATGACCGCGGCGCAGAAGCCCTGCGAGCCTCCCGGCAAAGCGTCAGCATCCTCGCTCATCACTTTGCAACTTCCGCGGCATCGTTCCGCGAACGCAAACCGGGATTCGGACTCTGCTGCTGCTGCTGCTGCTGCTGCTGCTCGAAACCCTGCAGGCGCGCCTCGGGGGGAAAAAAGCGGCAAAACGAGTGGGAAAAGGCGGCCGGAGAGTCGCTCGGAGTCACCGGGGGGACGTTGAAGCGGCGCGCGGCCGCGTGCTCGGCTGGATCAGAGCGGTGGTGCCTTCGCGTGCCCTCCTGCAGGCTCGCACTTTTGAGTTCTCCCGTTTGCCGGCGATGCAATTCATTGACGTCGCTCGTTAATTACAACTACACGGATCCCACTTGCATCACCCACAGCGGGAGGAGGGAAGATAGACGAAACAAATGTTATAAAAAAAAAATGTTAATGATGAAAATACTCCAATACTACTACATTACACCTCTGCAAGTTCGACACAGTGGAGAGGACATTTTAAATTTTTAGTGAAGTCAGACCACTGATTTGACAAACCTTCCCCCAATGTTCTCTGATCTCATCAGCATTGCATGTACAACATCAGCATGCCATATAATTAGATAACTCTTTGGTGTTTGGTGCTGAGGCAACGTCCGCATCGCTCTCAGATGAGCAGGACACGGTCTGTGTCCACTTTGAGACCAGCCCGAGGAGGTACTAAAGGACCAGGACTGCGGTCCTCTAATAACATCCGCACAGATGTGAGCAGATGCTAATCCACGCAGGGCATCTAAACCTGATGACATCACAGGCCGCTCTCTGGAGGTGCGTGTGCAGATGGACTGGCGGTTATATGTTCATAAAAAATGTATGTCTGCTCCAGTCTGTAGTGTCCACATGTGTAAAAACGACCACCGTTGTTCCCGCTCCCCCATAAGTCCTAAGCCATCTGCCTCAATGTCTACTGGCCAGATCCACTATTAGTCAACATCTTCCTCCCCTCCTTTCTCACTGGACCCACATCAATTCACTTACCGGTCACTTGATCATTGAGCATTCAATGTCGATTGCAACTCTAAACTAAGTCATTACGCTCAGAGAGCTGGGACGAAACAACGCCTTCCCCGAGTGGATCCTGAGCTTCCTCCGTGGACTGACTGCAGTGAGACAACCTCCAGAGGGGGAGGCTAGAGCCTGAAGCTCTCTCTGCTGGAGAGAGTCAGCAGCTTCAGGTCAGGCGCGACCCGGCTTGAACTCCCCCTCCCACCACCATCATCATCACCATCATCATCAGGGCACAAATAGAACAGCAGTCGGAAGGCTCAACGGTTACTTCTACGGCACCGTCGCCCTCAGCAGTGCAAGAAGAAGGCCGACGGGATACAGCAGCGCCAAGGCTCAGGTACAAACATCACCCACGGGCCAGAACGCTTCACTCCACGTGATCCCTTTGACCTTTTCCCGCTGCCTTTATTTATTTAAACTATCCGCTTTACACCCGTTCATATGTGCATGCGTGCGTGTGTGTGTGTATTGCAACATGTATTACACCTCAGTCGTTTTCTACACGCCTGTTTACATATAGTTCATTCATGTAATAATAACCGTACAGCTGTCTACAGCAAAGATATCCGTCTCAGTCTCAGGTTCTTATTTTTTACGTGCATGATTTCCTTATACAACGTTGACTATTGAATTCGAATGGTTGGAGAATGCCGAATATTTAGAATCCCCCCAAATAACTTCTACTCTGCAAGGTCGCAAAGAGTCCCAGAGAACATCACCAGATAAAACCACCTTCTGCATTATTTGCTCTGGTCTCCACCAGAAAGCACAAGCAGATAGAGCCATGCTTTCATTTGAGGGTGACAGCAGAGATCCAGATGATGGATTAAGCGTCGGGACATCTGTCTCTATCCGTCTCTGCTTAACAGCATTCAAACCACCGTCCCAGCACGTGGGGAATGACCGGAAACGTCCCGGCGTTTTCTGCGGCGCCCTGTAGCGTGAACGCGCAGACGTTGAAAGACGCCTCATGCGTTCTGCCCGGTGGGACGTTAGCTTGAGCTCGAAGCCCGGTGGGACGTTAGCTTTGAGCTCGAAGGCCGGTGGGACGTTAGCTTTGAGCTGGAAGCCCGGTGGGACGTTAGCTTTGAGCTCGAAGCCCGGTGGGACGTTAGCTTTGAGCTCGAAGCCCGGTGGGACGTTAGCTTTGAGCTCGAAGCCCGGTGGGACGTTAGCTTTGAGCTCGAAGCCCGGTGGGACGTTAGCTTTGAGCTCGAAGCCCGGTGGGGACGTTAGCTTTGAGCTCTGAAGGCCCGGGGGGACGTTAGCTTTTGAGCCTCGAAGCTCCGGGGGGAACGTATGCTTTTCGAGCCTCGAGCCCCGGGTGGGACGTTAGCTTAAGCTCGAACGCCCGTGGTGGGACTGTTAGCTTTGAGGCTCGACGCCCGGTGGGGGGACGTTAGCTTATTAGCGTCAGACGCCCGGGAGGGATTTTTAGCTTGAGCTCGAGCCCGGTGGGACGTTAGCTTTGAGCTCGAAGCCCGGTGGGACGTTAGCTTTGAGCTCGAGCCCGGGGGGATTTTAGCTTGAGCTCGAGCCCGGTGGGACGTTAGCTTTGAGCTCGAAGCCCGGTGGGACGTTAGCTTTGAGCTCGAAGCCCGGTGGGACGTTAGCTTTGAGCTCGAGCCCGGTGGGACGTTAGCTTAAGCTCGAGCCCGGTGGGACGTTAGCTTTGAGCTCGAGCCCGGTGGGACGTTAGCTTAAGCTCGAGCCCGGTGGGACGTTAGCTTTGAGCTCGAGCCCGGTGCTCGTTCGCGGTTGCTAAGCTACGCGAAGCGAAACCCCCAAAACTGACGCGTGACGTTAACGCCCCCGTTGGGAGGTCCCGCGCGCTCTACAAGCGCCGTGGCCATTGGCTGGAGATAGTTTACGGTAAATGCGCCTTTCGTAATGTAACCTGTTACCGTGCGCAACACATGCCGTTACCGTAAGTATTTATTAGTAGTCAACCGGAAACACACTTCTTCTAGCGCGTCGGCGGCTCGCGTCAACTTCAGCCTGTCAACAGGAGACTTTTGAAAGCACGTCCCTTTACCTCCTCGCGTTACATTCCGAGTGGATGTTCGGTTTCCGCTGTGCGACCCAGCTGACGTCTCGTGGGAAGAAGGACCCCCCCCCCGCTGGGATGAATCTCGGATAAGCGCCGTGAATAATATCGCGAGACTACCGCGTGAGTTCTCGGGGACCGCCCTCCCCGCGCGCGCCACGGCAGCCGACCCGACAGAATGAAATAGTTTAGCATAACTGCACAAACAACAAATAAAAACAACATACGAAAAACAATATTCGTTTTAAAAATTATATTTTCATATTAAACATGCCTACAAAAATAAAAAATATACAAAACACTGTTGGTCCATCTCTTTATCACCTTCAGTCTGGGGAAGTAAGCAAGTAAAACAACACTTGTTAAATAAAAGTGCATTTACACAATGGGGAAGTTTCCCTTCGTTAAATCCATAAATATCAATTTAATAAATAAAAGTATGTAATAATATAGATTATGTCAAACAAATACAATTAAAATACATCCCGATGAAACACCCACAAGAACAACTAGTTATAAACAACAAATAATTAAATAGAAAAAATAGAGGGTTGCTTAAAATTCAGCGCTGCAAAGTTGCCGCGAACATCGAAGACGTCATCAAATCAACCAAAATCAGGACGGCTTCGACTTGAGGAGCCTTTCCAGCAAGTTCAACGCGAGCTGGATCTCCTCCGGCGTCATGCCGCTCAGCTCCGGCGGCTCCTCGGGCCGCTCTCTCCTGCCCGCCCGGCCCGCCTCCCCCGCGCCGCCCCACGTCAGGCCCGCGTGGGCCCCCTGGAGCCTCCTCTGCAGCCACTGGCGACGCTCCCGCGCCTGCTTCAGCGCCCCGAGGTCGTGCATGAGCTGCACCTCGCTCACGGCCCTCTTCCTGCGGACGGGAGACGCGACAGAAGGGGTGACGCTGACGTCACGCGCAGCAGTGGGTGGAGGTGGTCTTCATGCAAAGAAACGGGCCGGTGTGGGGGGGGGTGCTTACCTGACGGGGCGCCCCTCACTGAGCGCGAGGAGGTGCACGATGCAGAGCGAAATGAGCACGTTTCTACGGTCCAGACCGCGCATGTTGACCTTCATCTGATGAAGAAAAGCATTTGTCAAAAGCGGGGTTTTTTTATGCAAGTTGCTTGGTTGATTTTAAATCTGAGCGCCATATAGCGTGAACGCGCATGAATACCATGAACATGAAGGAATAAGAAGCAACTCCGGTGGGACATACCTGGCGCAGGCTTCCAGCACCACAAGGGGAAGTGGTCTGTTTGTGGGGGTGAGCTCCTATTAGATGGAAGCGCTGGACTCAAAGTGCTTATATAGCCCCGTTGATGAGGTGCCTTCATTATTACTGTTGATGTCATACCTTCTGGAGAGAGGGGGGGGGGGAGGTCAGAATGGCAGCACCGTCATACCAGGCCAAACGAAATGCTTCGCATGTTGAGCCTGCTCACCCCGATGCACGAACACACACGACCAAACATTTAAAAGCAGTCGCAAGTCGAACACCGTGGAGTTTATTCATAACATCAGTTTGTTCGGTTGAAAAGAGTTTATGTGAGAATGTTTTATGAGCAGATTTTTGAGTTTGCATGCCTCTGGGATCCACCCCCCCCCCCCTCTCCAGTGTGGCCAGATCCATAGTACACATTTAACGTGACCTCTTTTCTCCCACCCCGTCTCACAACAATAGGACCAGCGTTTGGATGAATTTATGGCTCTCATTGACCACTTGGGGGGTCGCCCCGGTTACGTACGCACTGGACTCAAGAATCAACATTGTTTTCGTGAGTTTGCTTCCCCCCCAAAAAAAAGAGCTTTAGACCGAGCTGACGTCAGACGGGAACCTGCTGAATCAAAGAGTGCGTGGGAGTCCGGGAGGCGATGCCATTGTCGTCACCGGCTCACGGTCATGAAAGTTGTGTGCGTCTTGGGAGTTTTCTGACCGTCGGAAGGACGCCTCGCATCCACGGTGGTATCTCAACATTAAATTCAGTTTTAAAGGGTTATTTCTGCAGCCAATACAATTGCACATTTTAAAGCTAATAATAATAAATACTTTGGTAACAAAATCTCAAATTTTCATTAAAAAAATACAGTGTTTTTTCTGTTTTTTCACTGTCTACTTACTGTGGGCGGCTGTCAACGTGACAGCGGCGCAGCACGTGACCTCCAAGTAGCGCTGATGCAGTGCAACTAAGTACACCACTGTTGAGTACTTGTACTTTACTTGAGTATTTCATAATCATAGCACTTCTATGTACAAGAAGTACAAACTGCTTATGTGTTCTTCTAACAAGACACACGCTTTACACCAAAACAAATCCTCACGATTTCAACGTTTGAATTATTTTTACTACTGTCCGTCACCCAGACACCAGGGTAACCCCGCCCCCTCCTGCCCATAGCTTTGAGCCACAGGTGTCCCAAGTAAGATCAATCCCCGGGACCCCTGAGGTCACGTTAGAGACAACTATGGTCCCCCACACACACACACACACTAAGCATTAGGTAACCACAGGGTTTTCTAAATGTAGCAGGCGCCGGGAATGTCGATGTAAGGACACAAAGTTCACGTTGTTCATTCTGCACACATGACATCGATTGCATTCTGTTCGCCCCGGAGGAGGGGGAGGGGGGGGGGGGGGATCCTCCTCCGTCGTTCCCACTACGGTTCCTTCCCCTTTACTCCCCATCCAGGAGTTTTTGCTGTGCCGATGTGAAGGTTTGGGGACAGAGGATGTTGCACGTGTACAGCCTGCAAAGCCCTCGGGGGCAAGTTTGTCGTTTCGTGATTTTTTTTGGGGGGGCCACACAAAATGAATTGAATTGTAAGTGTTTACATTGTGATATTAAATTTGCTGTAAAGTATCATTTATTAAGAGAAAACTAAAGAATTGAAACATAAGGTGATTAACTGGGATGGGCGGGGCTCTGCAGAGACATTTACCTCCACCGGCTTTCCCGTAACACTGCGGCCCGTTTGCGTGCCCCCCCCTCCCCCCGCCGAACACCTCTGACCTCAGATCCTGAAGCTCGCCGTCCCGTCATCACCTCGCGCTGCTGTAACGTGGCGCACGCGAAAGGGCAGCAAGGCGACCGGCACGGTGACAAAGCAAGAGCCTTCAAGTCAAAGTCAACAATCCCACAACAACCATCGGTACCACACGCAGGTTTTACCCCCCCCAGGCACTGACATTCACCTGACATTCACAGTTATTGCAAGTCGGATGCATCGGTAAGGCCAGCTGGTGTCCGGAATAGGTGCAGTCATTAGGGGTGGAGGGGGGGTGGGGTGGGTGGTGCTATTTCAGGGCGGGCTTTGACTGTTCTAGAGGGTGACGGCATGTCCCGAGAAGGGTGACCAAAGGAGATGAGTGAGAATGCACAGATGCTGCATCCTCTCCAACCACTCGAAGGGTGATTCGGGGGAATGAACGGAAGGATCTGGTTGGCTTAGTGAACATGTTGTGCAGATCTGGAAAAAAAAAAGAGGAAATTATCCATTTTCGTAATGTTACGATGTTATGATTTGGATGAAGGAACTGAAAATAAATCCCTGTGATTGGCAGGTTTCACGGAGAAGGCTCGTCTCCCAGCAGCCTTTGGGCATTGGGCAGTTTAATGCTCTTGCATGACACCAGTTTTCCCGGAGCTGGTTTCTCCTCCCTCTAAAAGGCCCTGCAGCATTGTGCTCTCTTCATCCCACCGGTTTTTCTACGGATGCAATTCATGTTGAAACACGCAGTGTTGTTTAGTCGTGCTCGGTTAAGACTGTTAGGATCGTGCACATCAAAATATTCATTGCAACTATTACACGTCCACAAATGCGATGTTCTTTTCGACAAGGTTCCATTCTTGTGAGTTGCAGCAACGCAACCGATGCACACTTTAACGCTGTTACACAACCACGGGGAGGCTTTGTGGTCCAAACCAGACAGCGACCTTTGTTAATCCTTTTCGCCCCGGACAAAAGCACCGCTGACCAGATCCACTCCTTAGTTCCTTCCTTTCACAATAAAAGCCCTGCACAAACACTCCGGGACGCCATGCGGGTCTCACAGGAGGCTGTGCCTTCCTATTGTATCTGTTAAAGTTGCATTTTAGATTTCTACATAACTTTTTAAACATGCATATGTAGTATTCTACAAGTATTATCACCACAGTTGGTGGTAAAGCCCATCATTTGAGTTTATGTATGTAATGAAACGTTTAGTGCAATGATGTTTGTTCTGAAGCAGGAGGCCCGTCTTTCTGTTCCCTCTACAGTTTCCTCTCTATAAACTATATTTTTATGGAAACAACAGGGTCACAAGAAGTGAGAAATGATTAAAAAGGTAATATCGGCATATTCAAATATGAAATGTCACATCAAATATCAAATAACATCAGCATGACTGATTCCAGCAGATGTCTATCAGAGACCCGAGCATCACGGGACCTCACAGTGTAAAGACCACAACGCAGGTACCGGCATGTTGACCCTCTTAATTGTGTAAAAGTAATTGTTTCCATTAAAATCAGATTTCAACTTTTACTTTACTTTTTACCACAGAATAAATGAATGGAGAAAATCTGCAAAACCAACATGTCTGAACCGCCTTCATTATACTGCTCTTTAAAAGTAAACACACAATCTCAAAGTATGGAAGAGCGTAATCTGACTTTCTGACATAAAATGATGTACAATGCAATACAATTTCTGAGAAAAAAACCTTTTTAAGATTATAACTTAACAGTGTATAATGGACTTATTACATACTGTGATACTGCCATAAATCCTGCTGTCTATATACAATATAGATATACTTGCAAGTAAATACGATAATAACGATAAGCCCTATTTCAGTATTTATTTCTTCACACTTGAACACTTATATTAATTTTATTGGTACTTTTAACACATATACGTATATAATGATCATAATCACCGCTATTTTTCCATTACGACTAAATCACGGCAGTCCTGTCCTATTTTGACCTTCACCTGTCGACCCTTTTCGTCCTTGTCCCATTTCTTGTTAAGCACAAAGAGAGAGATAAAAACTCTCGGCCAGCAAAGATTGTTCCGAGTTGTGGTAACTGGCGGTAAACTGCGACATCTCGTGGTTTTACTAGGAGCAGTCGGTGCACGTGAACGCATCACCGTTGGAGCGGACTGGGCTTCAAAGTCGCGGGAAGATCCGGACCGCAGGTGAACGAGCGTCCAATGCTTCGTTCACGTGCTGCCAGAAATATAGTAAATACCAGCAACCTGCAACAAGCATCGTTAGACCTAATGGAATAATTTAACTGAAAGTATTTGACTTCCTCTTATTAAAGCTACTGTTGGGCCTACGTATTATAACGAGTTGTAGGAGAAGTCCTTGACTGAAAACACTAAACAAATTTTAGCACTTAAACTGAACTTATAATGTACTTATAATTTGATTGATTGTCGCGCTTTTTTTGTTTCTTGTTCTTCTGGGTTTGTACCCTTGTGGTTGAAATGCACGTATTGCAAGTCGCTTTGGATTGAAAGCGTCAGCTAAATGAGATGTAATGCAAAAGTCCACGCTGGCTCGGGTTGCTGGAAGCGGGCTTTACGCGAGGCATTTGAACGCAACACGAAACCGGTCGGTGGAAGCGGTCTCCTTTGAAGTTGAGTTTCCCAGCTGGAGTTGAAAGTAGCCGCCGAGGTAAGCCTAAAATTTAACAAGAATTACGACGTTATTGGGAAAAATATTCTTTTATACAGTGATATGTCATGTGACAGACTGTACTACGGTCAAAACCTCTCGTTAGGTATAAAGTTTTACCTTTTTAAACAGCGAAACGCAAGGTGAAAGCACAGAAAGTTGACGTTTATGCTAAAGGCGTCGGGGGTCTCAGTCCGCGCGACTGAACTGTGACTATGAGGCAGTTATTCAGCAATAATTTGAGGCAATTATTCACCAATAATACAGAGTCCCCACTTCGGCAGCTGGGGTGCCGAGCGCACGCGGCCGGGACGGTACCGAGCTGCCCACGTGATGCGCGCCACTGACTTTAACTCCAACACGGCAACATTTAATAAAACATAACGCTACATTTCAAAAAGTGAACTCCTACCAAGTAAATCGCACCGGTTACACCTGTTAATAAAGCAAACCCCCGCGTTAACGCGTTAATAGTAAAAAGGTGCCCAGAACAGCGTCCTGCAGCAGTGGGTGACTTAGTTTAACCAACTAGATCTGTGACTAAAGCTGCAGTGCACACCTTTGTTATGAGCTACGTTAACCGCGCTTTTACTTGAACGGATCTCAACTGGAGCAGAAGAACGTTTAAAGTGTACAAAAAAACCGACTCCGCGGGTTTTAATACACTGCTGCTCATTAGGCAAAATAGTTGCAATCGATTTTAATAACTTGGCTAATGATTTCGCACGCTCGTAGAAACCAAAACGTTTAAAAAACACAAAATCATCACACATTCGGCTGGCGCTTTTATTAGGCAATGCTCCGAGGAGAAGTCCGTCCATTTATTTCGGAAGGTCATTCGGAGGCTTTTGTGGTTTCGCGTCCAACTGAATTTGTCTGTTGTGTGTTGAACTACAACGGAGCCCAACTAAATATAAGACTGACTCAACAATAAGAATAACGGTGGTGATGCACATGATCGATTTCATCAAAGATTTCCTTACAGTGTCCTTGATGAAATCTGTGGCTGTGGATTCAAGAGGTCTTACGGCTCAGAGCTGTGTGAAACCTTCTCCTCTTTCCGTTGGGCAGACTCATGGGTGACCCTGAAGAAGCAGGCGTCTTTTGGGAGTCCTGGACTTGGACGCCGCAGGGAGAAGAAAAGAAAAAAGACCCAAAAAAGGAGCGGAAACGCCTGAAACGCAAAAACAGCGCGACCAAGAAAACGGAGCAAGACATCGAGAGGAAAAAGAAAAAGTCACCGAAGGAAAAGAAAGAAAATAAAAAAGGAAAGAAGCAAAAGCGGTCGCCTTCGGAACTGGACGACGGTTTGATCCTCGCGCCCGCTGTGCGGCCTCCTCGCACGCTGGATCCACGCAGCACCGAGAAGCTCCAACGAGGCCGCGACCGCAAGAGGAAAAGCAGCGGAAAACCGAAAGTGGCGTTCAACTTACCGCCGAGCGTCGTCTCAGCCGGACCAGCCGGTTTGCCGTCTTCTCGTCAGCGGTCTCCCAGGGAGAAGGTCCTCTCGGAGCCCGAGGCCGTCGCGGGGGTCCGACCCGGCCGACGGCCCCCCGGCGCATCCCAGAGCCCCGGCGAGGACGTCAACAGTCAGGACCTGTTCATCACCCAGAAGGCATTCAGGGCTTCGCCCTCACAGCCTTCCAGCGGCGACGACAGCGACAGAGCCGTGTTCCCCCCCCGGCGCGGGCTGCACCCCTCCGAGGCGCAAAACCCCCGCCTGCATGTGCAGAAGACGGTGCAGGTGCAGGTGCGTCTCACGGACGGAGAAGAGGACGAAGAAGCAGAAGAAGAAGAAGAGCGCATGAGCCAAACGCACCCGGATCCGGAGGAGGGGAAATGGTTCAAAGCGGACGTCGCCCGAGAGAAGAGGGTCCCGCTGGGGCCCTTTCAGTTGAGCCCCTCCCTGGATGCCGCGCGGTCGGGAAGACCTCCGTGTGCCTCGCGCGAGCCGCCTCTTTCAGGGGCGCCGCGCCGTCTCCACACCTCCACCCAGACAGAAAACTTCTTCTCCACCGAGCTGTGCTGCTACCTCGCCTTCTGCCGGAGGAGCGGAGGGGCCGGAGCCGCGGAGGACCCGCGGCCCCTGGACCTGAGCGTGCGGCGCGGGGCCAGAAAGGACCCCGGGGACGGCTCGCCGGGGAAGACGCTGTCTTCAGCGGCAGAGCGCAAAGAGGCCGACCTGCGTCCACGCCGCTCCTCAGACGCGGCAGATGGAGCGCCGACGGAGGAGCCCTCCGGCCGCCCGCCGCCCTGCGCCCGGCCGGAGAGGAAGGCCACGCCGAGCCCCCCGTCGGAGTCGGATCCCAGGACGGCGGACACGTCGGCATCCAGCGAGGACGAGCCGCCCTGTCGCGGCGGGAGGCTGAACCTGACCCAGGTGACATATATGTTATATTGTACATATTTTGGACCAAAATCTAGGACCGTTGTAGGATCTTCACTGGCGTCAAACAAATAGGCGGCATTTTCAATGATCGTCACGTGTTGCGTGACACGCGATCCGTTCGTCGTCACGCATTAATAGGAGAGATGAGCTCTGATCTCAGGCACAAACCTAAAGCAGCAGGGGTTTATCCATCATCTCAGTGGCCTCCTGTTCATCCCAAAGAAGTCTGTCCAAACAGTGGCGTTCGAAAGCTTTTTTGAAATCTCTAAGGTCTCCAAACACTCGGTAAGAGTATTTTATAAACACTTTAAGGCACAAAAACAGGCTTTTTAAAGTGTTCCACAGGGACCAAGGGACCCTACGCAGAGTGTGGCCCATAAAACAGGGAGAAGGCAGCTGCGTTCTACGCTCGTCTCCACGACTTTAACAGTACCGTATTTTCCGCACTCCCAAGGCGACTTAAAAGGCTTTAATTTCCTCAAACGACAGTGCGCCTTATATATATATATATATATATATATATATATATATGGATCAATTGGTTAATCGGTTGATCCATTACTGGTTGTACACTCTGCCGAACATCTCGGTCTACGACGGCGAGATGCTGAGCGGGCGCTGAAGCTCGCGTGAGATGCGGAGCTGCTTTCAGGGCGCGTCGGAGAAACAAAAGCGGATGAGATAATGAGATTAAAGAGCGAGAGACGGCGCCCTTTTCTCTACAGTTGCTGAACCATCTTAACGGGGGGAAAATGAGTCATTCTAAAAGGTTGCGCTCCTCATTGTGTGTGTGTGTGGGGGGTATTTAAATGTGTGGCACTAAACCGCTTCCTGTTGGGACTGCAGGTCAGGGCCGTCCAGATGAGACTCAACGAGTCCTTCTTTTTCAAGACAAAGGGAGAGCGACAGTCCCCCAGGCCACAGTCTCCACTGATGAAGCTGGCTCAGGGCCGACAGGTGAAAAGCAGGAAGGCGCAACGCTAAAACCCCTCCCCACCCCCACCACGTGACCGACCTGCGCTCAGTGGCGTCTGCGGCGTGTTGAAGAGCAGCCGTGCACCACGGAACACGTGTAGAAAAACACAAACCTGAACCTGACAGGAAATCCTTCCGATTCACGGGGGCTTTAAAGTGTTTCCCCCCCCCCCCCAATGTTGTCATTCTGCAGTTAAGACTTCTGTCACGTTGACGTGGGATTTGAGCAGAGATTCGTGCCTCGGGAGCGTTTCAGGAAGTTGTCATTGCCGTTCATTGAACGAGCCTTTGTACGGTTACTCACCCACCGTGCCGCCTTTAGCAAACGCCGTTTGGCTTTCAATGAAGCACAGTCGAGTTTCAGGTTGTATAGAACCGTCTTTATTAATTTCAGTGTACATAAGTCAGACACAGTGTGCCAATAAAATATTAAATGTGTCATTTACAGACTTGTTTTCTTTATAGTCACACCCCCCCCCTCCACCCTACATTTCATTGCAGCAACGACGCCCCGTTTAGTTCCGCCTCACGTCCTGCAAAGCGTCCCATTTCCGTTGTATCGAAACGCAGAGGCGCCTAGTTGTGTCTGAACAGCTTGATCCCGATCCAGCTCCAGAGGTGAAAGAAGACGTAGACCGGGATGGCGACGGGCAGCAGCAGGCTGTAGAAGCACAGGCTGCTGCTGCTGGTGCAGCCCTGAGGGAAGTTCTCGTCCACCGCCGCGGAGTAGAACAAGCCCGCCAGCGACACTATCGGGACCAGCCCCACCATCGCGGACAGGGAGAACATGCTGCCCGACGGGGGGGGAGGAGCTAAATACCAGCGCGGGCGTGTTCTCGCTGTGATACGATGTCCGATGTGTGGGGGGGTGATGGGAGGTTCTAGCCTTGTGCGGGTGTGGTTGACACGTCCGTGTCTTTCTGAATGAGCCTGGCTTCCTGCGGGATCATGTTGGGGATGCCGTCAACGATGGGATAGGCAATGCCGAGCTCGTCGTTGATCAGCTCGCTGGTTTCCGGCTCGTACCTGTGGGCGACACGGGAGAATTCTGCGCTCAATAAAAAAAAATAGGTCAATGAACACGAACAAACCTTTTAGGATCATATATTTCGGCGTGGAATAAAAGGGTAGGCGGCGGAAAGGAGATTTAAAATACAGCAAATGAGAGCGAAACTCAGATTTCCCGCAGCACCTGAATGAGGCACCAGTCACGCCCCATGAATTAAGAATAAGAATATTTATTACTTTTTTTTTTTCGTCACATGACTTGAATGTGAGAGACCTTTAAAAGCCAAATACAGTGAAACGTAATGGTTGAACACGTAAATTGAGAAATGCGTCATGTGGACTAATGGAGACATTGTCTCGCGGCCCGTGTGGTGACACACATTTTTACCACTTTGATCTCCAGTATTATTATTAATATTATTAATAATTATTATCTAGTATTATTCCGTGACATCAGCCACGTCCCGTTTCGGAGTGTCCTTCAACAACCCCCCCGTCGTCGTCGTCTCACCTCAGCGGCCTCTTGGACAGCGGGCAGACCAGGAAGCGGAGCAGCGAGCGGTCGAAAGGCGGCTGCGCCTCGTCCTTCGCCCCGGAGAAGCGCCTGAGCCTCGGCCCGAGAGCAGCGCGCTCCACGCCGCGGCGAACACGTCCTGCCTCCGTCACCAACCGGCCCGCGACACCCCGATACATGTCCGGCGAGCCAAGGCAGCAGGAAGGACCGGAAGAGCGCGCGCACGGTGCAACCGCAATGGGAGTCCGCCGCCTGTAAACCAACTCGATTAGTTCCGCGTGTCGACTGCTTTTCATAAGAAAATTATTCTGACCCCAAACGAAATAATTTCCCGTAAAATATATTTTGTATTAATCGAATAGTCTGAAATGAGTTGTTTGATACTATGCTCTTCTTCATGTTTAGGAAAATGATTGAATTATGAGTGATTTATTGCAGCGATTCTCAAAGTGTGGGCCGCGGCCCGCTGGTGGGTGGCGAAGGTACTGCAGGTGGGCCGCGAGAGGTCATTTACCATAAATAAATAAAATGTACTAAAAATAAAAATATTTTTTTTTCAATTTTGAAAAGTTTGAAATTAATATAAAAATATTTATTATTTAAATTATAATTATATTAATATATATATATTTATATATATATTAATGATAATTGATAATATACAAAACGCACATCTTTTTCTCAGTTTAAGTATTATTTGAAGAATTCTAGCGGCACATTAGTTATGTGAAACATTAATTGATGAAGCACAAACAATTTAAACGAACATATTAATAAAACAATAAGGATCTCGCTCGAAACGGCTGCTCTTGTCCGCATGTCGTTATTCAACAAAAGGCGCCGCCAAACAAAACAATGTCAAATGGGCCCTCTTGTAGTATTAAAGTAAATATATATGAGCTCCGGAGAAAATGGTACACAAAACATGCATTGTCAGTTAATACATTTTTAATCTTAAGGTAATTTAATCATCCCTAGTTTATGGTTTGATCAGAGTTGTGATTTAAAGGTTTGGGTGGGCCGCAAAAGATTTTCAGATTTCAAATTGGGCCGCGGCGTTCTTGAGTTTGGGAACCGCTGATTTATTGAATTTAATAACTTCTGTTGTCCACGGGGATCAGTCCACTGCAATGAGGCAAATTGTCGGGCTGCTTTCCAAAACATCTTGGAAGTTTGAGGCGACGGGTACAAGAACACCTCTTTTCTCACAGGCGTTGAGCATTGCACGTTTATAATAATGATGAGGAAATAATGATGAGGGGATGGTTCCAACACACAGACCACATGCTACGTCTTCCTCTGAAGAAGCCCCCACGTCACCCGCTGCAGGACCAGAAGACGGGTCTGAAGTGAAGGAAAATGATGGACATTATGCTGAGGGTGGAATCTGAAGCTGAAATGTCAGAAGTGGACTTATTATGATGAGAAAGAGTCAAATGACCCGGCAGAACCTGAATATATGTTGGGTTTTTTAACTGAAAAACAAGGTAAATGGTCTTGCCCTTACGTTTCAGACGGAATAAAACAAATGTTGCTAATCTTCAATTAAGTACTTCAATGAAGTTATTAAATGTGTAACTCACATGGGTGAAAAATCCACTTCCACATGGGGGTCAAGTTTGACCCCAGAGAACAACGGTTGTGATTATGTGCTGCCATTAGAAAAAAATTCAAATGACAAATAGTATTATAAAGTTTCATGTCAAAGCGCTATTGATCCTAAATTCCAAAACAAAGGGGAACATTTGTTGTAATGGGTTTGGCCTGAAGTAAGATTAAAAAGGTGTCAAACAGAAGTGATTGAAAATAAATAAGATATTGAATTAAATACAGATGGAATCGCCTCTTTAAATGCAGCCACGGCACTAAGCCACCTGCAGGATTTGGGCCGGTTCAGTCAGCGCCCCCTTGTCTCCTGGTTTGTGCGTCTTTATCTTTTCTTCAGCATGCAACATCTTCTTACAATAAAGTCTCACTCACGCGGCACTTCACATCTCAGAGTTTTTAATCTGTGTCTATATATAACTAAAATGGTGGTTTTTACTGTTTCCTCATTTGTCCATATGATGGCAGTGTGGCTCCGCTCAGCTCAGGAAAGCTTTACTTTATGAGTTTACCATAATCTGGATCCAGAATATAAAACAGCATCAAAACAATATGAATTGCATTCATTTAACCAACAGGACTTCTAAAGACATGCCACTTTTACATTAATGAACTGCATCTGAGTGCCATTTTGCCTTAATGAGTTATATAGCTAAAGTAAGTCAGTACATTTGATCAGAATAATAAAATCACATTATACCACATCAGTTAAATGGACTTTACCTGTCGACACAATGCTGTTCTAGTTTAAGTGCCTCATAAACCCGTTTATTCACACACACACACACATAGGCCACCTGCTCACCTGAACATGGTACATATTCATAAACTCCGCCATCAGTCACGGTGGCATTTTGTAGTTTCATTTCAGCCCCACAGACACCTTGAACTTGATTTCCCGGCAGGTTCTATATCTACAACATACAGTACACAATATTGTCAGAGAGCTCCGGTCCAGCTGGAGCAGAATCCATATTGCTGAAGATATTGCTGTGGGACTTTCTTGGCAGGGCCCTAACCTTTGAAAAGTGCTCCTAGCTGTAATAAATCCCACTGCTCGGTACTTGACAGGCCTGTTAATGTCATTTTCTTTCTTTTCGTGCCGGCTGCCGGCCCTTGAACGCACCGGTGTAGCCTCACGAGCTTTTACTCACGAGACGTATCGATCATCTCTGACTTTTGCCACATTGCGATGGAACGTCCTGCTGACGGAAGATGGTCGAAGTCACAACGTAGCCAGGAAAGCTGCGTATGGATCACCCTCATCTCCCATATTGTGACCCTGAGAGATAACTGCATTGAAAACCACACTGGCCTTTGTTACCAAACATGTTAAAGGTTCCAGTGGCAGATGTTTCCACACACGGGTGCTGTGTCGTTGCTCATTTAAAAAGGCAGGATTCCCAAAGTTTCCACTTCCATCTCTCTCGTGGCACTTTTCCTCCTCACTGGGAGAGACGGTGGCTGGAGAGCTGCTGCAGGATCCCGAAGACCGATTGGAAAAGACAACCAAGAACGTGATTGTCATTATATTATTTATGTCCAAAAACAGCACGTGCTCTATTTCACTCAGTGGAGAAACTCAGACATTTCTGTCTTTCTCTCCACTTTGAATGAAGCGTTTAACCTCGCGTCAAATTCAAAGAGTGTACGTTTGTATTTAAGATTTACTTCACCGACGGATCACTTATTTCTCGACTTCATTTGCCATCGTCACTGAAGGAACAACCTCAGGAGAGGTTTCTGTTTTTAGCAGCTTTTACCAAACACTTGACACCACGTGATGCTTTTATTTTGGAGACACGTCATTCTGTTCAGACTGTTTTTACAAGCAGCCGAAAGCGACAAAAAGAGGTTTGCTGCCCACTTGAGATTTCAGGAAATCCCAAACTTGACAAAATGTTTTCAGCCTGTAGGTAATGTGGTCAGATGTTTCTTCTAGATAAGATCCAATATGATCATAATTGCAATTCTTCAGATCCTTCTTAATGCGCTGACCTGTGTGTAGATTCACTTGGTAAACATTCAATTATCTCTTTCAGGCTATATTGACTAACGCCGGCAATAAGGGAACCGGCCCCAATGACGTCCACGTGGTGGAACCCGATGGCAGATGTAGTTTTTTCTGCATGCTGACCAATCAAATGTTGTCTAACTTTGTCAATATTGTCACGCAAACCCCGGATCCAGCATGGCGGCTCGGTAGAAACCCAGAGAGCATCCACAGAGCCGGGCGCAGGTGCCCTCGAGGCGTTCAATGACGCCTACGTGGGATTTATGGTCCACGTCCTCCAGCCGTCCGCGTAGCTCAAAGTTTGATGCTACCACAAGTCGCTCTGCTGCACACGACGGGTGGATGTCAATGTGGATGAGCGCGTGTGCTCCGATGGGTCGGTGCTAATTATACATGCAGGGTTGAGTACAGTAAACCGAGGGCCGTCGGGGCCCGCTGTGACCGCCACATGCGTAGATTGCCGTGGTGCATCTGGACCCGTGAGTGGAAACGGGAGTCCGCATGTCTTATGTACTCCAGCGGCTGTGTGTTCTGTGTGTGTGTGTGTGTGTGTGTGTGTGTGTGTAGTTCCCTACACTCTGCAGCAAGGCCACGGGCTTTTTTTTCCACTCGGCAGATTCTTCATCGAGCCCGTTCTTTTCCCAGCGTCAAGAGGCGGAGCCTTCCTCAGTGTCACGCTTCCGCTGACCTTTTCACAGCCCTTCTCCTCGCCGAGGAGACTTCTCGGGGGCGCTTCAGGCTGTTTCTCGGTGCCGTTCCCCCCGTCGTGTCGTGCGGAGACGTCTTCAATTGCAAAGGGCCTGGTGCTGATGTTTCACGCTGCTTATCCTTGTTTCTTTGCCAGGCAGCCGTCGCCGGGGGGGAAACGGACAGGTTTTCGGAGGGCTTCATGATGATAGAGTGAGTCTGTCAAGCTCGCCAATTCATAATAGAATATTTTCTCATTAGTCTAATTACCATTGACCCATATACGGACTTTATGCTAATGAAAAATACCTCTCCCCCCCAGTTTCCACAATATTAATAAAGATAAGGCCTTCATTTCCACATCCTGTTATCTTATCGTGTTTGTAGTTGTCCGTGTAGACGTTCATACCTGCCCTGGCACAAGTTGTGTTTGCATTTATAGCTGCAATTATAAGTAATGCTATTAATATACCTTTGCTTTACATACAGAATTCGTATATATATATATATATATATATATATATATATATATATATATATATATAATTTATATATATATATTAATATATATATTTTAATATATAAATATATTTATATAATTTATATTTATATATTAATATATATATTTTAATATATAAATATATTTATATACTTTATATATATATATATTTATATATATATTTAAAAAAAAAAATATATATATATATATATATATATATATATGAGGTTATCCTGCAAAATGAGAATGTTTTGATTTCTTGGCTGAGCAAAGGTTTTATCCAATTAGAAATGGGAGATTCCCTCCCTGCCAGGAGAGCTTTCATTTGATGCTGAAATATTGCTGATGTAGAATTGTCGGCCTGGTCTGATAATCAGATCCCCAAGGACTCCTCCCGTCCTTTTTTGTCTTCCATCGATTCATTAATTCTTCCTC